AATTACTATTATACTGCTAATATAAAATTGCAAATCTGTGTGTGTTGTGGTATCTCTAGAGCTCTTGCTATTTTTATTAAAAATATTAGCTAAAAATATTGTTATATTAAAATTAAATTCTTTTTAAAACTCTGTAACTGAATATGTGCTTCATTCAGCTTTCTTCTTACAACCACGTTCGTGGCCCTGGTAATTTTTAATCGAAAACGTCAGCCAGTACAATCCGTTCTACCAAATCAATTTTTTATCGATAAAATATTGTTCTTATAGAGATTTCGTTGCGACACACAATCCTGTACTCGCTGCTTCCGTCACAGTTTTTGTCCGTACTTCGTAAGGAACCGAAGGGAAACGGTTGCTAGTTTCCGTGAAATGAAACTAAACGAAACGGGAGCAAGAAAGGAGGCAAGAAGGGTAAACTTAATACGGTGTACATACATGATACGGTGAAAAAGAAAGCTAAACTCGGTCTCACGATGCTTTACGGTACCTTTCTCCGGCCACTACGATAAAAGACTTCCCCCCTGACTCTTCGTGCCTCCTCCATCTTTGTCGTGTTCGGTTTATGCGAGCTTCCAGGTCTGGCCGACAATGAGCAGTGCAAACGCAAAGTTACCTGGGACAACAAAATTTATTTAAAACAGCAACTTGAAAATAATCATTTCCGAATAATGTTGACTTATTTGAGAAAATAATGTATTTCTTGATTAAACATTTTTTCTTTCGAATAACGTTAATTCTCCGACCTATGTTTACTACACTTAGCAAGTATATGTATATTTGATCGTTCTCGTTTTCCGTTTAACGAATTATCGCATGTTTTGTTTCTAAACGTGGCGGTAAACATTTTCTCTTTAATACCAGGTATCGTATTGAATTCTTGGTTTCTACCGTTACAGAAGAATGTAATTTCAGAAGCCTACGCTCTGTTTATGTAATGGAACGTTCAGATAATGGATGATCTATTGTAATTCTTCCGAGACATAAATTCACCGAGCGTTGGGTCGCGTTAAATAACAATGCTTCCTGTTAATGTTAATTTAAAACTAGTCAGGCAATATTTTCCATGAAATTTCTTTTAAAGTTCGATTCGATCGTATATTTTATATTAATTGTCGTTTTGAAACAACAGTACGTCCTACGAAGATTCAATGTACATCTGTTTTACAATATCTAACCCTGTAGCGGACAGAGTTAAAAGTTTCTGTTTACCGTAATTGTTGTACACGTAAATCACTGCGCGCAGGGATCGACGTAATTTCAAAACATTGCATATGTAACCGCGAGCGATAAGTTACGAAATTTCATACAATAATGTTTCACGTAACGTAAGGGAAAAGAAAGATTAACGAACGAACCGTGGCGATGGAAAAGACAAAAGTAAAAAGAGGTATGCTCGTCGCGAAGCCGGTATCGGCTGACTATATAATCGGTAGAATAATTACGTTCTCCCCTTAATAGGCAATCTGGAGGATCGATTTCTCTGCTCGTATGGAATCGATAATTAGATGTTCGTTCACGACAGCGATACGACGACGGTGGTTCTCGAAAATCTGGAACACCGATTGTCGGTGAAATTTTCACGGATGGTCGATCACCGACGATCTATTCGACTAAAGCAACCTCGACGCAGGGAACGAAACATTTTAACGACAGTTATTTCTGTTCGTAAATTACGGAGATACTTTAATCTACAACTTTCAAAAAAACAATTTTTCTTTTTTTCTCGTGTCTTACTATTACCGTAACGTAATTATAATAACAGTGATACAAAGAATTCTTTTTTACCCAATTTTATTTCCAACAGGAAGACTGTAAGAACCGAACGACTCTTGCGACACGTTCAACGAAGTTTCGTTGATTTTTAGAACGTTCTGACTACAGAAAACAAAAGAACGGTACGATATACTGTGCGGAGAACGCGAGGGGGAGGGGGAGGGAAACATTTGTATGCAAATGCATAAATCTGATGCGAGTTTACCTCCTTTTGGAAAGAATACTGTTCCCGGTTTTGTTCTTTAATCTCCGTAGATCGCGTTAATTAGTAAGCAGCGATAATAATGAAGCAACTAAAAAGTATAACGTGGAATAATTACGAACATAATAAAACGCTCCCGTCAACGTAATTGCAACGGTGAAAATATCGTAGAAGAAACATTCACCGTACCGGGCGTGAATGTAAACGAATATTTAATCGCTTATTTAGTAATTTCACTTTATAGCGGACGAATTGTGAAATTTGTTTTAATGCGCGGTGTCGAGGTGCATTCTTCGACCGATCTGTAACACCGATTACTTTAATAAAATGAAATAAAGCAATTTCTTTCAACGGTCTTATTTACTACCGAAAGCTCGTTACGTTGATAGCATGTGAAAACATTATCGACACTGCAGTATTATTTAATAATAACAATAGTAAATACGACAGAGAATTTGCGGGGAATTTCATAACAGAATATTTAAAGCGATTAAATATAAGTGTGTCAGTACCGCTAACGTTACAAATTTAGTTTTTTGGAACAAATTTAAAATACATTATACAATATTTTATCAGAATTAAAATAGGTTTTTTGCTTCTTATTATTCTATGATCATTTCTTATCGTTTAATAATATTATCAAAATAAATATCAAACGCTTTCTTTCGACCGCCCGTGGAACTTAAAAATAAACAGAAACGAGTGGGGGTGGACTATAGATTTTTCTGGGCTGTGGATGGGGTGCGTTTGGTCGCTGATCGACCAAAGTCGTCGACGCCACAATGAATCGAAAACGTCTCGGTGTTCTAGAAAGTCCAGAGCCAACGTTGCACCCGTTAAGCGTTTCGTTCCCGCGGAGAAACAGAAAAAGAACAAAACGTATGAAAAGCATTTCAATCGTGAGATTTAGAAAATATATCCGAGTTACCGCGCCATTGGGTTTTGCGTTTCTATTTATGCCAACGGTGCTTTCCCTTCGTCGCTATAATAAGTGTCACGAAAACAAATGCTCGTCCGAATCTCTCCATTGTGCTTTAATTGCATCGAGTCTACGCTAGGTCGTATTAAGAAATTCCGAGTTGTTCTTGATAACATTAATTATACAGAATGTTAAACTAGACCTAGACATCTATCGAACCACTGTTTCTTTGTTTTGTCAATCTCTGTCGGTCTTTAACACTAAACTTAACGTTACAGAACTCATAAACATTATTTATTAGCAATTTATATCCTAATAAATATATATCATAATTAAAAGAAAAACTGCATTTTAATTTAATTGCCAGTATACCGAATTGCAATAATAATATACGCGACGAGTGTCCGTAAGCTTAACGTTAATCAAATTTTCATGTAAGAAAAAGCGAAGAACAAGCCCTTAACTCGAGGTTGATCTTCCTTTCTCTTTTCAATAACGCGTACGCCCGTAAACTTATTATTTCTGCTTGCTTTAGCGATCGCTGTCGATGGCGCGATTCACTTTCTATCAACTCCAATCTACTTCCACAGATTTAAGCCCATAAATCTATCGAAGGAGATTCTAAAATCCATTAGAGTAGATATGGTATCGGGTTCCCGCAACGGCACGATACAGTATTAGAAAGTGCGCGGATACGTTGCTTGCATTGGAAACTTGTCACGGCGATATTTCTGCTGCAGATGGGACAGACACTACAGAGAACGATTTCCCAATCGTCGTTATGCAGATAAACGAGTAATTCAAAGAGCCGCGCAGACGTTATCTTTTTTCTTTTTTTTGCATCGTATCACGAGAAATCATAGTTACCGAGCAAATCTCTGTTTGCAAAAAAAGAGAAGGAGTAACAGACCTTTAGCAATTTCTAACATCATAGAAATTAGAGAATTAACTTTTTAATAATGAAGCGTAACTTTCTATGAAACCTACCACGAGCAGCTTTGTTTTCCACGGCGGACCGATTATATTAATTTTGCTCGAACAAGGAAGTTCGCGATTCTCGATTTTCATTATACAAAACATTTACTTAGCAATTCGTGGAGGAAACCGCAACCGGCTTTCTCTGAATTTTTCTGCGTACCGAAAATCCGGGTCATGGACCTGGTTGTGTTGCTGTTAAATTATAGGTCCAGAAATGAAAAATACCCAAGAGAAAACGTCCTTACACGCGATTGTGCTTGGAGTCGAGACGGGTCGTCTCGAGTACCCATCCTCGGTGATGTGGAAAGCGTTGAAAGGGCTGATGATTATTGGTTATGGTGTGGTGCAGCCAGAGGGGTAGATTCCCTGCTTGAGATCATCAGAACTTGATGGTATAGGATGATTCCTCGTCCCTGGAATAATATAGAATCAGATTAGAATGATAAGATCCAGAAAAAACGTTCTTGCATGCAACAGTACAGGGTTTTCCCATAAGATAGAACTCAAAAAACTGCAAAAGATAACGTGGTGCTCATTGTTTTATATTAATTATGTTCATAGGTTAAACATAATATTTTCAACCGAACCGGTGGATTCAGAATGTTTCTATTAAACGACGAATTTTGATAATAAGTTTTAATAATTTCAATACATTAAATGTTCATTAAATGTGCAAGTACAAGCAAATGTTTATCTGTTCATGATGAAAGTTTTATCATTTTTATTGGAAAACTCTTGGCGGAAAAATTCGAATGAAAGATTCTAGAGACCAAAATAAGACGAAAATCAAGAATACCAATTTGTTGATCGAGGCTTCGTTAAAAAGTTATTAACATTTAAAGTTGCGTGCGCGCGATACGTAAGTAAGCAGAGTTTCTTATGTTGAGTGAGAACCACTATCGCATTACCATTCTACAGGCGAATCTTTAAACGTTAATAACTTTTTAACGAAGCCTCGATCAACAAATTGGTATTTTTAACTTTCATCTTATTTTGGTCTCTGGAATCACCCATTAAAATTTATTCCCCGGATGACCGAACACCCTGTATAAAACTGAATATTTTAATGCTTTTCTTTTCTAGCCAATTATTCTAAACATAATGATAGCTTGATGTACTTTTCAGGTGTCCACCGGCAGAGCGTCCTGGCTACTGCTCATCTGCCTAATCATACTCTTTGGTATCTTCGAAAATGGAGACGGTAATATATGTATAATTTGGACCAGTATTTTTTCTCATAAACGATAAATATTAAAGGAAAACTGCATCTAAATAAAATAAATCGTGCATTACGTTCAAACCAGAACTCCATAATTTGTTTTCTCTGTTATTTTTTATCTCAGTACGCATAAACAAATAGAAAAAAATAGCCTAAACGTAAAGAATATAAACTATCGTTTACAATTTGTTGACCAGTGATAATTAAACAATGCTGCACAGGTGCGAGGAAGAGATTCCGTAGGCCGACAACCGAAAGTCCGTCGATATCAAATGATCAGGAAGTGTCGGCTAGCGTGAACAGATTCAAGGTCACGCGAAATCGTATCAACACGAAAAACAAGAAAAATGAAATCCAAACTGGCAAGACCGATGACTACAAGGTAGGTACGACGAAGCGTACTATTCCGAAGGTTCCATTTGTTAATACTGTTTCCGCGAGACTCGAAATTATTTTCCAAAAATCATTTTTCCTTCGATAGCGTGATGTTAGAAATAACATAATTTCCATTAACAATTATTTCCACGCTAATTGTATTAAAATGCAAAGGTGTTAATGAAAACCAATAAAAAATATAAATAATTTGCAGTATAATTTCCACGTTTGCAGCTTGTATGTTATTATACAAATTGGTCCCAGTACCGAACGAAAATTGGGAAATTCCTACCGGAAGACATTCAAGCTGATCTGTGCACTCATATCATATTTGCGTTCGGCTGGTTGAAGAAAAACAAACTGACGAGTTTCGAATCGAACGATGAAACAAAAGATGGAAAAACGGGATTGTACGATAGAATTATGACCCTGAAGAAGGCCAATCCTTCTCTGAAAATTCTGCTCGCGATAGGTGAGTTTTTTTCGAGAGAACGTACCTATTTTTATTTCTCTTGCGTTCGATCATTCGAACACGGATGTTGATGGACTTATTACAGTTAGATACCCATTGTCAGCAATCGCGTGACTTCTTTGTAAATGACGGTTGCCGCTCCACGAATTTTCTTCTGATAGTCGAGTCATTGATTACAAATTCTTTCTATGCAAATAAATTCACACGACGCACATGATACATTCAAACGCGTACGATTCTATTTAACACTTTAATGGCCGCACGTATCACGCGAAAACCGTTGTCCGTCACCACTGATATTGTACACCAAAGTGAGATACACGAAGGTGCTAGGAATATTATTATAAGGAATTATAAATGTAACCTCAACAAACGTAATAAGTTGAATGTATGATGAAATGGTAACTGATACAGTAGATCACGCGCACGTGACAGTGGCCGACGTCTGCTGGCTCACAAAGTCACGTATACGTGACAACGGCCGTCAATGCGTTAGGAAATAAATTTGACACTCGTATGCCCTCTATAAACGTTGAACGAGTTTACCCCTAACCTATTTAGTCCTTGGCGCTTGCAATTGGCAGCTCCTGCCCTCTATGATGACCTTATTGTAACACTAAAATTATACATGTTATCTATAAATGATAGATTAGATAAAACTGTAATTTTTTTTTAAAGTTCAATGACCCAAAAAATACAAATAAGCTTCTTTTACTTATACCAAGTTTTTGGAACATTTCGCGTAAAAGGAAGTATTAGAGTTAAATCCGTATAAATTGCTCCTTTTACATAAAAAATTGTGAAAAAGGCAACTTTGATGATTTTGATCAGGTGGTTGGTCATTTGGCACCCAGAAGTTCAAGGACGTGTCTTCGACGAGATACGCACGGCAGACATTTATCTACAGCGCCATACCGTATTTAAGAGATCGAAATTTCGATGGCCTTGATATCGATTGGGAATACCCGAAAGGAGGAGATGATAAAAAGAACTACATTCTTCTATTGAAAGGTTTGGTACTCCAAACAGAAACTATCGGAAACGTAATCAGACTTTGTCTAGGAACTAAAACTTAATTAATAATTACTTATTTTTTAATATAGTATACAATATTTAAACTTGTAATATTTATAAACAGATAGGAGGGGACGAGTGGAAATTATTGTGTCTTGTACAGATTTGGACACATTTGAAATTAAATGAAATTATTTCAAATACTTTGTTATTTTTATTTTTAAAATAATATAGGAAAAGTAACGTTATTCGAGTTATTACAAATAAAAACTAGAAAATAAAATAAGTAATTATCAAACAAACTAACGCAAGATTATTTCAAATAACATCTAACCGAATAAGATAGTATATTATTTTAACGACCACCTTTCGTATGTTCTGTTTCAATAATAGCCTAGTTTTTGCCAGATTATTGTTAATTGGTACATTTTCAGAGCTTCGGGAAGCATTCGAGGCAGAAGCTCAAGAGAAGAAGATGCCACGGCTTCTTTTGACCGCTGCTGTACCTGTTGGTCCAGACAACGTTAAGAGCGGATACGATGTTCCGGCTGTTGCAAGGTAAATTATTAACAGTCAATGCCTGTTATTATTAAAATTATTTGACGAATCGACGGTCGAATTAGTTAAAAAAATTGTGTGTCGAACTGGACTCGAAAATTATTGGGACGAAATAGGAAGCCGAGTCCAGCTGGGTATAGGACGACAAAGGGTTGAAATTGTGCTGGAAAAAGATCATATGGGATGTCTTGTTTAGTTACTTGGACTTCATCAATTTAATGGCGTACGACTTTCACGGTAAATGGGAAAGAGAAACGGGCCATAATGCGCCATTGTACGCCTCGTCATTGGACTCCGAGTGGCAGAAGCAGCTCAGCGTAGATAACGCGGCGTCGATGTGGGTTCGGTTGGGTGCCCCTAAAGAGAAATTAATAATAGGCATGCCAACTTACGGACGATCCTTCACTCTCTCGAATCCTGCGAATTTCCGTGTTCATTCACCTGCCAGTGGCGGTGGAAAGGCCGGCGAATACACCAAAGAATCCGGATTTCTTGCCTATTATGAGGTATTTAAGAACACTTTGTTAATATTTCATTTTGTAGACCATCGTTCATATCGTTAAAGTAAAAATAACAAAATAATTCAATTACACCGATAAATTGATCAAATTTAATGAAGACGCGAATGGATTAAACGACGTTGTTGAACAAATAGAGGGTGTTCGGCCACCCCTTTGAAAAATTTTAATGGGAGATTCTAGAAGCCAAAATAGACCGAAAATCAAGAATATCAATTTGTTGATGGAGGCTTCGTTAAAAAGTTATTAACGTTTAAAGTTCCACCCGTACTGAATTTTTTTTCTCGAAAATGCGCAGGATTTCGGGATATGTCTATTCACCAAAAATGATTATAATAGACCCCTACAACCAAAAATAATTTTTCCAGAACGATTTGAAATTTTGTAATTTTGTCGAAAAATTTCACACCTTCTTGAATTTTTTTCTCAAATGTGGGTAGGATTTCGAGGGTATGTCTAATGACCAAAAATGATTGTAATTGACTCTTGTAATCAAAAATAATTTTTTTAGAATGATCTGAGATTTTTTAATTTAATTTTGTTAATAACTTTTTAACGAAGCCTCAATCAAGAAATTGATATTCTTGATTTTCGTTTTATTTTGGCCTCTAGAATCTCCCATTAAAATTGTTTCCTCGGATGCCCAAACACCCTGTATATGTATATTTTTTAAAAAGATTTGCGAGATGCTGCAAAATGGCGCGGCGTACGTGTGGGACGACGAAATGAAGGTACCCTACTTGGTGCAAAACGAACAATGGGTCGGCTTCGACGACGAGAAGTCTATCCGTATAAAAATGGATTGGCTGAAGAGCAAAGGTTACGGGGGCGCGATGGTGTGGACGGTGGACATGGACGATTTCAACGGTACAGTCTGCGGTGGGAACATTCGGTATCCTCTGATCGGAGCGATGAGGGAAGAATTACTAGGTATCTCGAGGGGCTCGAACGCGAAGGACGTCGATTGGAGCTCCGTGGCCGCCACCGTGACGGAAGTTATCCAAAAGAAACCGGAAGCTTACAAAATATCGGTCTCCGATGTCCTCAGCAAAGCTAAGAAAGTTGCGAAACCGACGACGCAACTCGTCATCAACAGTCCGGCCAATGGTAAGGTTTTTTGCGTTTTACCGGTGATTCTGGTTTGTAATTTTTAAAAAAATGAAATTCAAAGAAAAAAGAAATAAAAATACATATGTGGTTCCACGGTATTTGCGTTTACGCGGGATTACCTTTCTCCTGTTCGTAGAAAGAGGGGCCCAATCTATGTGTTATCTGACGAATTGGTCGCACAGAAGACCGGGAGCTGGAAAATTCATGCCCGAGGACATCGATCCGACGCTCTGTACTCACATAGTCTACGCGTTTGCGACCTTGAAGAATCATCTACTCGTGGAGGAGAGCGACAAAGACGCGGAGATGTACAATCGACTGATCGCCCTTCGGGATAAGAACCCAGATATCAAGGTGAAGCTTTTTCGTGGCAACCTGTAAAATTCTTTCCTGTTTTTTTAATGAAGTTTCACGATGTTCAATGGATGCGAAAAGGAAAAATTACGTACAATAAAGTGGTACACACCTTTTGAAATAACAAACGATAACTTTACAGATACTACTAGCGATCGGTGGTTGGGCCTTTGGGTCCACGCCGTTCAAAGAGCTGACCAGCAACACTTTCCGCATGAATCAATTCGTGTACGAGGCCATCGATTTCTTGAGAGAATATAAATTCGATGGTCTAGACGTCGACTGGGAATACCCTCGGTGAGAACCTGAAAACGATTTTGTGTTAATTCAGAACCCGTACCGAAACTTGTATCGAAATTGTCTTGAATCAGGGGTAGCGACGATCGAGCGGCTTACGTGAATCTTCTAAAAGAGCTCAGACTTGCTTTCGAGGGCGAGGCGAAGAGTTCTGGCCAACCGAAACTAATTTTGTCAGCCGCGGTGCCTGCTAGTTTCGAAGCTATTGCGGCGGGGTAAGTTCTCCACCATGATTTCCGTTCCATCTTGTACAGCATCTATAAACTGTAATCGTTAATTAATAATTGAAGAACAATGGAGACGACTGGCTCAATAAACGAGGAAATACACATGTTTTTGTCTCGATTCCATACCAAAGATTTGTACGTAATTTATGTGAATTTTAGATACGATGTGTCTGAAATATCAAAGTATCTGGATTTCATTAACGTCATGACGTACGACTTCCATGGCCAATGGGAGAGACAGGTCGGTCACAATAGTCCACTGTTTCCTTTGGAAAGTGCTACCAGTTATCAGAAAAAATTGACAGTAGTAAGTATGAAATTATAAGGAATATTATATTTTGTTACTTAAATTTTGTTGCTTAAACGATGCTTTCTTTGCGTTATAGGACTACAGTGCGAGGGAATGGGTGAAGCAAGGAGCTCCTAAGGAAAAGTTGATGATTGGAATGCCAACTTATGGCAGGTCCTTCACACTGGTGGACAAAGAGAAGTTTGACATTGGTGCACCAGCTTCGGGCGGAGGAACGTCCGGAAACTTCACCAGCGAATCCGGATTCCTTTCCTACTACGAGGTACCATGCATCGCCAAACGTTTCTTTCTCAGCGAATGCAACATACTCAGTGTTGTATCGTTAAATGTTTAGGTTTGTGGCTTCCTGAACGAAGACAATACCACTCTAGTTTGGGACAGCGAGCAGCAAGTACCTTTCGCGTACAGAGAAGACCAATGGGTCGGATTCGACGACGAAAGAAGCCTCATAAATAAGGTGAAAGATAATAGAAAAGCTTAGTAATTAATTCTCATGGAAAAATGTATTCGAACGCTTTTGCGCCCCGTTAGATGCAATGGCTGAAGGAAGAAGGTTTCGGAGGTATAATGATATGGTCGGTGGACATGGACGACTTTAAAGGAATCTGTGGCGGCGGAAAGTATCCGCTGATCAAAGCTATGAAGAAAGAATTGCAAGACTACAAAGTGAAACTGGAATACGACGGTCCTTACGAGAGCAACTCGAGAAACGGAAGGTACACCACCAAAGATCGTAAGTATTTATACATTTTATTAATTTAATTCCGCTTGATTAAATTAATTTAACGACCCGCCTTTCTTCGAACAATTTACTTTTACACGGACCGTCGATATTTAAAAAATATTATTTTTCCAGCAAACGAAGTGTCGTGCGACGAGGAGGATAACCATATATCTTATCATCCCGATAAAAACGACTGCACTATGTATTATATGTGCGAGGGCGAGAGGAAGCATCACATGCCCTGCCCGGTCAATTTGGTTTTCAATCCCAACGAGAACGTCTGTGATTGGCCCGAGAACGTCGAAGGTTGTTTGCAGCACACGCAAGCACCGCCAGTGTAAATCGAAAACAAAAGAAAAAGGGACACAAATTATAATATTTGCGAAATTGCAAGCGACGTAGGAACATTAAGGAATACTCACGACCAGTCCGATCGATTGGTCGCTGACAAAATTTACTACTCCCGACTTAATACTTCCTTTCTGTAATATCCGTTCTTCCATTCGTCCCTTTTCACCGTATTTTTGTCTCTCCTTGTCGAGTACCTGGCGAGTTTTCTCTGCCTTTTTTTTGTCATTTGTATAAAACACATACTTACTATACCATGACAAATTTTTTTTGTAAATAAAAAGAAAATTCTACGAAGTAAGAGTAACTTTTTGAAATTTTTTATTAGTCAAAACCGATCGTCTCGTTTGTAAAATCGGCAACGAAACAGCGAAAGGGAGTAAAATGCATATCGTCAACTAGTTATTCTTTTTATTTTGTAACTTTACATAAAAAATCACGATTTATTGTTCGTATTTTCGTCCTTGTATTATATTAATATTTGGTCTAAGCTCGTTCTCGTCTCTTTTATTTTCCAAATCCGACGAGAACGGCAATTCGGAGTAATTATACCGTGTCTAATAATTACCATTTTTTAGTCGTTCGGAATATGTTTATAGTCTTAAGGAAAAGCATTACTCTACGTTAAGTATGTACATACATGCTTCGCATTCACGAATATGATTTTTCTTTTCCTTCTGTTTTTAATGCACACGTACTTTTTAATGGTCGTTGGATATTTAGTATCTCGATATGCGGTAAAACTATAATTACAAAACTGAGCTGATCCATATTGCGGTTTAATACAAAGTTTTCTATTATTTTTTTTTTTATTCCGCAAATGTATAGAAATCGCAAATTGTTGAATGTATCACCAGTATCAAATTTGATCCCACTCGTAAAAATAATATTCGTGGCTCGTACGTTAACAAGTTCTATCTGAACTAACGTCAAAAGCTTTCTATTTCTTTTCATTGGATGAAAAACTTCTTAGTAAAACCGTTTACCAAACAAAGTAACTGGTTATTGCTATTACGTTAAACTGTAGACGAAACCCAACAGCGATAAGTAAAGGACCTTCAAAGACTTTATAAACTGCAAAAGTTGCTAAAAACGGTCGATATTGCAAAATTTTACAAAAATATAAACTTTGAAAGTATCGTGTAATTTGGTTGATAATATGCTATTATTAAACTACGCTCTAGCGCTTAAAAAAAACAATGGGAGCAGTGGAATACCTTGGAAACACAGAAAAACCGCATGAACGTATGGACCATCCTAATAGATAATCGAAAATTCGTTGAATCGAAGGTGATTTATCGAATTTAACTCAATTGGCTATGATCGTTAAAAGAATAATGTGGACTATGGCCAACCAAGTAGTGGCCAGTCTTTCATAGTTGCCAGAGCTAAGGGCTGACGCTTGGCAGGCAGTGTGGGGAGTCCCTAGTGTCAAAAGAACCTTGTCGGACGAATCGGATGGTGTGGTCTCTGTGCAAACGGCTCTTCCAGCGATCATTCTCAATTGCCTGGCATCGTACTGAGAAGCAACGTGGATCTGGCGAGATTCGCGAAGCCATCTTCGTAACCACAGACTGAGCCAAGCGATCTCGCAATCGCATTCCAAGGGATTCCCCGATACCTGTAAACCCCCTAGAAAATAAAAATTAATACATATACCTTCCAATGATATTTTCGGTTATCGAATTTCTCGACGACGAAAATCAGTTTCAGACGCTATTCTTTAAAATTAATAGCACCAAAATGTACGAATTTATGTCGACTTTTAATAAGATGAAACAACGATTACGTTTCTTGATTTTTTTTCTTTCAAACGTATTAATATATTAATTATGGATACTCACCAACCACCATATTGGTCCCAACACTTTCCCACGATAGGTTCCCGTAAATAACCGACGGACTGAGCTCGTTTATGTGATTATTCCTCAAGTCCAGCGTGAGTCGCGACAGCGTCTTCGTCAGAGAGAGAAAAATATCCGACTGAAGTCTGCGAACTCGCGTGTCCTTGATTCGCAGTATCAATTCACCGCCCTCGATGGTGGAGAACGCTTCCGATGAAATCACTTCGAGATCGTTCCCGGAGATCGTTAATTCTCTGAGCTGCTTTGTAAAGGCGTTTTGTATTTGATGCTTCAACAAATATTCTGTAACTTGTATCTCTACGGTTCTCAACGGTAATCCAGTTAACAGATATCGAAGATGGAATCCTTCCGCTTCGGGCCACGTTTGAATTCGAAGATGCTTCAGGTATTTTAAGACGCGAAGACAGTCTTTGTCCACCGACCTCGTTCTATTTAGATTCCTCAACTTCAGATCCTCCAGCCTCGGATAACCCATGAAGCTCTCTTTCGTCAGTTTCTAAACCAAATCACAGTTTCGTTACTCGTCTTTAAGCAAATCAAATTTTCTTTAAAAAAAAAAATATTTAATTATTCTTTTACGATTCACCTCTATCGGATTTCCGGAAACGTCCAGCTCCCTTAGGAGATTCAACTTAACATTCGGCATAGAAGTCAGCGAGTTGTTCACCAGTAGAAGGACTTTCAGGTTCTTTAAGTATTGGAACTGCTTGTCGGGCGTCGAATCTATATAGTTAAAGGACAAATCCAAGACGTTCAAATTCGTCAGAGGCAGAAGGGGAATATCTCTAAAGCTACAGTTGGTCAGGTAGAGCTGCCTCAGCCCGGGCAGATAGTGGAAAAGCTCTTTAAAATTCGTTTGCAGGATATTCTGTGACATGTTCAATCGCAGAAGCTTTCCCAGCGAGACGAACGAATTGTCCGGCAGGATCGTCAGCCTGTTGTGCGCCAGATTCAAGGAGACCAATTGGGAAGTTGGAAACGCGGTGGAATCGAGGTGATCCACGAAATTGTCCGCCATGTCTAAATCCCTCAACGTGTAACCGACTTCGAGGAAAGACGGCGATGGAACTACGGTGAATTTGTTGCGGCTTAGATCCAATATCTCCAACTTTGTACCCTCGAAAACGTCTCTGGGTAAAGATCTGATCTTGTTGTCGGACAGATTCAAGATCCGCAGATTCTTCAAGTTTCGGAACTGCTCGGTGGGCAGCTGATTTAGCAAATTTCCGCTCAGATCCAATTGTTGTAACAAACTCAAGCCGTGGAACGACTGTTTTCTTAAACTCTCTATCTTGTTGTCCTGCAGGTTCAGCGTTTCCAAACGACTCAGCCCGAAAAAGGTGCCTGGTTCGAGAGCGGCGATGAAATTACTCTGAAGGTCCAAGCTCCTTAAATCGGGCGTGTTGTAAAACGTGTCGACAGGCAGCTGGCTGATGTTATTGAAGCTCAAATCCAATCTCGTCAGATTGTTTATCGAACTTCCGGAATTCAGGACTGAGATCGCGTTATAGGATACGTTCAGTGCGAAATCCAGCCCGCCGATCTCGGAGATCGCGTCTAGATCTAAAGCGGTCAATTTATTGAACTCCAGGTGAAGGAAACGCAGACTGGGCAGACCGTACAAGGCGTTCTTCTCCATTCGCGAGATCCTGTTGTAAGCCAACGATAACGTTACCAGTTTCGGACAGTCTAGAATCGACTCGGAACCAAGGACCTTTATTCGATTTCCAGTCAGATCCAGAGCCGTCAGGTTGGTCAAATTGTGGAAGCTGAACTCCGGAATGGCCTCCAGAAAATTGTAACCGAGCTTGACGTCCGTCAGTTCGGGATGCACGCTCGATAAGAATATACGCTCTGGCAGATAGTGCAACCGATTCGACTCTAGATTGATATATCGTAACCGTTGGAACGAGTAAAACGCTGTTGCTTCGATGGTCTGGAAATTATTATTGTCCAAATCTAGCCAGTAGAGCTCCGACAAAGGCCTGAGGGCTCGTTGCGGAAACACGTCGGTGGCGAACGCAAAACTCAACTCCAAAATGCCGAGACTCTTCTCGATGCCTGCGAAGCAGTCGTCGTCCAGCTCCGTTAAATGATTGAAAGACAAGCTGAGTTCGTGCAGTCTGCCTGAAATCGTTATTTTAAAATTAGTCGTCGCCTCTGAGCTAACCGAAATACGAAATTATAATAGGAAAATTTTGATCGATACTCACTTGCTCCCTTGAACGTTTCTCCGCTCAATTTCGTTAACACGTTGTTCCTAAGCAGCAAAATTTCAAGGTCCTCTGCCCACTCGAAATCGCCCGGTTGAACGTGCGAGATCTTGTTGTAATCGAGATTCAGGTGTAATAGCCTCACGCACCTTTTTCGAAAAACATCGAATAAGTTCTTTGGGAATTTTTTGCAAAAAACACAACTCCGTTTACAGTAAAATTTACAAAGTTTGAAACGAGAAAATGTGTAAGATTTTTAATTAGCATTTTACAAACAGAAGCGAGGAAAGATACCGTAATAAAGCTGCAACAGGAACCGCGTCCAAATTGTTAGTGGCGAGCGAAAGAACTCGCAAGTCTTCGCCAAACTCTTGAAAAGCGTCCCCAGAAATATTTCTTATGTCGTTATCGGCTAGATACAAGTAGGACAACTTCTTCAACCGACTGACGGCTCCAGGAACATTTGGCAGATCGTTGTTTTCCAGATTCAAGTACTCCAAGCTGTCCTCGAGCCCTCGAAACGCATCGTCGTCGACGTTCTTGATCGAATTCGAGGACAAATGGATCCTCTTGATATCCAAATGATCGAAAATCCCAGCAGGCAACGAATTCAACTTGTTACTGTCCATGTTGAAGTCCTTGATCTTTAAAGTACGATTGGCCAAACTGGGCGCGCAGATCCATTCGATGGAATTCTCGCTGACGTCGATTAATTCCAAGTTCGAGCTTTGAAAATCCGGCAACTCGAGGTACTTAAAATCGTTGCCCCTTAAATGCAACAGCGTGAGGGCTTTCAATGTTTTCAACGACGACGGGAAATTCTTGAGGAGATTGCTGTTCAGACTGAGCGTGTGAATCTTGGGTGGCAGACTGTCTTCCGAAATTTCCTCGATGTTATTGTTATCCAAGTACAGCCTGACCAGAGACTCGAACGTGGAGAAACTTTTAGGTATGTGGATGATCGAATTGTCGCTAAAAAATGCGTCTGTCAGCATGTCCTTTGCGTGGCCCCAATCACCGTCCAACGATGTTAGATAATTGCTGAAAATGTATTAATAATCTTTCGTTTTTTCGGGCAGGCTTGAAACGAGGAACATGTTTTTATTACAAAACTTAAAGGATATACCCTGAATAATTAACAAAAGGAAATATGTAGTCTCAAAAGATAAAAAATTTCTTAATTTCATCAAAGTATATCGGCGTTTACCTCTCCATGTTGAGCCATTTCAATTTTCTCAGGTCACGAAAGGCCTCGAAAGGTACGTCCTCCAGGGCATTGTAACTCAGATCCAATGAACGCAATTTGTCCGCAATACCTCTAATAACAGAGCCGGTGAAGGTGTGAGTTTCTTTTTATCTTTGAAAAGAAAGAAACATAAATCTTTCTACGGACGCAATCAAAGAGCTAGACGAAGCGTAATCGTGCAAAAAGTATCTTGAAGGTTACAGACAAATTCCTTTAATTTGGTCTCGCCTAGCATCCGGGAGAGGAGAGCTTATGGTATTTTGCCCAATTAACAGAAATAAAAAATGTTACAGTAAAAAAAAAATGGTAGGTGATAATCTAGAAATATTGTGATTCGTGCCTACGTACTTTCTCGCATAATAAAACGATGAACAAAAATGAAAATTGAATTATCGATAACACGTAACTTCGCGGATCGTTGTGACTTACGAAAAGGACTTATCAGCGATGTTGGATAGTCGATTGTTCATCAATACCAAAGCTTCGACGTCAACCGAACTCGTCAGTGCGTCGTTATCCAACGTCTGCAATCCAGAACCGACTACCACCAATTGAGCCACATAGCTCACTGAAACATCTGTGAAAAAAAAAACATAACTTGTAAGTGTACAATGGACACCAAACAAACAGAAAAAAAGATACGTACCGGGAAATCTGGCAAAAGGTGTTCCCATGCAGGCGATGTTCATCTTCGTGAAATCCTGATCGTCCTGGACCCAACACATGCACATTGTGTTGAACGTGCATGGTACGTTGTAGCACTCAATCACTCCCGACGTATAAAAAACGAAGAAGATCTTCACGCAGATGCCTTTCAGTTTGTCCGACAACATCTTTATTAAACAAACGAAATATTCAATCAATTTTAAAATTCTGATATTTTTTAAAAATCCGAAGCTCGTTTATTTCTTTAGTTCCAACCGCGACTGTATCCTTACTAAACAGAATGTTCTCCGATTTGTCTGTTTTAGATTTAGACGAACATCTCAGGCATACCTCGTTGCTGTTAGGGAGTAATCTTCCTGTGAGTTGGCAATGGTGTGGATGTTGGGGTTTTTATTGTAATTATTACATCGCACCTCGCTTAAAAAACGCTTCACCTTTCTTTTTCCCAAACGCGCACACATTTTTTTCCTTCTCAACAAACATACCAACTCATCATTCATACCAACCCAGCAAAAGCTAGATATTTTCACACCCTTCCTCAATTCAAATCGCAACGATGAGAATTGCTAATCAAGCATTTGTAAGTTGTCTCTATGTTTTATAAACAGCTTTGACACCAGTGATTTTGTTAATATGTCCGCAGTGTTTTTGTTTGTCTCTATATAATCTAGAATTATGAAACCCCTATTAACTAAATCCTTGATATAGTGATACTTAATATCTATGTGCTTGCTCCGCTTGCTGTTTTCGTAGTTCCTTGCAATATTGATCGCTCCTTGATTGTCGACAAGCAGTATTGCATCTATTTCCTTTTCGCACATCTCTACAGCAATTCCTTTTAATGATATTAGCTCGGCAGAGATTAGAGCAGCAGCAACATATTCGGCTTCTGTCGATGACAGGGCAACGCTTTGCTGCTTTCTTGATATCCAATGTATCAAATGGTTATTGAAAAAAATTGCCCCTCCTGTCGTACTTTTTCTGTCTATTATATCTCCTCCCCAGTCGGAGTTTGAAAAAGCAACTAGACTGTATGAGTTAGTTTTTACATACCTTAAGCATTTATTCTTCGTTCCTTTCAGATATCTGAGTATTCTCTTTGCCGCATTCCATGTAGTTTGACTCGGTTTGTCAAGAAACCTGCTCAGACATGACACTGCAAATGTAATATCAGGCCTTGAACCCATTGAAATGTACATTAGACCTCCTATTAACTCTTGGTAAGGTACATTTGCTGCGCATTCGTTCCCTTCTGCTCGAAAGTTTGCTTCCATAGGAGTTGAGGCCTCCTTGCATTGCTCCATTCCAAAGTTTGTCAACATTTTGTTGATTAGAGTTTCTTGAGAGATCTTGATTGTACTTTCATCTCTAAATATTTGCATTCCGAGAAAATTTTTGATTTCTCCCAAATCTTTTTTGTGAAATTCTAATTTCAATGGCTGTATTATCTGATTGATTGCTGTTCCCGTTATCAATATGTCGTCTACATATACCAACATTATTGTTCTGCCTTTTGTGTACAGACAGAAGTCACTCTTGGATCTGTTGAATCCGTGTTTAATGGCAAAGTCATTAAACGTCTTGTTCCAGCATTTTGGTGCTTTTTTGAGACCGTACAATGCTCTTTTAAGTTTGAGCACCGTTCCTTTCTCTTCGTTTAAACCTTGAGGTGGTTTGATATATACCTCCGATTGAAGTCGTCCATTTAGAAATGCTGTTGGTATATCCATTTGATTTATTTTCCAGCCATTTTGTAGAGCGATCGAAAACAGCATCCTCACTGTAGAGAGTCTAGCTACCGGTGCGTACATAGACTCCTCTTCATGTAGTTGGTATCCTTTAGCGACCAACCTTGCCTTTTTGATACCTTGTTCTTTGGTTCTGAATATCCACTTTGTATCGATAGCTTGAACTCCTTTGGGCAGCATTGTTTTTTCCCAAGTTCCCAGCTTTTTGTGAGCTTCTAGCTCTTTGTCTATTGCTATTTTCCATTCTTCTTGTTGTACTGCTTCATTGTAAGTTTTGGGATCGGCGTTGGCCAATAAACAGTAACTCATATACACCTGATAGTCTTTTAAGTGACTAGGTGCTTTCTTAGCTCTTCTTGTTCTGTTTGTATTCTGTGGTAATTCTTCATTCTTCTCTTCTTCATTCTCTTCTTCTTCAGTAATGTTTTCTTTTTCTTCATCTGGTTTATTCTCTTCTCCCAGTTGTTCATTTTTCTTTTCTTCTTGCTGTATTTCTTCATCTATTCTTATTGTTTCTTTTTTCAGTTGATTTTTCCTTTCATCAAACTTTACGTCTCTCACTGAGATAATCTTGTCCGTCGATGGGACCCACACTCTATATCCATTATCGCAATATCCTACCATTCTTCCTTCTACTGCTCTGTTTTCAAATTTTCCTGTTTTTGGTAATATGTATGACCATGTTTTGCATCCGAATACTCTTATTTTTCCTAAATTCAAATGACCATACCATCTTTTGGCTGGTATGTCTTCTTTGAGAGCACTTGTAGGAGATCTGTTCAACAGAAATGCAGCTGTCCTTGTTGCTTCTCCCCATAGATTCCTCGGTAGATCATTTCCTGACATCATTGCTCTGGCTTTGTCCAGTAACGTTCTGTTCATCCTCTCGCTTACCCCATTCTGTTGTGGTGTGTAAGGGATGGTACTTTGTATCCTTATTCCTTTAAGATTACAGAAATTTTTTAATTCTACATTTAGGAACTCTTTTCCATTATCACAGCGTATTTTGTACACTTTGTTTCCAAATTGTGCTTTGATTCTTTGTACATAGTTTTTTATATTATTAACTGCTTCATCTTTGCATTTTAACAAGTACACTGTTGTGAAGTGAGTATAATCGTCGATAATTGTCTGAAAGTATCTCTCACCATTGATGGTTGGTGGATTTATTGGTCCACAAAGGTCAGTGTGGAGCAATTCACCAGTCCTGTGTGATCGAGGATATTGACAACTCATAAATGGCACTCTTGTGAACTTACCCTCTGTGCATGTTTCACAATCATTCTCATCCACTGGTAATTCCATTATCTTCATTCCTTTTCTATTCAGGTGACCCATTCTTCTATGCCATAATGATGAATCGTTCTCCGCTCCATATGCTACGTTCCTCTCATTTCTTATTTTGAACGTCATTGTGTATATTTTCCCTTCCTTCTTTGTAACCAAACTCACGTTCTTACCTTTTATTTTTGTTATGTCTTCATCGAAGGTGATGGTGAAGCCTCGTTTTGTCAATTGGTTCACTGACAGCAGATTGTGACTTAAATTTTTTACGATAAGAGCTTCTAAGCATATTCTTTTTCCTTTATATAATAGCAACAGTTTTCCTTTTTTCTTTGCTTTTAATACATCATCATTTGCTGTTCTTATTAAGATTTCTTGAGAAATCCTTTCCACAGATTTCATATTTTTCTCTAATTCTTCGTTTACTAGATGCTCAGTGGCACCCGAGTCAATGACAAATGTCACTGTTTTTTCTTCGCACTTTGTTTCCAAACATATATTATTTTCATTCATTGCTAGAAACGTTATATCATCATTATGTGAAACCATCTTTGCGTGACTTGGTTTGCCTCTTTGACTGAAACGCGTTTTTCCTCCTCTGCTTTCATACTTGTTTTCTCTGTGTTTGTTGGGACACTCATAGCTTTTGTGACCCTTTTTACCACACCCGAAACATACCAGGAAACTTGTTTCATTTTCCACGACTGTTGCAGATACATCTTCCCTTTTCAGTTCATATTCTAGCAGTCTAGTCTTCACGAAATCCAAAGTAACACTTGTCGTCATCGTTTCAATAGCGGTGACTACATTGTCGTAACTGGCTGGTACCGTTATTAGCAAATGACACACTTCGTCATCTTCCTCAATTTTTCTTCCTGAGGCTGATTCGAGATCTCTTATCAATGAGTCGAATTTAACGAAATGTTGTTCCATTTTTTCATTTTCTTTTAGCTTTAATGATAATAATTTCTTTTTTATGTATATTTTAGTGAATACACTTTTCCTTTCAAAGACATTCTGTAATGCGTTTATCATATCACTTGCATGTTCTTTGTCTTTCACATATTCTAAGTGCTTATCAGTTATGCACTGTATTATGATGGCTTTAGCTACACTATCATCTTTAGTGTAAGTGGCACCTGTGGGATCAGGATCTTCCACGACTTTTCTTACCCCTCTTTCTTCCAATATTGCCAGCACCCTAAATTTCCAGTTTGAGAAATGTTCTCCATCGAACAGTGGCAAATATTTAGTAGTTGTTTGTAACATTTTTGCTTTCGTGTATTTTTACGATAACGATATAATCTTACTTTTCCTTTTCTGACGCCACGTGGGTACTGGGCCCATAACCTTTGTTGGGTTTTTTATTGTAATTATTACATCGCACCTCGCTTAAAAAACGCTTCACCTTTCTTTTTCCCAATCGAGCACACATTTTTTTCCTTCTCACCAATCATACCAACTCATCATTCATACCAACTCATCATTCATACCAACCCAGCAAAAGCTAGATATTTTCACAGTGGAAGGATGTATGTATGGTGAAGTGTGTGTGAGTTAGGAGCTGAGAGATGCGTAAAAACAGATAGGTTCGTGGAAGTAAAAAAGTATAAAAGAGAGTACTAGAAGAATTTATAGATAGGAGAATGTTACTTGAAATTGTTTTTGTATTAACCAAGTTTATTGTTTGTTAAATAAAGTATTATTTGTGTTAAGAAGATAATTCCGAAATATAGAATTATTTGAACCACGTGCTAACGCAACAGTTGCAATAACGTATTATTTCCTACAATTGCTATTATTTTTTAGTGACAACAAAATTGATGAGTATTCTCGAAAGGTGTATCGATGCGTGACAAAACCGCTGCGTTACAAAGTCTCATGGTCTCTTTGGAAAAAATTAATTAAAATATCTTAGGAAACATACAAGAAAGGAATATTCGTGCTAAAATTCCCTTTACACTTAACTAATTGCCGTATGAAGAAATTAACGTAAGAATGACAACACGTGTGCGTTTATCAGAACGAATGATTATTTACAAACGTGACTCGGTAATAGTTTAATTATTATTCGAGGTAGGAAAGAGTAGAAGAATCAAACCTTTATGGAAACAGATTTCTACGATGTTTTCGGTCGCTCGGTTGAAGCGGCGGTCAAACCGGTTCCATTATACGACAGTGTATTTAAAAACTGACACTAACTTTTGACGAAACCTCATATTTTACTTGCCACATTAATGTTTGGGGGAATTCGCGAAACAACGACACGCAAACTCGAGGGACGAGCTTACCGAGTGCACGAAAGTGCGGAGCTGGAAGCGACGAAAGCGCATGTTCCTCGGCCCTATGGATCGAACCAGGCGCAAAACAAGTCTAAACTCACGCTCAGGCTCATGCAAATAAACGTAGCGAAACATACTTGAACAATATAGGATAATTGCTGTAAATCGAAATACAATTCACACTACAAAAAAATGTTTTGTGAAAGGAATATAAAATAACATAATTTTTCTATTAAATTAAGTGATTCAGGATGATTAATATTTTCATCTGCAGCAATTTGGAAGGGAAGCGACGTTTAAGAGGAACAAAGACTTTTCTTAAATATTTATAAGCTCGTTAGATCACAAAAAGATTTAAAACGAGTTTCAACGAATGTTTATGAATTCCTGCATTCGTTTAAAGGACGTCTATTATGTAACAACAAACCATACAACTTTTACGAAAAATATTTATTTCCAAATTAAGTTACACGGGACATCTTGTATGAACAAAAAGATAGAAACTTTTTAAAGCATAAGAGAATGCAGTTTGTTAATGTGCAGGAAAAATATCTACCTATTGCTAATTTATATTAATTTCAACTTAAAATAGACATTATTCTGTACCTTGTGCAAAATATAGAATTATTATTAAGTTACTTGTGTGCAATATGTACATTGCATTTCTGCAGTTTGTTAGCCCTCGCCAGAAGACACAAATTAAAAATTGTAACATGTTTCTGTAATGTATAAACTTTTACTTAAACCCTAAAATTATGTTAAAATTATTACCATCTTTTCCTTTTATAATTTCTTTGTATTAACATGATTCTACGATATAGTAGGATATACAGCGTTGACTCCAGATGACCTCAACATCTCTGCAAATTAGAATTTTATACAAATTTCACGTCTAACATTTCATTCCCCATTCTAAAACCGAGTTTCCTGTATTTCCATACTTTTAAAAAATATTTGCGTGACCTTGAAACCGGTGCACAAAATTATCGAAAAAAGTACGTGCAAACGAACATGGCGTCCTGCTACGAGGAAGCATTGCAAGGAGAAAGGAGACGAATTAAAGGGCATTCGAAAAAACGAAATGGAAAAGTGAGTATGAAAAAAAAACGATGACTCATGAAAAAGTGAAAGGTTGTCTGTTGGTCCGTCTCCTACTCGATGCGTGATCTTTATTCAAATCGAAAGCCTTCCCTCCCATCTCTCGTTCTCTCTCCGGACTCACGACGTACACTGAAAATCGTTATCGAAAGGGATTTGTGGAAGGTTGGGATCGATCTCGCGATCCAACGATACGGATCGATGATTTTCATTCGGTGGTTCGCGGTTCTCCGAGTCAACTTGATACAACGTTCCTCGAGGACAATGTTTTTCTTCCTTGTTTCCGTTACGACGAAATAATAAAAGCAATCGAACCGATGATTCGTGCGACCGCTGCCGGAAACATTGTTGTTTATAAAACGAACGAACAAACAGGATTTCGAAACGTTTCTCGTGAAATTTCTGCGAAATGTGCGAGTGATAATTTCAAATAAAACTTGCTATGATTTCGACGAAGAATAAGTAATTGTTTGTGTCGGCCGGTTAATGTAATATAATAATAGTTCGGTAGATTCCATCGTTTCTTCTGGTGTCGAGCGCAGACTGGGAATGAAAACAAATCACGCGTAAACATCGGATTATAAAGTGTACGCGATTTCATTAACGATCGGAAAATTAGTTACTCGTTCGACAAAACTGTGCGGCGAAAGAAGATGGAAAGCGACGTTAGCGAGACGGTAGACAAATGTATAATAGAAAGAAGAAGAACGACCATCTTGGAGGAGTGTTCCCAAATGATCGAAGCGAATGGCACCGTTCGATGCAACAAAGACGCGTTCAGGCGATTTTTTATGGATCGAGTAAGCGTTTTCGAGTAATATAAAACTATGCTTTATCATTGTTCGTAATTTTAAATTAGTCATAAAATATCTGTGTTAAAATACAGAGTTTAAAACAGTATGGTATACATGGCAAAGGATAAATCTCGATTCCTGAAATAGAAAAAGTAACCGCTTCGTTTCTGCGTTAACACTGGCTGTGGAAGTTCGAAAAGAAATTCTTCCTGAACTTAAAAATCATGTTAAATTATACTAATAATTAAAAGGGTTAAATTTGATAACAGTTCCATATTTCCATAATTGATAACGAAGCCAAAAATAATTATTAGACCGCGACAACTCGAAAAAGCTCATAAGGATCGAACGAGGACAAATGACACAAGGTCGGGTCTCCATTGAAAGTAAGTAACGGCAAGGCGAGATCAATATCGAATAGATAATTACTTAAGGGAAAAGAATACACAGCGGCGACGGGATCGTAGCAAATGACAAGGGGATCTATCGAGGGCCACAGATTTCGATCAAGGTGGCTGATCGCCCGAAGCCAGAAAGCATTCGCGCCTCGAGCGTCTTTGATCCTCGGAATTCGATCGCGGCCACGACCCTGTCCGGTGTCCCTGGATCTGTCCAACAATCGCGTGGTTCAACCAGACGAACAGCCTCCATTCGCAACTCCATACTTGCGAAAAATACTGTAAACATTCGAAATATAAGTAAATACATGTATGGAATACCAATATGAAATAGTCTACGGTTAAAGAAAAGTAAATAATCATAAAGTAGGTCCAGAAATATGTGTAGAACCGATTACCCCCTTAAGTATTTTATATAAAATGTAGTGCTAATCACTTGTGCTATTATATGAAAATTTTTTCGTACGAACACTTTCGTCTCCCAATTAGTTCACATAAAATTCCATTTATTCCAAGGAAATTTTCACTACGCGATCGCTAAATACGCGTACAATATATTTCAGACGTTACAGGAGAAGTTGTTTTTATTATTCGACCAGGATGACGACAAGACGTTAAAACAGGATGATTGGATTGAATTTTTAAAAGGAAGATTAACGTAAGATATATTTTATCACGCGCCAAGTCTTATCGAAACTAAACGTTCTGTTTGTAATACGAAATTATTAAACGTTACTTTCACAGAAATGAAAATCAGAACAATTTCATTAATGAAATTGAGAGTGTTGTATACACTATATGCGGCGATGATCCTGTTAGTTTTCTAAACTTTCAACAAATATTTTCCACTAAAGAGGTAAGTTGTTAAGTTGTTTATTTGTAAAACTGAATTTAATTCCTAAACAGTCATTGCTTATTTAGAATTTAGTATTAAAGCAATTCCACGAATAACTTTCGTTGAATGTAAATATTGTGATTCTTTAAGAAAAACTGTTAAAATGTTAAAAAGTAAGATGGTATTTCGGTCTATTACACTGTAAGGAAAGTAATAGAAAGCTTTGGGTCTCTACGAATCAACCACATTTATAAACCTTATTTATATTAATGGGTTTTTACCATCTACAGAAATAAATATTAATATTGTTGGAAATAATTTTCCATGCTTACATTTAACGTCTCTGTACGGGGAATTAGTAAGAAGTAGTGTTCAGAACTGAAGAGACGATGAACGGAAAGTATGGGGAGTCACGATTGGCTGCATCTGATTTAGTCAGCCCTCCACGCGCACAGATTTTCTGTCATCGATCATTGCCGATCGAAACGGTCGTCTCTACTAAATCCAGAGCGTCCCTTCATGGACCAGAAGTTGGTTAGAAGGGCGTTGAGGATGGGAATCAACTGCACATGTGCGGCACCCCTCTTATTCCCGTATCATCTCGCTAGTTGTCTTTTGTTATTGCATCTGAAAACATATCATAATCTCTAAAAATGTGACAAATGACAAAGAAACACGCATTGATAACACATTAACTCATTGACAATTTACAAATTAAAATCATGGACAGTATTAACAAGGACTAAATAAAACAGACATTTAAAATAAACATACATACATACATTATTATTTAGTCTCTATTTGCATTAAAGAGAAACATTTATTTCATTAGAAATTATTTCAATAGAAAAAAAATGATTTATAATACCATCGATACAATTATTTACAAAAAATTGTCTTATTTAACAATATTATATAATTTCATTCCAAAAGATAGTATTGATATACAGAGTGTTCGGCCACCCCTGGGAAAAATTTTAATAGGGGATTCTAGAGGCCAAAATAAGACGAAAATCAAGAATAACAATTTGTTGATGGAGACATTGTTAAAAAATTATTAACGTTTAAAGTTCCGCCAGTACTGAATTTTTTTCTCGAAAATGCGCACGATTTCGGAGGTACGTCTATTCACCAAACATGATTGTAATTGATCCCTGCAACCGAAAATAATTTTTTTAGAACGATTTGAAAAATTTTTTTTTCGTCGAAAAATTTCAGCATTTACACGATTTTTTTTCTCGAAAGTGGATAGGATTTCGGAGGTATGTGTATTCACCAAAAATGATTGCAATTGACCCCCGCAAGCAAAAATAATTTTTCCAGAACGATTTGAAATTTTTGAATTTAATTGTTAATAATTTTTTAACGAAGCCTCCATCAACAAATTGGTATTCTTGATTGTCGTCTTATTTTGGCCTCTAAAATTTCCCATTAAAATTTTTCCCAGAGGTGGCCGAACACCCTATACATACATATCAAGAGAAACTATTAGTACAATGTGGTATTATACAAATTTCGATCGGCAATGCATTAACATCGTATCTGATATTAAATACGCATTTTAAAACACTGCAGTTATCGTTTTTTTTTTTTTTTGTTAAAGTATTTGTGTTACAGGTCGTAGATAAATTATATCGAGTAATCGATGACGAAAACGTGGGATATGTAACGTCGTCTCAAATTATGGAGTTCATTGCCAAAATCAGCGACAGAAGGTGACTTCGTCTTAGACTTTAAATCTTAAGGTGTTAGAAAAGTGTTCGATAATCTTATTCTTTACTATGTTTTTGCAGACCTCGCGCCGGCTTCGACAGCAGTAGCCTAGAATGGTTGGAAAAGCTATTCAAGCAAATGGTAGGCAACGAGAAAGAAATAAGACGCGAAGAATTTAACAAGATTGTCACTTCAAAAAACGTAAGCAGAAGACATAAGCTGAATAAACATAAACAATGGTGGCTTTCTAACATACACATACTTTAGTGTATTTGAATTAAATAAATCATGCCTTATAATTTTGGAACTAGAACCAAATAATTTCCATCTAATACAAATTATTGTTTACAATTTGTATTTTAATATGTAGTAACAAAAAAAATGTCTCTTTCAGCCATTCTTCACCGACAGAGCCTTTCAAATATTTGACAAGGATAATTCCGGGGCCATATCTCTTCAGGAATTTCTGGATGCGATGCATCAGTTTGCAGGAAAAAGTCCAGACGATAAAATCAGATTTCTGTTTAAAGTTTACGACATCGACGGTAAAATACAACCACATTTCTTTGCTTCTAAGCTTAATTATGTTTAGCTTTACGGACACCTACCATTAGAGTTACTTGCAAACTACATTGTACGACCCTTTGCACTCTAAGAATTGTCTAGCAACATCAAGTGTTCTTTTTTCTAAAAAAAAAAAAGTTGAAAAATGTTTATTTTGTTAAATCAGTTTGTGTTACTATAAATTAAATTTGAACCGAGCTGTGTCCATTTTGTTGGCGATGTAACGCGACTCCGCCGTATTCTATTCGAAACAAAGACTTTCACACAATTCTTAATTGTGAAAAGGCGACGGATCGATACAACTTCTCGAATTAGAACACGTGGTGAGAGCTTGCATGGAGGAAAATGGAATGGAATTCAGCGAAGAACAAGTTAAGGAACTGACAATGGCGTTGTTCGAGGACGCCGATCAAGCCAATCGAGGCGCCATTACTTACGAGGCTTTGAAAAACCAATTGGAAAAGCACGAAGGACTCTTGGAAAACCTATCGATTAGGTAAACGACTCTTTCTATCGGAATCGTTGCAAAACGATGCTCGTTTAATCAATCGTGTCGCATTAATTGCAAGGGAAATTGATTAAAAACAGAAATTAAATCGCAGTATCGACCGATGGCTGGTACCACCGAAACCGAAAGCAAAGCGGAAATCGCTATTGGGTTTATTTGCATCGTTAAGACCTTATCAATTGACAAGACCGTACATCAAGAACAATTATGTTTACATCGCTTTCATCTCCGTCTTTATTTTGATTAACGTAACGTTGTTCGTATCGAGACTCTATGAATATAGACGAGCCAATGGCTACGTAATGCTTGCTCGTGCTTGTGGTAAGGAAACTGTTTCCAACAGTTAAATCTATGTACTTATTCTTGCTTTCAAATAGAATCTCTAAAAATAATTCACGGGGACTACGGTTCTTGCAGGTCAGTGTCTGAATTTCAACTGCAGTTTCATCCTGGTTCTTATGTTACGCCAGTGCATTACCTTTCTACGAAGCCACGGCTTCAATTCTGTGCTACCATTGGATCAACACATTTACCTCCACAAAATAACTGGGATTCTAATCGGTGCCTTCAGTCTACTGCACACGTTTATGCATCTTTTGAACTTCGGTAGACCATCGTTATGTTGCTGTTATTTTTGTCCACTTTTAATAAAGATGCACCAATATATTCGCAACATTCAAAATAAGAACGATTATATCGAGGAACAAAATGGAGAACAAACTTAATATTTTCAGGCACAATCGTGGTGAACGATGCCGTACTTAATCGTAACGAATATACTATATCCGAATGGCTGTTTACGAATCGTCCAGGACTGTTCGGTCTTATAGGAGGTTGTGCAAACCCAACTGGAATTATTCTTGTCCTCCTTCTCGTTATAATGACAGTCTGCTCTATGCCGTTTGTTCGCCGCGGCGGATGCTTCGAGGTCACACGGATTATTTCGTTTATTCTTTTCCTTTTCTCTATTGAAATCCTATCGTGTAATTTCCATTTTAATGTTACTAAAAATATAGCAACAAAAGATTGCGGTAATATAATAAATCGTAATATTTAATTTCATCGTACTACTGTTCAAGTACAACTGCCGAAGAGAAATAGTAATCAAAATCGGTTGATTTCGTTGACTAAGCGTGCACATAGGAATCCCCTAAAAATGTGCACTATCGTGCATTTGCTTTTCAATTTTATCGTAGTTTATTTTGATTATTACATATTTTATTCTCAGCGGTTGAACTTGAACAGAAGTAGATATAATGAAATTCAATATTACAATTTACTAAAAGCTCCTTCTTGTTGGATTTTCGTTTTGATAAGCTCGTTTACCGTTTTGCAGATATTTTACTGGTCACACCTGCTCTATATACCGTTCTGGATATTAACGATACTTCATGGACCGAATTTTTGGAAATGGTTTATCGTGCCGGGCACGATATATCTGGCGGAAAGAATTCGACGAATCGCCTGGTCTCGCTCTCAACTCGGAAAGACTTACATCAGTTCCGGTCTCTTACTGCCGTCGAAAGTCACGCATTTAGTCATCAAAAGGCCGCTACATTTTGACTTTCATCCTGGCGATTACGTTTTCGTAAACGTTCCCGCCATCGCCCGGTACGAATGGCATCCTTTCACCATCAGCAGCACTCCGGAACAGGAAGGTTAGACAAATCACCTATTTCAACAAAATTGAAATATCACTGGTCAATAAATTTCAAACAACAGTTTGTATTTCTTTACAATTAAGCTATCTCGCCCTTATTTATGTATACTGAGATAGGAAGTAATAAGAGAAACAAAATTACTTGACTCTAATTTGAAAAATATAAGTCATTGAATTCGTGACGAGGAACTAGAACTGATTGCTTAAATGAAAAATACATTTTAAATAGAATGCACATCAGATAGAAATTATAAATTAATCGTATTCCTATTTATCTGCACGCTTAAAATGTGTACCGCTTATTTCTAAATTAATGTTATTGTATTATATAAACAACTATGTGTGAAACTACGATGGTAATTCAAAAATTATAAATTATAAAAATGTTAATCCCTTCCCGTGCCATTTAGCTAGACGAAATTGCGCGGTGAACAGACCAGACTGATGCTAAACTGCTTTGTAACAGAGATTATAAGAATCTTGGCAGACTCTTGTGGCGTACCGATAGGAACTAAAACTAATCACGACCATGATTTGCTGTTCGCGAGCCTGGCTCGTGATGTTTACGTTTGGGCCAACTTTCTGTTCGCGAGTCTGGCTCGTGATATTCCGGTTTGGGCCAAAATCTTCATTAAGAATTAGACTCGTTAAAGTACAGGAAGGGGTTAACACACTGACGAACGCTTGAATAATGCCCGACTTATTAGTCCACCCGTGGCCATTTTGTGTGGACTCGATAGGCCTCCGCACTTGGTTTTTGATATAATAACAAAATGATTTTCCAATATTAATTGCATAAACGCCAGAACATATGTTTTTGTTTTATAGACTACATATGGCTCCATATTCGAGCGGTCGGTGAATGGACAAACAGCCTTTATTCTTATTTTGAAAAGGAACAAGTAAAACTTCACGAGAACGATGTGTTTCCGATCGCAGGGTGCAGCGATACCGTTAATTCTGGAAAAATGCAAGTTCCAATGCCACGTAACAATTGTTTTCGTTTAATTTACATTCTACGGACAACAAAAATGTTACTTTTTTTAATTGTTCGATTCAGATTCCTTAACAAAAATCAAGATTTAGTATTGAATGCGATAATGTCTTCGTCGTCTACGGAAACAGAGAATCACTGCGAATTTGATAATCCGGCTTTCGTTTCCGATACTGACAAGATAATACTATCGATACACTGTACAAACGGTAAGTTATTTCATGGACACAATAAAAAGTTTTATTCTCTTAAATACTATATGTTGCACAAGGTAATATAAAAATATGAATACGTAATATTATTTTACTTGGTATCTGTTAATTATAGTAAAGTAATAAAACTTATTAACGTTGAAAGTAATAATGATAATCATAACAGTTATACTAATTAGATAAATAATATTAACGAAAACTAAAATAAAAATTATTTTTCATTATAATAATCTATTATAGCTTTAGCGTGTTCTTGAATCTGTGGCTCCGTTGTCATTATTTTCTGCAAATAATACAATAGTCTGTCCGTTTCTTCCCCTATTAGAGAAACAGGTTCTGACTCGAAACATTCTGCTATTGTATCCTTTTCACCGATTTTTTCTTCTACATTGCACTCGTTAAACCAATCCCTAATTTCTTCATCGTAAATCGTTTGGAACGATTGTCTCTCGTCTGATGTTGACTCATCTTCTTTGGGACACTCTTTGATGCTTTGTCTCACAGAACGATTAAGAATTTTGGACCAAGCATTAAAAATATCGTCTGCCGTAACTTGAATCCACGTCTCGTGAATTAAATTTATACAGTCTTTTAAATCGTAATCCGCATAAAATTCCGAAATCCCTTCGGTGTGCTGCAGCGCTCGTTGTAATAATTTATGCCGAAAACGTTCTTTGCATTTCGCAATTACGCCTCGATCCATTGGCTGAATGAGCGACGAAGTGTTCGGCGGTAAGAACAGCACCTTAAAATACGATTAATGGATAAATAACTAATGACTAATTAAAATTACATATTAATACGATAGTTAAATAAATTATATACTTTAAAATGTTCATCGACCGTTTCCTCTTTTGGCAATATGTGACTTTTAAAATTATCTATTAGCAGCAGCACTTTGCCGCTACGATTTTCTTTAATTTGACGCTCTTTTACGTAACGTTTAAAATCGTCCTGATACCACGATTGGAAAATTTCATTATCGACCCATGCGTTTTTTTGGTACACGCAAGATACAGGTAAACTATCCTTGCAATGTTTTAACGATCTCGGGCTTTCATATTTATGCACGAACAGTAATGGCAATTTGTGACTTCCACTAGCGTTCGCGCACAGAGCCAACGTAATCTTCTCTTTTTTCATTTTTCCTCCTTCGACTCCCGCCAATGTTTTACCCGGAAGCATTCTCCAACACAGACCAGTTTCATCCATATTATATAGATTGTCGTCTGTAATTTCATTTTCCTTCAATAATTGCGTAAGTTTTTGTTTAAACGTGTCCACGGCTGCCTTATCCGCATCGGCGGCTTCTCCGTAAGTTTTTTTAAAACGCCATAGCCAACCACGGCTTCCAGCGAACCCGTACCGGCCGCCTATCTCTTCGTGCAATTCCTTTGCCTTTTCCAGCAAAACACTGTCGGTTATTTGATGTCCTAATAAACGACATTCCAGAAACCAATTGTACACTTCCTTGTCTAGATCATTAAAAGTGCGTGTCCGTATCCTTTTTCTGTGTATACCGTGTGAATCCTCCGCGAATTTCCGAATCGATTGGGCACTTTGCCGATGCCGCCTTATGCTTCTTTCGCTTACGTTATATTCAATGGCAAGATCTCTCACGGTTGCACCGGCTTCTAATTTATTTAAAATGTTCAACCGTTCTCCGACAGTCATTTCTTTAGAACTACCGGGACTGTTATAAGAAGCCATCGCGAATAATCTAAATGATATGTTGGGATCGTCGTATTCTCGATTTCGACACGTGCCAGTTATTGTATCACGCTTGTACTCATCCTCTTTCCTTATCTCGGTTTAATTCATAGGATTCACCTGCATCACTTTAATAATCTATTACTATCTCGACAGAAGATACACGCAGTATTTTATTTTATTAACGCTACTTAAAATTCTAAAAGTCTAACAAAAATCCAGTTATTACAAAACGTTACAGAGACTGTCTCGGTCCAGAGGAATTAACTGCTCGATAAATTTTTGTGATATTCATCTTATCGTATAGGTGTAACGGATAGTAATAAAACTTCGAAGGAACGAAATCTTCATCGTTTGCTGCTTAGTAGCAAAATGCCCTTAGAGAAGTCTTTCTCGGTACCTGACATGCAAACGAAAAAAAAAAAGAAAGAGAGACTAATGGCGTAAGCTAACTACACCATTGTATCTTTTCTTTTAAACATTGGATCGTTCAGAAAGATTTATACTGTTCCGTAGTAGGAACGTACAGTGATTCCCGTTTTTAAACTCTATATATGGATGATAAATTTAACAGTAAAATGATAAATTGAACACAATAAAAATAATGAATTTACTCTCTACCATAATTAAAACATTAGAAACTCGTTATTCTAAACAGTGGAATAAAAATGTAAATTTTTTGATGAATAAATAACGAACGTATACTCTTTCTGAATAATGCAATGTACAATTTGTTACATTATTTTATATCGTTGTTATTTTCCCTCGATAGGCTTCGAGATTATATGAGATCCGAGTCGGAGAGGAACTTCAACGAGTACCAAATGCGGAATGCACGCATAAAATCTTTGGAACAAGCTTATTCGAGCCCGCAACATAAAAAATTAGCGCAAAGCTTTAGATACATGAGGACCAAACCTACTATAATCGCTTTCAAAACTCCAAGTTTGGAGAATTGGGAGTGCAAAGTAGAAACGCCTACGAACAAACGCAGTAAGTGAACAACTATTTACTTCTAAACATTTTGAAACCGGATTTTATAACAAGCAGGCACGTTCAAATTCTAATTAATTTCGCCTGGGAACAAAAATCGCTGTAATCCGTCTTGTTTCCTGTGAAGCAAAGGGAACGAATTTTGATAATTAAAATAACAAGGTCACAATTACTTCTCGCGATTAGTCTTAATTACATGCATTCACAAAAATGATAAGATAAAGCTAATAAACTTGGTGAAACAGCAACGTCGCAAACAAACGTAAACGTGGCCAGAAGATTGTCGCCTAATTTAGTCGCGATACAAATAACAGCGGAAAGAGATGGACCGCAGACAAAATTCGAAGAAATACCAAAGAGAAATATGGATGATATCGGATCTGAAGTTTCTTCACATCCATCTATGAATTATGCTGTAGGAAAACCATTGGAGGTAAACATTCATTTTGGTACTTAACATATTCATAACTGCGAGAAATTGGACATTACAATGCTACCGCTTATGCTATCGCTATCCGGCATCGATGATCTTATTTAACTTATTCAACTACATGGTCATACCCTGATTTACGTTCTCTCGACTTGTACATATAAGTTTGGAGTACGACTGTATTTGATTCTTCAGGACCGTTTAATAGTTACTTTTTAAGAGTATACTACAAAATACAGTAATCAAATAATGTCTGCTAATTATGCTCTTTTGTGACACATAAAATAATATAATGGATAGCATAAAAAGTGTTTGATTTATTGTTACACAGATCTTTCTGGATGGCCCGTATGGAGCTCCTTCGAGTCACATATTTCAAGCACAGCACGCGGTTCTAATTGCAACAGGAATCGGAGTCACGCCTTTTGCTTCTATATTACAATCCATCATGCACCGTTATTGGAAAGCCAGACACACTTGCCCAAACTGCAAATTCTCCTGGGCTAGCGAGATTCCATCCACTGTCATGCATCTACGAAAGGCAAATATTTCTTCCCTGTCTATAATATTTTTGTACATGAACTTCGCTTTTCTTCAAACAAGGAAGAAAATTAGAGGAAAGTGGATTTAACTTGCTATTTACATATTTTCTTCTAATCTTTTTATTCTACATCGCACACCCGAACTCAATGCAATCATCTTGTTTGCAGGTAGATTTCTTCTGGATTAACAGAGATCAGAGATCCTTCGAATGGTTTGTGAACTTGCTATCTCAGCTAGAAATGGAACAAGCAGAACTTGGCGATGCGATGGAACGGTTTCTTGAAATGCACATGTATATTACCAGCGCGCTACAAAAGAACGATATGAAGGCTGTTGGTCTGCAACTAGCTATGGATTTAGTTCATCAAATGGTTTGGAAATTATGCATAGAACATTATGCTTTTTTTGCAAGGCATTGTCCATAAAATAAAACTCTTTCAAAATCAATTTTAGTTTGACAAAAATATTCGGTTAGAAACATCGTAACAAGGATTTCAGAAACTTGTGTTCTATTTTTCAGGAGAAACGAGATCTTATAACAGGCTTAAAAACAAGGACAAATGCTGGCCGACCAAACTGGGATAAAGTTTTCAAGCAGATCCAGGACAAAAAAAAGGGCAAAGTAACAGTATTTTATTGCGGCCCACCGCAACTAGCAAAGATTTTACGCCACAAATGCGATAGGTTTGGTTTTAATTTCAGAAAAGAATCTTTTTAAAATTTCTGGAAAAAATATAATTTGTTATGTTTATTATACAATACTTCACCCGAATTGTTTCGCGACGCTATTCTAAGTCAATTGATTATAGCTTTATACAAACTAAAATCGAGGGCAAATGCGCCATGTTTAATAAAATTTTAGTTACACAACAATCGTACGTTCTTATATTATTCGACATCATTTGGTCAATGTTCGAGCAATTCTTCCTGCTTTCACTTTTAATGATGTTCTTCTGTATGTAACATATTATGAATATTAAATTATTATTCTACCTTAATGCGAGAAATTTACTTCATGCCATTAACGATTCTGGCTGTCTCATGCATCAACCAAACTGTCATTAATATAATAAGAAAATTTATCTGTCGTTCTGTCATAACCAACAAATTTTTAGACGATCAGTATTATAACGAAAGACGTTTATCGTATTGAAAACCAAGTGACGATCTTGCAGTTAATTTCGTACATATTCTGCATAATTACGTACATTATTTGATACATATATGGACGACGCGAGACCTTCTCAATGCAATCTACTCAAAGTGAATTTCATAATTTCATCACTCACACCAATTCCATCGCAAATACAGTAATTTCCGCTTCGATTCAGAATATCTCGTAACGCACCGAATGCACTCTCGCCATCAGTGATTAAAAATAACAATCCTGCACATCATTTAAAGGAAGGAAAACTTTTCTACGTTTACTAGCTTTACCGATTTCAGTTTGGTTGCCTATAATTTCTAAAACCACCGTTCTTCAAACGAGAAGATTGTTCTAAAACCAATTTCTTTTGGATACCGGTCTTCCGCCTAATGTTACGTCCGTCTTCCGTCGGCATTGGTGAGAAAAGATTTCCCTAGACTTACTTGGTTTATTATTCCTCCGGGGGTGGCGCGCCGATCTGGCGAAGGTATTCCACCGATTCCACGTAGCGCTGCCGCCGTGGATCGCCCTCGGGAATGTTGACATCAGAGATGCCAGAAAAGCACCGCCGGGTGCACACGCACACATGCCAGATACGCGTACGTGAGCTCGTGGAGTTTCGGAAAGTCGACAAAGGCAAACTGACGCATGCCCTCTTTCTCGATTCTCCGAAGCCGCCCGAAGTAATTTCGGATCGCCTCGTGGGAGTCGAGAGAGAAAGGCTCACATTTGCCTTCTCGCTCTAAACAACTGAAATCCGACCTCCCGTCAACGGCATACGATTTGGATTCTCGAGCCGAGATTCTCGACTGCCCAGGCATTTTTACTTTCCGACCTATGTAGGCGCACATAAGCAAAGTACCCATAATGAAAAAAAAATTTTGTAAAATTTATTTTACGGAAATACACGTTTTAAGACCTCCTGATCATATTTTAATTATTGAAAAAAAAGACATTTTTTTTTATTCCCATGTATGAGCACACATATGTATATTATTAATACGATTGAATATAAATAGCTGAATGAATTTAAATGAAATTTTACATTTAAATTTTATGTTCTCATTTCAAAGGCGTGTGGACGGATTCAAATACGTGAACACTAAACGTAACGATGTAATTATATTATTTAATATTTACTAACTATTTAACATAAAGAACATAAAAGAAAGACATAAAACGTAAACGTAAAATTGTGATTGCTCTCGACTAACGTTCGATACAGAGTGACGTTCCTGCAGTCAAAGTCGACCCTTCCTTATTCCTATCTTATAATAATGATCTAAACAAAACGCACGTTCGAGACGCAGTCTCTAAAACGTATTTCAGCTTAAACCTAAACACCTCACTCGATACCTACTCTAGCTTAGACTAAACACTCCTATCGACGCAAACGATAACGGTTCTCCTAGCCACACACATACACTCCTTACAGATTATACCTCTTGTTTCATAGTTGTTCCGATATATAGGCATAATGTATAAAAAATCTTTTAAATGTTTCATATAAATCTTAGGACGAATTAAATTTTATATGAAAAAAATTATATAAACTTTTTCTCTATCTTCTCTAGAAAAGAAAACATTAAATGAAATCTTATACATTACATGCTTACTTAAATCGCATTGAAAACGAATACCACAAATGTTTTAGAATAATGTGCAAAATGTGATTGCGATTTTCGCTAAGACAAATTGAAAACTCGTTTCTAACAAGGAAAAATTGGAATGGTACCAGGTTTTGGGTTAGGTTTTACTTTGAGATATTATTAAAGTTATTACAGGTACTTATTTTCAGAAATAGAACTATGTTCACCACTGATCAGCGTGGCGTGAGTGATGAGGTCTTTGCCTGCAAGTTCCGAACTTCTTCTGCTCTGCAGGTTCAAACCCTGCCAAAACAAATCCTTTTTTTTTATTTTTTCAATCATATTTTAATCGTACACTAAATGTGACATTATATTTTGTCTGACCTTCGAATATTTTTTTTAAAGTTAAATTTAACCGATTACATTTAACATATGTTATTTTCAATGTACGAAGTACATGAATCTGGATGGTACTTTTCACAAAAACAGTCAAAACATAAAAATTTCAAGCACCACGTACATTTACTGAAAGTTTTGTTTTCACAGAAATTACAAAATTTTGTATTTAACTCTGATGGAAAGGCCGCTTCATTTACATTGATAAAATGTGAACGATTTTCGGATAGTCGTACCTTGTAGCTCGTACTTTTTACCTTATACTTCAGGTAAAAAGGGATATTAGCTGGGAAAAACAGTTTTATGACATTACCTGCTAACTTATGTTACTGTTCTACAATGAAACGCTATGTTTTGTACCTTTAAAAATATTCGACTATGTCCTTTTAAAATTTAAGATACAACCTATACTTTGTATTAAACTGGCAAACGGGATCACTTTTCCTTTGTTTCTAGTTAGTTCTATTTAGTTCGTCATAACCAATTGATACGGTTATTTCAAAACAATCGAGGAAAATCATTATTAATTAATTTCTGCAATTATTAATTCTACTGTTTTGTTTATGTTATAAAAGTAAGTACTCTTCTTATTGAAAAATACCACAGCGTGTACAATACTGGTAAAGAGGGGAATCTCATTTTAATTTATTAATTTTCAATCTTAAAGTATTTTGATTTTCAAAAATCGTATTAATAATATACATATGTGTGCTCATACATGGGAATAAAAAAAAATGTCTTTTTTTTCAATAATTAAAATATGATCAGGAGGTCTTAAAACGTGTATTTCTGTAAAATAAATTTTACAACATTTTTTTTTCATTATGGGTACTTTGCTTATGTGCGCCTACATAGGTCGGAAAGTAAAAATGCCTGGAGTGGGCAGTCGAGAATCTCGGCTCGAGAATCCAAATCGTATGCCGTTGACGGGAGGTCGGATTTCAGTTGTTTAGAGCGAGAAGGCAAATGTGAGCCTTTCTCTCTCGACTCCCACGAGGCGATCCGAAATTACTTCGGGTGGCTTCGGAGAATCGAGAAAGAGGGCATGCGTCAGTTTGCCTTTGTCGACTTTCCGAAACTCCACGAGCTCACGTACGCGTATCTGGCATGGGGGCGTGTGCACCCGACGGTGCTTTTCTGGCATCACTGGCAGAGATGCCAGAAAAGCACCGCCGGGTGCACACGCACACATGCCAGATACGCGTACGTGAGCTCGTGGAGTTTCGGAAAGTCGACAAAGGCAAACTGACGCATGCCCTCTTTCTCGATTCTCCGAAGCTGCCCGAAGTAATTTCGGACCGCTTCGTGGGAGTCGAGAGAGAAAGGCTCACATTTGCCTTCTCGCTCTAAACAACTGAAATCCGACCTCCCGTCAACGGCATACGATTTGGATTCTCGAGCCGAGATTCTCGACTGCCCAGGCATTTTTACTTTCCGACCTATGTAGGCGCACATAAGCAAAGTACCCATAATGAAAAAAAAATTTTGTAAAATTTATTTTACGGAGATACACGTTTTAAGACCTCCTGATCATATTTTAATTATTGAAAAAAAAGAAATTTTTTTTTATTCCCATGTATGAGCACACATATGTATATTATTAATACGATTTTTGAAAATCAAAATACTTTAAGATTGAAAATTAATAAATTAAAATGAGATTCCACTCTTTACCAGTATTGTGCACGCTGTGGTATTTTTCAATAAGAAGAGTTCTTACTTTTATAACATAAACAAAACAGTAGAATTAATAATTGCAGAAATTAATTAATAATGATTTTCCTCGATTGTTTTGAGATAACCGTATCAATTTGTTATGACAAACTAAATAGAACTAACTAGAAACAAAGGAAAAGTGATCCCGTTTGCCAGTTTAATACAAAGTATGGGTTGTATCTTAAATTTTAAAAGGACATAGTCGAATATTTTTAAAGGTACAAAACATAGCGTTTCATTGTAGATGTTTGAGATTGAAGTGAACTGTAGAGATTTTCATTGAGATGCCGGTTATGAGAGGGTTCGCGAAAAATGACTATGGTGCAAAGTTAATTAAACAAGGTCTTTATTAACAACATTGTCCCGTTGTGAAATACATAATTAATGAGCGGTACGTTAAGTAAGAGTTTTACATTAGCGGTTATGAGAAATGGCGATATTATTGATCGCCATTTCTGAGCGCGAGTGAGAATGAGAATCAACCGTTTATTACGAGTTTAAAACTCATAATACCCTTGCAATTATATTAATTGCAAGGGATTTATGAGCGTGAGCCTTGATAATTAGTTGTGAATTAACTACATTGAACACAGTAGATTATATGCGGCACAAAAGAACAAAGGAAACTAAGACTGAAAAACAGAGCACACTTGTCGCGTTTTAGATTACGAACAAGACTGGCTTAATGGCCGCGCTCGTGGTCACCACGAGGTTTCGACCGGCCGGTAGCGAGATCGTTGCGCGCGCAGGTGGGCCAGCTATCCTGCTCGCGCACAAAGTGTGCCCGAGAGGTGCTGCCAATGAGCGTCGTGGTGGCCACGGCATGAGCGAAACATTGAAAGGAAACAAGGCACGTGCGTGTTGCTAAAAATGAGAGTTAATTCTCGAACATTCCGCCCGCCATCAGCCACTTGTGGCTGATGATTCCGCTGTTGGTAGGATGTTTTGGCGCCTCGTCCTTTCCAAGTTTTGAGAGTGAGTGGACCGGCATAGTCCATGCCGGTATGAGAGAATGGCGATGACGGTGTGACTCGAGAAAGAGGTAGTTGGCCCATCAGCTGATGGGCACGGATCCCCCTTTGGCGAGCACACGTCAAACACCGCAGAATATGAGCCTTGACTGGAGCTCTTCCTCCGATGATCCAGTAGGTTTGTCGAATGTAGGCGAGTGTGAGTTGAGTTCCACCATGAAGAGTTTGTTTGTGAGCGTGATCTATAATCAATTCAGACAAACGTGAGTGGCGAGGCAAAATAGCGGGATGTTTACCCTCGTAGCGGAGCTGAGAGTTTTCCAATCGTCCGCCGACTCTGATGATTCCCTTATCATCAATGAAGGCAGTCAGGTGACTGAAGGCATGAGATGAAGGCAGCAATGAGTGTGAGGTGAGCATCTTCATTTCATGAGCGAAGTAGATGGTCTGAGTTGCCCTGATCCAGAATTTCTGAGCATCTTCCAGATCACTCGGCAAATGTGAGGTATAGGCTGGTGAGCAGTGGACCCCTTTTAATTTTGCTATAAATCTGAAACAAATAGCAGTGATGGTGAGAAGTTTCTTGAGCGTTGAGTATTTGTGAATGAGATCCCACTGATACTCGATCTTTTGGGAGATGAGCGCAGTAGGAATACTTGGACGCGCTTCTAGTGCACATGAGGCGTCCTTGAGCTTCGGTTGTGATGGCCATGAGTCCTGGGGTTGAGTAAACCATGGTGGTCCCGTCCACCATAGCTGATGATGTTCAAGCTGAGCAGTTGAAAGGCCTCGTGATGCGCAGTCAGCTGGATTCGATGTTCCAGACACATACCCCCAATGTGCCTCAGGTGTGAGTTCTTGTATCGCCAATACTCTGTTTCTCACATAATCCTTCCAGCGTGATGCGTGAGATTTGATCCATATGAGTGTGACTTGAGAATCCGTCCACAAGTGAGTTGTAGCAATGTTGAGATTGAGCTTCGCTTGAACATAGCTTGCCAGCCTTGCAAGCTTAAGAGCTGCTGTGAGCTCCAGTCTCGGGATAGTGAGTTTCTTGAGAGGTGCGACCTTCGTCTTGGCGCACACCTGTGACGTCACCTTGAGATTTGTGGATGGTGAGAAGACCGTGATGTAGATCACGGCTGCCATGGCGAGCTGAGATGCATCAGAGAAACCGTGTATTTCCACCACTGAGTCTTGACAGGTGTTGAACCAGCGTGGAATTGAGAGTCTGGCCAGACTTGTGAGATCTTCTCTGAGGATGAGCCATCGTGCTGTGATGTGGGATGGTAGTGATTCATCCCAGTTGAGTTTGTGCAGCCATAATTCTTGCAATAAAATCTTACAGCGAATTATGACCGGTGAGAGGAAACCAAGTGGATCAAATATCTGTGCTACTTGAGATAGTATGAGGCGTTTACTTATTTTGGTTGGGGGTGAGAATGAGTCCTCCTTCGATGAGGATGTAAATGTATCCTTGAGAAAATTCCATTGCATTCCGAGTATTTTGGTTTTGCAGTCGTCCAATGAGAGTGATGAGCCTTGAGCATGAGCTTCAGGTGAGATGGCTTCGAGTAGCGCGGGGCAGTTTGAATGCCACTTAGCAAGTGGGAAACCGCCCGCGTTGCACAGACCTTGAAGCTGATGAGCGAGTTTCTTGAGATCTTCTGGTGAATCTGCTCCTCCAAAGATGTCGTCGACATATCTGGCATGAGTGATCGATGGTACGGCCAGAGGATAATGATGACCTTCATCCTCAGCTAATTGCAGCAATGTTCTGACCGCAAGATACGGTGCTGCCTTGGTACCGTAGGTGACCGTAGTGAGCTGAAATTGAGTCTCTTGCAGGTCCTTATCCACCCACAATATTCTTTGCAGATCCCAGTCGTCTTCATGCACTCTGATTTGCCGATACATTTTGGTAATATCGGTTGAGAATGTGTATCTGTGCTGACGAATCCATAGGAGCACGTCAGCGATGTTGAGCAGTAGGTTTTCACCAGTGTGCATGATGTCGTTGAGAGAATATCCAGAAGATGTTGAGCTTGAGCCATTGAAGACAACTCTCAGCTTCGTAGTCGTGCTGTCTGGTTTCAAAACACCATGATGAGGCAGATAGAAAGTTGTTGAGTGTTGAGTGTCACTGTGAACGTTGAGTGTCACTGGTTGAGAGTGAGAGTCACTAGTGAGTTTGAGCGTCACTGCACTGGTTGAGCGACACTGCGCGACCGTTGGGGCGTGGGCATTGTTCACAACGAACACGCGCACACAAGGTGAATTGAAAGTTCACGAGCGTTATGTTAAGAGAAAACCACAATGGTTTATGAATTCACTTCACACCTTTGCACCATATCATATCGCGATCCGGCTCGAAGGACCAAAAATGTTTGAGATTGAAGTGAACTGTAGAGATTTTCATTGAGATGCCGGTTATGAGAGGGTTCGCGAAAAATGACTATGGTGCAAAGTTAATTAAACAAGGTCTTTATTAACAACATTGTCCCGTTGTGAAATACATAATTAATGAGCGGTACGTTAAGTAAGAGTTTTACACGAGCGGTTATGAGAAATGGCGATATTATTGATCGCCATTTCTGAGCGCGAGTGAGAATGAGAATCAACCGTTTATTACGAGTTTAAAACTCATAATACCCTTGCAATTATATTAATTGCAAGGGATTTATGAGCGTGAGCCTTGATAATTAGTTGTGAATTAACTACATTGAACACAGTAGATTATATGCGGCACAAAAGAACAAAGGAAACTAAGACTGAAAAACAGAGCACACTTGTCGCGTTTTAGATTACGAACAAGACTGCTTAATGGCCGCGCTCGTGGTCACCACGAGGTTTCGACCGGCCGGTAGCGAGATCGTTGCGCGCGCAGGTGGGCCAGCTATCCTGCTCGCGCACAAAGTGTGCCCGAGAGGTGCTGCCAATGAGCGTCGTGGTGGCCACGGCATGAGCGAAACATTGAAAGGAAACAAGGCACGTGCGTGTTGCTAAAAATGAGAGTTAATTCTCGAACAGTAGAACAGTAACATAAGTTAGCAGGTAATGTCATAAAACTGTTTTTCCCAGCTATATCCCTTTTTACCTGAAGTATAAGGTAAAAAGTACGAGCTATAAGGTATGACTATCCGAAAATCGTTCACATTTTATCAATGTAAATGAAGCATTTTATCAATAAAAAAAAATTTCTTTTTTTTCAATAATTAAAATATGATCAGGAGGTCTTAAAACGTGTATTTCCGTAAAATAAATTTTACAAAATTTTTTTTCATTATGGGTACTTTGCTTATGTGCGCCTACATAGGTCGGAAAGTAAAAATGCCTGGGCAGTCGAGAATCTCGGCTCGAGAATCCAAATCGCATATTCGTATGCCGTTGACGGGAGGTCGGATTTCAGTTGTTAAGAGCGAGAAGGCAAATGTGAGCCTGTCTCTCTCGACTCCCACGAAGCGGTCCGAAATTACTTCGGGCAGCTTCGGAGCATCGAGAAAGAGGGCATGCGTCAGTTTGCCTTTGTCGTCTTTCCGAAACTCCACGAGCTCACGTACGCGTATCTAGCATGTGTGAGTGTGCACCCGACGGTGCTTTTCTGGCATCACTGGCGACAAGTAATGCAATTGTGTGTCTGGGGGTGCCGGCTGATTTAAAAGGATCGCGAGACGGCGAATTTGTTGGCAACGACCGGAGCGACGGGTTCTCTTAGGCATTTATATTTTACAAGTACGTCGATTCGCTACTATTTTCCCAGGTGAGCTTCGACACGCAGTAGCCCGGTAGAATAGTAGGATATTCTGTGGTCCTTGAATATTCTTTTAAATATTATGGACGGGCTTCAACGCTCAATAACCCACTGTCTAAAAGAATGTTGAAGACTCTATTTTAATTTTGACACGTATGGTATTGCCGTTCAGAGAATTGGATTAGGAAAAGGAATTAATTGATCACCACTAAAATTTGATTACTTTGATTTATTTTTCAAATGTAAGCTATTGCACGGCTCTGCGATATATGACAACTGAGTTGCAAGTGGTCGCGGCCTATTAACCGGGCTTTCTTCTTCTGACTGACATTCTGACTGCCCATCTGACTGACTATTGACGCGTATTATTTCTGCTCCTTATTAGGAGGAGACGCTCCTTTTATTTAATGTCTCTTCTGAGTAATCAGAAGAGTGGCAGACCTTCCCCTGTGCTCCAGTCACCCTGCAATACCAGGTATCCCCGAGTATCACCGGCTGAGACTTCGCATCCAGGAACATTCTCATGTTCCTCCGGTCACCTATGCCGGATGTAGATAACATTCTTTGATTTGTTTACAAACAATCACGCTCGGCTAATATCCCACGTCCAGCTCGCTTCAAAGGTATATAAAATCTATATTTCTTAATCTTACGCGTGCTTAAACTCTATTACATTAATAAACTAACTTTCCGCAATCTAGTTACTTACTATCTAGTAGCTAACTATCCGTAATATAGGGACGAGGGACCAGAGTGGGGAGACGCCATTAATCTCTATACACTGGAAATTTAGTGGCTGCCACCTTTGAGAATGAACACTGTGCGACGCCTAGCTAGCGGAACGGGACTCTTTAAATTGATCCAAAAATTTATTGAATTGATATTTTTAGTTTCTTGTTCTAAAACTTCTGATTTTTACATTTTTACACTGATAATAATAACAATTAATACACTTGTATTCTGCCTTTATTATATGAAAATAATAAAATATATTCATTATAGAATATAACTTAATTACTATAAATAATTAAAGTACGAATAACATTATAATTTATAAATAAAAATAATACTTTGTTAAAATTTAATATACCGTGTTTTATGAACCTTTGCTTTATTTATAATAATTTGCTGAAATTTTAAATAAATGTAATTTTTTTTAAATCGAATAAAACCGAACGAAAGAAATCATTATATACGTAATAACTTTTAATTAGAATGAGTTATACCTGAAAATGTATGAACGTGTCAGTAGTAAAACAAGTAAAATACTTGAAATATTCGAGAAATTTCTACATACGTAAATAAAACGTTCCGGTATCATTATTTATTATGTATAAAATAAGATATACGGGAGTTCCTCATTAAAAGTCCATGAAAAGTTTCGGAAACATCACCATTCTCATAAAGATATAATGAAAGATATAAAAATAATTTTGTGCTACAACGTTCAGATTGCCTACCACACTATGCACTTATGTTTAAGACTTTTACTAAGGAATTGCCGTGACATCATAATGTTCATGCAATAAAAGGAACAAATATGAGTAAAATTATAAATTACCTTTCACATATTCGAAGCATAATGTACAGTTTATACATTTTTGTAGAATAGTGACTAGATCTTTCTTTGTTTACATTTAATAATTTTGGTTCGTTATCTTTACTACATTAATCTACGCTTTGTATCGTCAGATTGTATTAAATATTTTTGTAATCTTATGATTCATTAAATGGAATCTTCTAGTTCCAAGAATAAGATTTAGTTAACCGTACTCATCAACAAAGATGCTTTGTTGCAGTATGCAATATTAAATTCACAAGGATGTTGATACCAGGGTTCACCGTCAATTTGCATAGCATATGGTTTTAATAATTTGACCTGTATTTTGTAAAATGTTTATTTAAAAAATAGTATATTGATAGAAATCGAATAAGACAGGTTATAATCGTACTTTTTGCAAAACAAACAAAATGGACTAATTATTTCGTTAAAAATCTTATGTTTTATTATAAATACTATAGAAGATATACTTATTATTGTAGAAAAAAAACACAAATGGAAAGGTTAAAATAGTTAAATAATGTATAAAATACCTTTATAGTACTAGCTTGACCAACGCGATAAGGCTGAGAAAGTCCTACTTGAAGTTGACCCATATGAAACGAAGAATAAAGAGCAACCACTTCTAACTTCCCATCATTAATACTTTGCTCTTCATATTCTTCATGATCTATTTAACATAAGACATTTTTTTTAAGTATACAGATTCTTCTCAAATTTGTCACCACTCGTATTTATAAGGTAATTAAAAACCTTCTAATCCTGTATTCCAAAGATCAACACCTGCTGCCCAAGATGGAATGTTTAATATCACAATACCCTCAATAGAGGGCAAATCGATTTTCCTGCCATCCAAATATAATTCTACGTTTTTATCAAGATCCTTGCATTCCCTTTCTACTACTTGTTGAGTACCGAAACATAAATACAGTAGCTGTCAAAAGCACAAAAAAAGCACATTCTTTTATACAATTTACAATGTAAATGACAAATAAAATACAATACCTTGTTAAACAGTCTACTACTATAAAAATAAAAACAACTTTCTCTTGTACGATGAAAGTTTAACGTCACTTGTGCATCTACTCCCACGCTTACATAGTTATACATATGAAACGTCTGATGCGACCCTCTAAATCCCAATCCACTAGAAGGTTTCACCACCACAGTCCATCTAATAAATTATTAATGTAAATGTAAATACGTAACATTTATATTTATATTTATTGCATATTATATGTGCACCTATCGAGTTTCACTTCTTGTGCTACTTGTATTTCTTGCAGAATATCCGCGGGGTCCTTATTTAGGTCGTGTTCCTTTCCCCACCCTAATACTCTTGATAAATCATTTCCTGTTCCCAGAGGAATTATTGCTACAGATGGAACTGGCTATTTTAAATAAAAATATCTTATTCGTATGTATGTGTGACAAACATAATCTTTTCAACTATGTACCACTTTTGCAGAATCATTTAATTATAGAGTGCACAAGCTTAACCCATTTTTATAGTAAAAAATCAGTTGGAATTAATAATTTTATCTAACATTATTATCGACTTATCTTTCCTTCTACTTTTGCTGCTTAAGAATTAAAAATTTGAAATCAATTATCACCAATAATTCGTTGTCATTGACTTTAATAATTTGAGATTTGAGACATTCGCGGCCGGAGTTCATGATTCATGATATAAATCCGGAACCACCAATTCTGATTTTAATAATTAATAAAAACCTAGTTCTTAATACAATTTCCATTCGTAAATTTTTAAAACCGTATTCTTCGCACAAAATTGTGCAAAATTTACGTTTGGAGATACTATTCAGAGAAAGTACCTATTCTTTCGATGTGTTTCATAATATGTACGAATGTAAATACTGTACAAATTTAAACACAATATCAAATAAAACAGGTAAAACTTACACACTCACCTTTCAACTAAACAAATATATGCAAGGCGAAAGAAAAATGATGTCCAAAACTTTGCAAGATTTATAAACACATTTTCTCAAATTTAAATTTTATAATTGTTGCCTGTAAAATATTTATTTAAAACACGTATAAATTATCACAATATAAGTGCAAAATGTTGGTACAAACAAAGGTAAGAAACATTTCTGTTAAAATTTGATAATTATTACACAATCGTATATAGAATTTCTTTGTTGTTCCAATAGGTAGAACGATCTCGTTAAGTTTGACATCAGTTTTCTTTCATTGTATATATATTACCTGCAGCTGAAGTTTATGAATGGCATTTAATAACCAAGCTATCGTTCCATCTCCACCGGCTACAAGGACTGTGCATGCTACTTTTCCAAGTAGTCTACACCATTCAAGAGCAGCAACCGGATCACGTTCAGATAAATCAACAATTTGAGCAGGATTTAATAACTTCCTGAATAAAGATAAAATTTCAGCTCCATCTTTATTACCAGATTTTTTGTTTGCTAAAATAGAAGTTCCATAAATTGCACTACAATTATTAAAAAAATTGTTTTAGACATGCAACGTGTCATAATATTACTGTAATATTTTTATTATATTAAGTAATAACCTACCGACAACTATAAGTGGTTTCCAATTAGGCCAATTTGGTGGTATAACTGTACGAAGTTGTAACCTACGCCTTACAGTACTACGTTGATGTACAACTTCTAAACTGGTTGGTGGAATTATCATTAATTTAAATTTACCAAAATCACAAGTCTGTAAAAGAAATTAATCAAATTAAATTTGTACATTAATATAACGTAAATAAAATATGTATACCATACTTCTGATAATATAGGTCTACAAGCTTCATGAATGCATCTTTGACACCAACAACACCACCAATCTATTAATCCAGGTTCTAAATCGCATTCCTCTTTACAAACATCGCACGTAGCAATTGGAGGTAAATTACCTTAAGTAAAATAAATAAAAAGTTAATTATAATTTACACAACATTTAAAATATAAAATATTTTCCATTAGTTGAATACTTTATATTATACAAAAGAGTAACACTGTAGAACATACCCTTTATCCAATGATGTTTCATTGACTCATTTGTGCTTAAATTAATAACTTTACACTTTAATTGTTTATCTGCGATCTTAATACAAGACTGATCGACACAAATACCACAGGAATCACAGATCAATCCATCCACATTTAATAATAAACCTTCACAAATGTTACAATAATATGCCTGCAAAAGAAATAATTCAATTTTAATAATCTTGAAACTATCATTATTGAGTTTACATAATGTGATTACTGTTTACAACAACATAAATTTTACATATTTATATTTTATGATACAACAGTTATATTTGAAATACGTTTTTAAAATTATTGAATTAAATTAAATATAATTAAACTATGTGAAAGTTATATATTTTGTACACGCATAAATTATGAAAAGTATTAATCTTATCTAAATAAGATAACTTATCTACACTCTAAAGGGCATTTGAAGGTCTAAGTCATAACGTATCATTGTTTTCTTCTTAAGTTCGAATTTTAAAAAATGTTCTAGAAATACTAAAACGTCTAACCTGAAAAAAAATTGTTTTTTTACTATTATTACAAGCAATTGAGATATACAAGATAGTCGAATACTGACTTCTTCATACTCAAGGTCATTTTAATGCCATGTTATCATATATTACTGAATTGATTTTGGTTTTAAAAATATGTAAAAATATGTATTTTCATAAAAAAAAACTCAATAACCTTGAAATCTCTGAAATTATGACCTTGAGAAAACTTGTTTGTATCATAATATTTGCCCATTACAATCAAATGAGATTGGTTGAATAAATTTTTTTCCATTATCAATGTAAGCTAATTATTTGGATAACTTGTTTTAAAGCATTCCATATAAATCAATTCAATATAAATCAAAGGTATGTATACCTTATTTTTTCTTGTAATAGATTTCCAATTATGCTCTTTAGTAACATCCCTAATATGAATACAAGGATTTCCTACAAGGTATCGAAACAAATTTAATGTAAATATGAAAAAGATCATAGTAGATAATGTAGGTAAAACAACGGTAGTTAATCCTTCCTCTAACATGTTTTCGAGCAAATTTTATTCCTTCCAAAAATTATGATGGTTCCCTGTAAAAAGATTAAACATTTTAAACAAATTACGATTACAGTGTGAATCATAAAATGACTAAAAATTATATAAATTACAAAGTTCTCCAATTTCTTTCGATGTTAAGATAAGAAGCAACGTGATAGAATGTTTTAGACATTCGTAAACTAATTCTTACTCAACAACTTAATAATAATTTACTTATCGAAAAAAGTAAGAATGTTTATAATACAATGAGCCACTTTTCCTTAAGAAATCACAACAAATAAAAAAGAGTAATAAATAAACATTGTTTACCTCTTTTAAATTCTGAAAATCATTTGAATCTCATTCGTCACCTACCGCATTTTAATCAACACTGATTTGAAGATAGGTACAGTCCTCCGCTGACTTGAAGTCTCGCGGAAGGAATGCGGGAGAAGTAGAAGGGATACATGTATTCCCACGCACACATTGATTTCTAGCTCGCTATTCGTTGCGGCAGTTACACAGCATGTGGACTGCCTGAGAGCAAGGGAGCGAGATAGATAAATGGGCGGTCCAACTTCCCTTGCCTCTGTGCCGTCCCGCGAGACTTCAAGTCAGAGATGCCAGAAAAGCACCGTCGGGTGCCCTACTCACCATGCCAGATACGCGGTACTTACGTGAGCTCGTGGAGTTTCGGAAAGTCGACAAAGGCAAACTGACGCATGCCCTCTTTCTCGATGCTCCGAAGCTGCCCGAAGTAATTTCGGACCGCTTCGTGGGAGTCGAGAGAGACAGGCTCACATTTGCCTTCTCGCTCTTAACAACTGAAATCCGACCTCCCGTCAACGGCATACGAATATGCGATTTGGATTCTCGAGCCGAGATTCTCGACAGCCCAGGCAATTTTACTTTCCGACCTATGTAGGTGCACATAAGCAAAGTACCCATAATGAAAAAAAAATTTTGTAAAATTTATTTTACGGAAATACACGTTTTAGGACCCCCTGATCATATTTTAATTATTGAAAAAAAAGAAATTTTTACGAGCTACAAGGTACGACTATCCGAAAATCGTTCACATTTTATCAATGTAAATGAAGCGGCCTTTCAATCAGAGTTAAATACAAAATTTTGTAATTTCAGTGAAAACAGAACTTTCATTAGATGTAGGTGGTGCTTGAAATTGTTATGTTTTCACTGTTTTTACGAAAAGTACCATCCAGATGCATGTACTTCGTACATTGAAAATAACATATGTAAAATGTAATTGGTTAAATTCAACTTTAAAAAAAAATATTCGAAGGTCAGACAAAAATATAATGTCACATTTAGTGTACGATTAAAATATGATTGAAAAAATAAAAAAAAAGGATTTGTTTTGTCAGGGTTCGACCTGCAAAGCAGAGGAAGCTCGGAACTTGCAGGCAAACACCTTAGCATTCACGCCACGCTAGTTGTTGAATGTATTTCTATTTCTGATGATAAGTACCTGTAATAACTTTAATATCTCAAAGTAAAACCTAACCCAAAATCGGGTACCATTCCAACTTTTCCTTGTTATAACCGAGTTTTCAATTTGTCTTAGCGAAAATCGCAATCACATTTTGCACATTATTCTAAAACATTTGTGGTATTCGTTTTCAATGCGATTTAAGTAAGCATATAATGTATAAGATTTCATTTAATTTTTTCTTTTCTAGAGAAGATAGAGAAAAAGTTTATATAATTTTTTTTATATAAAATTTAATTCGTCCTAAGATTTATATGAAACATTTAAAAGATTTTTTATACATTATGCCTATATATCTGAACAACTATGAAACAAGAGGTATAATCATTATTATCTATGGACTGATTATAGTCAAAGTCTAACCGGACTTTGAAATGAGAACATAAAACTTAAATGTAAAGTTTCATTTAAATTCATTTAGCTATTTATACTCAATCATATTAATAATATACATATGTATGCTCATACATGGAAATAAAAAAAAATTTCTTTTTTTTCAATAATTAAAATATGATCAGATCTTAAAACGTGTATTTCCGTAAAATAAATTTTACAAAATTTTTTTTTCATTATGGGTACTTTGCTTATGTGCGCCTACACTTCGAGACATTTTTACTTGACAAATTACGTTACGGTCATTAAGGAACCTCCAAACTCCACACGGGACTTGGAATCCTTGGAGCTCTTCCTTGCCTCAATAGCGATTGACGTATCGTAAACCCGCAGTAGCGCACAGTTGCAGACTACCGAGATCTTGGGGGCTTTGGCTTTCCCCAAAATGTTTATTTATAAAGGGGGCAACATTCTCGCTCACCCTTGCATGGTGTACCCGGACACTGAACAGCAGGGTAGGTGGGAATGTTGCAAAGGATAAGAAACGTCCTACAAAGGTGATGACTTTAAGGATTGGCTTGACCAATCCTTCCACCGGTTAACGCTATGCGTTTTCGTCAACTTGGTAGGGGAAGCCAAGCTTAGTTTAAGGGTAAGATTTCGGTTTAGATTCGTTTGATCGAGCCTTACAATTTCGACTAGACTTTCCATAAGTCTTGAAATATTTTTGTGCACCTAAAAAGAGCATCGGGCTCTTCCCAAAATTTTTTCTCAAACGCCAGTTTGAGTGATCCTTCGAGCCTATGGAAAAGGAACACAGTAAGGAGCTGTGTGATAAGCACGGTCCGCGCGGTATAGCATGTGGGCATAATACTTTGCGGCCGAAACAACTACAAAGACAAAAATAATAAATCTGCAGCGTGGAATAGTTGGTAGTTTACTGATCGACGTAAGAAGATGAAAGTTTCGTGAAGAATATGTGTAAATTGTGCTTTTCTGTGTGTATTCAAACGAGCCTCGAGTTGTTCTTTCATTATCGAATGCGTATTAATCGCAGTGCACTTTTGACCTATATAATTACAAAAATACGTTTGTTATTTATTGTAAAAGTAATTCACTAACAACATATAGTAGTGCCCACTTAAATGTTCGCGCTCGAGACCTGCCGCGGTCGTTTAAGTGGGCATGATTACTTCTCAGAATTCAACGGAGATAAGGAAAGAGGATAAGTGCGAGTGATATACAATAGCTGGCACCTGAAACCATATACTTACATACGAGGTCTGTCTCAAAAGTATCCAACCTTCTTTCATATCTTCGCGCTTGACAATTTTAGCATCCTTTGCCGGATACGAATATCAACTGCAAAGCTTTACGAACTCCTTCGATGCCGCAGTTTTCGTCGGAGCGCCTTAGTTCACGTGCAGTGTTCGCGCTCGAATTGTTGATGGTCGAATTGGAGTGAATGCGATGTCGTCGTGTTGGAGAGTTTTCAAATGGTTTATTTTTAACAATAACAAAGTGGACTGTATGATATGTTTTCAAGCGCGTTGAACTTTGGGAGGAACTGTTTCCCCCGCGATTACTTAAACAAAATGCGTTCAACTCAAGTAAAACTGCTGTACTGTTACAGACTTGTTAGTTAGACTTGTTAGACTTAGTCGGTTAACGACTGAAACTCTAAAGAAATGAAACTTGTTTGTCGGTTGACGACTGAAACTAGAATTGAAACTGGTTTGTCGGTTGACGACTGAAACTAGAATTGAAACTGGTTTGTCGGTTGACGACTGAAACTAGAATTGAAACTGGTTTGTCGGTTGACGACTGAAACTAGAATTGAAACTGGTTTGTCGGTTGACGACTGAAACTAGAATTGAAACTGGTTTGTCGGTTGACGACTGAAACTAGAATTGAAACTGGTTTGTCGGTTGACGACTGAAACTAGAATTGAAACTGGTTTGTCGGTTGATGACTGAAACTAGAATTGAAACTGGTTTGTCGGTTGACGACTGAAACTAGAATTGAAACTGGTTTGTCGGTTGACGACTGAAACTAGAATGAAATTGTGTCCGGAGTCCGTTTCCTCCTCAGCTTAGATCCCCTCCAAGAGGTACACTTGGGGGTGTTGGCCATCGACTTGGGCGAGGAGGACCCATTTTCCTGCCCCATTTTGGCAGCAAACTCCTCCTTCACCTCGGTGGTGGAGGAAAGTCCCAGGCCACGCTGGCGAGGGTGGCCGAGGTTTCCTCCCCAAGTCGAAGGCCGCGTTAATTTATCGAGGAAGAAACGGAACTCCGGATTATCCACGCAACAAGGGGTTGCGTCTGGTCTACGTCTGTTTTTATGGCTATATTGTTCCGCGTGTCGGCGATGGCCGTTGTCGTCGGTGCCTACATTTGGCCTCGACGACCGTACCACCCGCGGAACAATATAGCCCTTCGCTGGTCAACTCGAGTGTCGCGTTTCTTTCGTTTTCCAAAATGCTATTCTTTTACATTGACCTTTGCCAGATGCGAGAGACTCGAAGACGTTTGCAACGTAGTACCGATCCCGCATCTGGCAACATAAAGGACCGGAAACAACTCGAGTTGGCCAGCGGAATGAGCGTGCTTTCGTTTACCGAACATGCAGCGTGCGTTTGTTTACAAAGTGTCTTTTACGTTCATCGTATTTTGCTATTGTAAGAAATGACGGAGAGATCGGAGCAACGAATTTGCATCAAATTTTGCTTAAAACTCGAAAAGAGTTGTGCGGAGACCACCAAAATGAGGCACATCTGTTGATAGTAACTCACGCTTTGGCCGGTCTTCGACGACAACAACACCGGATAATATTGAACGTGTTCGACTTGCGATCAACGAAGATCGTCGATTGATTATCTTGAAGTTATGAAAAGATTGCGTGACGCAATTAAAAGAAAACGGCCTCAGCTTTGGTCAAGCGGTGACTGGCATCTTCATCATGATAACGCGCCAGCGCATGTATCGAATCTCGTGCAGCAATATTTGACGAAGCACAAAGTCGTACAGCTCCGTCAGCCTCCGTACAGTCCTGATGTAGCTCCCTGCAACTTTTGGCTGTTTCCAAAATTAAAAATGCCGCTCAAAGAACACCGATTCGACGACAAAGAAACAGTCGAAACTAATACGACAAACGTTCTAAAGGTTATGCCAAAAAATGAGAGTGCCAGGACTGCTTCTGTGGCCCTGCTTTGCTGCGAGTAGGAACTCGGGAAATTCATAGGAGGGTAAAAAAGGAAAGGAGGGAGCGCTTTTCGTCCGGACCTGCTAGTGGACTCATCAGTAAGGCTTTCTAGCAGGCCCTGTCTTAGACGACTGAGATATTGAGAAGTCGGTCGAGGAATGTACATATAGCAATCGAGGGGTTGGTCGAGCGCTTGTGAGAGCTCGACCCCTCTGGTGGCGAGCATGGGAGGCGACACCACACTTCCAAAAGTGGAAAGGCCGTTGGCAGCGTATTCTTCAATCAAATGGGAACTACTTCGAAGGATGCCAGTAGCCCGATGACGCAGGATAACACCAACGGGGAAATATGAAGGAAGGTCGGATATTTTTGTGACAGACCTCGTATACAATGTATCGATAACGACCGGTGTCAAGTTACGCTCGACACTTACGTGCTACTTAAGTGGGCACTACTATATCATGGACGATTTTGGAAACAATAGTGGCGATAAGAAGAAACAATTTTATGATTTAATGTTTTCTGATACGATGGAAGGTATTAAGGAGTTTATTGGATTCACAATCGATTTTGTTACTTATAGAGATCTCATTTTATCCTGCAATTTACATATAAACAATTTTTTCGTATCATCAACAGTTATTGAAATATCGCGACTGTCACACTTTAGCGTGGACACCCTGTATATGTTCATAGCCTAGTCTCCATAGGTTTTTAAAGGGCAATGATTAAAAATAAAATTCTATTGCATGATTAGCAGTATTTAGGCGTAAATTTAATGTATTCCATTTTGTAGAAATGAATTCAGGAGGGAATAAAAAAAAGGTACGAAAGATGTAGACGTTTTAATATGCGTCCGTATCGATTGACCAAATATCTATCTACATGTATCGTATTCTATAGTTGTCAAAGAATTTAAAGAACTCGTCATACGAACGATTATAGTTTGAAGTCTACAAACATTACAAATAATCCATTCTTTCTTCGTTTTGTGTAATTCAAATTGATACGTAATTATGTAGATTAAATAGATTTTTTTACAAAACATGTAGGTATATTCATTTATTCGTGATGCTGGCATATAAAAGTAACGTAATGCTTTCAGCAGTTTAAGGAAATGTTCGAAACGCTCACGGAGTTATACCCATCTGTGTGGGATGAACCAGAGACCAAGAAATGGACAAAGACAGCACGCGAGATCCAGCAAATGTTCTATTTAACTTTCGAAGGTAAACAATGGGACGTTTACCAAAAAAAGGAATACGAGTTATTAAGCACAAAAGTTTGTTATGCTTTATTTGGTCCTCCAAAGGATGCAAACGACAACTTTAGCAATATCGAAAACGCGTATGATAAAGATAAACGTGATTCAGGCGACAAAATCAAAGACAAGATCATAGAAGTGCACAAAAATCACTCGGGCTGTAAGTCGTTGCATGTTGGCATTATTTTCGTATGTTGCAAGCAATACGATAAGCAATTTTACGTTCCGATATTTCGTATACGTATAAACGAAACAACAGAAGAAAGCTATTACGTCGATACGAATTTCCGCGTGTACCAATCTTGGAACGATTGGAAAGAAAACAATAAACTACCAATGTTGTTATATTGTTATCCAAAGCCAGGCTTTTACACGTGTTCTAAGGGCAGCAGGTACAAATTCGATGAGAAAGGCGATGTAAGGACAATGTTAAGTCATAGAGGGGTTTACTGACCCAAGAGCGTACAGCCTATGCTATACACCGTTGGAAAGGTCTCGCCAAGGCGAATCGACTGATACCGTTTTTAACTTCGATATCAGATGGGATCATGTCGAAAAATGGCCTCAAAATTCGAGATTTTGCGGTTTTGAACAAAAGAATCCGGTCGTAAAAGCCCATCCGGCCCGAGGGACCTCGGGTAGGCACCTGAGGGAAAACCGAGCGGTGTAAGCGATACTCTAGCAGATTGGGACGGCAAATGTGCCCCACCACCTTCATTTCAGTGCCGTGTTGGGCCTGCGTTTGCCGCATGGGCCCCGTTCGAAATGCCCAGGGCGAAATCGCCAATGGATCAGTTGTTTTTCATGAACATAATATATTCATGATAGACGATTCGCAGGTATGAGTTGGGAATGTGCAGGTTAGTATTCAGTATTCACATCATTATGTTTCGTTCAATCAATAAAATGTCACTCCATTCACTATTGTAAGTGACGCATTAGTCTGAATACTAACCTGCACATTCCCAACTTATACCTGCGAATCGTCTATCATGAATATATTATGTTCATGAAAAACAACTGATCCATTGGCGATTTCGCCCTGGGCATTTCGAACGGGGCCCATGCGGCAAACGCAGGCCCAACACGGCACTGAAATGAAGGTGGTGGGGCACATTTGCCGTCCCAATCTGCTAGAGTATCGCTTACACCGCTCGGTTTTCCCTCAGGTGCCTACCCGAGGTCCCTCGGGCCGGATGGGCTTTTACGACCGGATTCTTTTGTTCAAAACCGCAAAATCTCGAACTTTGAGGCCATTTTTCGACATGATCCCATCTGATATCGAAGTTAAAAACGGTATCAGTCGATTCGCCTTGGCGAGACCTTTCCAACGGTGTATAGCATAGGCTGTACGCTCTTGGGTCAGTAAACCCCTCTATGACTTAACATTGTCCTTTGGAAATCGGTACATCGCCAGCTTGCGATCTGAGTTCGCGTATAGGAAGAACACTGGATTTTACTAGTGGAGTGACTGGACTTATCGGAACAGGGGTTGGAGTGGCTTCTTTGTTTACTCCACTGGCTCCTCTCACGCTTACAACCATAGGAATAGCTAGTACAACAAGCGCGGCATACGGAGCCGTGAGAAGCGTCCAACAGTTGGTAGACAAAGGAACTCACGGCGAAAGTCTGCTCGATATGGAATCAATGATGTGCGCATTGAACATAATTATGCTACCTTTACACATAGGAACAAGCGTAGTCAATGGTAAATTAATAGCCGGTGCACGAACAGAACGCACTTTTACATCCTTGCAACGAGTTGGTGCAACTTTCTTGAATATAACAGCTGTAACTATAGATACTTCCGCAGTATTAATCGGACTTAAAACTTTGTATGATAAGAAGCAGGAGGGAACAAATGCAACCATTGGACTTCTTGTAGTTGTCTGTATCCGTATTTTTCTTTTCACATACGCTTATACAGCCAAAAACAGCAAACGGAATTATCAAGAAAGCGCAAGCCCAATATTTTCAAGAGTATAAGTCTCAGATGACCGATGCTGTTGCACAGGAAACTTTCCAGAAATTTATCGACGACAATTATAAGAACATAAAGAGTGGTGCGAATATTACCAGGACTATTAATACTATCTATGATCCTGAAACATTTTTCAAATCAGTTGGGCCCGAGACTTCTATCAAAATAATCGACAACACTGTGGGAATCTTCATCATTAACGATGAACTGAAAATAAATCCTAATCGGTGAGCATGTGAACATCTTTCGTCTCATTTTTATAATATGTTTATTTTGGGGAACGTTTCTTTCCTAAAATCATATTATCTTTTGATAGTTTTGCTGTTTTATTCTCCTAATTAAAATATTTCTTCTTTCCTAAAATTAAAAATTCAGATTTAACCAAATCAGACCGGATAGGATAAAATAGTTGTTGAGGGCCACGAAAATGGATAAGAACCATCCACAATATGGAAAATATTCTAATGAAATTATGAAAAACGAATGTATAGCTTTGGAAGTCAGGCGCCAAGAAACTCTGGTTAAGATGGCAGAGGTATTTGGAACGGACCCAGACGGCTTGAAGAACTTTAAAATAAACAACAAACCGATATTCGCAGATCTAAAGCTGCGTCCCCACTGGATCGGCACGGCTCGGCATTTGCCGATAGCTGCGTCCCCACTGGGTCGGCACGGCTCGGCATTTGCCGATCGGCACAGCGTTCGGCAAAAGGCGGCACGGCCGTGCCACTGCTATGCACCGCGGCAAAGCCATTTCAGTACACAAAAAATGTACAGTGACGACGAAGTAATAACTGGTGCTGCTGCAGTTATAGTAATAGCAAATGCAAAAAAAATGCCTAAAAAACGAAGATTTTGGATGCGTCCGAGTTTACGTAGCAGAAGAATATACAGGGTGTTCGGCCACCTCTAGCAAAAATTTTAATGAGCGATAGTAGAGGCCAAAATAAGACGAAAATCAAGAATACTAATTTGTTGATGGAAGCTTTGTTAAAAAGTTATTAACAATTAAATTCAAAAATTTCAAATCGTTCTGGAAAAATTATTTTCGGTTGCGGGGGTCAACTACAATCATTTTTGGTGAGTACACATACCTCCGAAATCCTATCTACTTTCGAGAAAAAAAATCGAGTAGGTGCTGAAATTTTTCGGCGAAAAAAAATTTTTCAAATCGTTCTAAAAAAATTATTTTCGGTTGCGGGGATCAATTACAATCATTTTTTATCATTACACATACCTCCAAAATCGTACGCACTTTCGAGAAAAAAATTCCTTACTGAAAATCCAATTAGGTGTCTAAATTTTTCAACGGAGAAAAAAAATTGCAAATCGTTGTGTATAGCCATAAAACAGCTGTCAAACACGCGCGGCCACTCGTCGCGTCCTAATCCGGAGTCCCGTTTTTTCTTCGATAAATTAACGTAGCCTTCGACTTGGGGAGAAAACCTCGGGCACCCTCGTTCTGGGGGTGACCTGGAAGTCTTCCTCCACCACGTTCAGGTATGAGGAAAGAGTTTTCCTCCCAAACGGGGTGTGAAAATGGGTCCTCCTTCCCTTAGTCGATGACCAATCGGTCGAGCTAAAAGTTAATACCAAATTCGGTTGACACCCCCAAAATCGCGTATCGGAGGAAGAAACGGGCTCCGGAAACATCGACTATGCAAAAATATGGGCACGAGGAAAAAATCTTTCGCCTATGACCATATTTGGTTACAAGACGGGGCTTTATGGCCCTGCCTGGGCCTTTCAGAACTGGAGGTAGCAATCGTCGCGCTGTGAAATTTTCCGTTCGATCGCGAAAGAATACCAATTTGTTGATGGAGGCTTTGTTAAAAAGTTATTAACGTTTAAAGTTCCTGTATCTTTGTATCTCGATGATGGTTTTGGAACGAAATTGACATGAAACTTTCGTGCTCTCGTGTCTTGGCACGATCTCTTTTGATGGTTACCGACATCGTGCCGATCGACTCGTCGGCATGCCGGTCGGCTTTTCAAGCCATGCTATCCAAGACGATGCAGTGTTTGGCTTTGCCGAGAAGTACTTAGGGTGCCGATCGGCCGTGCTAGATGACAGATGCGGACGCAGTGTAGACGCAATTCTCGGCTTTTGCCGATCGGCCGTGCCGAACGGCAAAAGCCGACCCAGTGGGGACGCGGCTTAACAGGTGCTGAGATAGATCGAATGCGGACAGTGTTCAGCGATACAGCGAGGAATTACGATAAAGATATCATTTATGCCGCCGCCGCGGCAGCGAAAGAATTAGGCTGCCATGACGTTCATACATTCGGTGCTATCATTGAATTGATTGCATTAGAAAGTCACGGTACAATCAAACAACGTTAGACTCGCTTTTGAAATCATCATAGACGTTAATTTTATGCCTCTTTTTCTTCTTTTTAGGAAAATCCAGATCACAGTATCGTTCATATTTGGCGGAATTTCAAAAAAATCCCGATACCAGAAAACAATTTGTGGCCGACGTTAAAAAAGATTGTGGAATAGCTACAGATATCTTGAAAAATGTCAAGTTAAAGTTTGATCATGAATATTTGGCTGTATATCACTATAGAAAACACGGATTCGAGTTCGGAAATAAAATTTCAATGCATGTGTATCTTGCTGATATTCCAAAGGATCTATTTCAGAAACAGTATCTGTATAGCGATGTGTATGATCAAGCTGGAACGAGCAGGATTCAAATTTATGCGAATAAGGAAGGCTCGCAATTTGGAGTGTTGAAAATAAAAAATAATAATCCATACGTCGCAACGGTTTTTTCAAACCAAAAATTCTTCGAGAATTGGGAAACAAAATTGCCAATAGCCCAAGAATATTTAAATCTTACTACCCTTCACTATAACGATCCAACAATTCCGACAACTAGATTTTTCGATATTTTCGGTTCTAACCTATTAAAAGACATGGGCATAGTTATTGGCGATATACAAGTACATAAATGTAATACATCACAAAATTTGAACACGTTTGAAGGTAATTCTGAAGATATCAAGAATTTGAGAGAATTAGCCAATTTACTTACTATAATGACTCAAGCAGACAAAACTGATTAAACTTTACAATGTCAAAACTGCTAATATAAAAATTGTATATTTCAATAAATGCTTAAGCAATAAATTGCTTATTGCTTATGTATGTATGTATTTAATTACTGGTTCCCCGTAGAGTTACGTGAGCTTTCCTTTACTTCTTTGATACTTCCTCTTACATCCAATCCTCTTCTCCTACCTTTCTTTATTTAATTTTATTTACGGGAGATCCTCGTACATCTGTACGAAAAGAAACAGATATTTATGAATTTTTTACACTTTAAAATTTGATTACACTTTTGGGAGAAATACATATTCAGACACTTGAAAATCAATCCAGGAGCAGAGCCAAGAAGGACCACCCTAAACAAGCTACGATTTTCACTGCCGAGGCGTCCGCCATGTTTAGAGCCATGAATTATATTCACTACAACATCATGTTCAAGTTGGCCATCTTTTCGATTTCCATGAGCGTGATTAAAGTCTTAGCATCTATAGATAAGAAAAACTGCGAAATCATAAAGAACATGCAAGAGACCTATTCAAAAATCTTCAACAGGAACATATATCCGGTTCAATGAGAATTGTCAGGAAATATAAACAAAAGGTTCACGTGATCGATGCTGCGGCCGCAGATGAACTGTTCATCATGAATATCGCTATTCAGGGACGCTTTTTAGCAGTGGTGACTAACCACTTCAACCCAGTACTCCCGATTCCGAATGATGTCGGGGTCCTCGAGTAGATGCTCAATTATTTTCCTGCGGCCGTCTATTTTGTACGGCCCCCAAATATAATGGTGACTATTGAAGTCGCCCATTAGTATGAAGGGTGTTGGAAGTTGGTTTGTAAGCGCTTCTAAGTCAGTTGGGGTTATGGTATGGCTTTTCGGGAGGTAGATGTTCCATATGTGTATCTTGCTTGGAAGTAGTACTGTAACTGCGATTGCTTCTAGGTTTGTGTTTAACGGAATTTTGACGGCATTGAATTTTTTGGATACTGCGATGAGTACTCCCCCACTCGCGTAATTATCGCAGTCTCTATTTTTGTTGAAGATAACGAACCCTTTGAGTCTTGGGAGGTGGTGTTTTTTGAGGTTTGTCTCTTGTAGGCAAATGATGGATGGGTTGTGTTGGTCAAGAAGGAGCTGAGTTGTTCGTATTGCGTGTAAAAACTATTTATATTCCATTCAATAATATGTTTCCTTGTGGTTAAGAGGAGTCACTCTCCATTTCCGATGACCAGTTGGCAGCTGTTTTCGTTGAGGAGTTCTGGATTATTTTTTTGTGTAGTCTGTGTAGTCTGTTTTTCATGCTACGTTCATTAAGCAAGGGATGGATTTTTAGAATCATTCCAGCTAAGACGAGAGTGTTGGTTGTGTATGTTTTTGAAATTTCTAAAGGGTTTGGGGCTGTGATTGAGTTTTCTAGGAAGCTTTTAAATTGTATATAACTTAGCACGTGGTTGTTTCCTTGGTCTTCAATGTAGTTTTTGGCTGGTTCCATCATGTCGTCGATTTTGTTTAGCGAAAAGGCGGGTGATGGGGGCCGTTTTGTTTTCTTAGAGACTGGTTCAGGGTTTCTATGAGGTTTTCTGGATATTGCGCCTGGTGATTTGAATTCAAGATCGCTTAGTTTTACTGGTTTTGTGTTACTTTCTTCTGGAGTTGTGAATAACTGTCTTTTGCTACTTATTTTATCTACAATCGAGTTATCTAATCTTCTTGCTGTTAGTTCTGTTGTGTTAGAGTCGTCTAGCGAGATTGGTTCCATGTGTTCAGGTGTATTTGGCATTTCTATTTCTAGTTCCGTTTCTTTAGGCCGATCTTCGGTGTGGGGCGATGGGAAGAGTTGAAAGTTGGCATTTTTTGGTGAGCTGGTTCCGTTTGGATTTTGGTTGTTAGGGCATTGCGTAGCAATATGTCCTTCTTGGTTGCACCTGAAGCATGTCTGTCTTTCCGTGGTAGCGAATATTCTGTAGGTGTTATTTTCTAACGTAATGTGGGGTGAGTGCGTGTGCGTGTGCTGGCGACCAGGTCATGCTGCGACAGACCGGCGCCGATATGTTTGGGAATCCGTTAACGGTTCAGCGTTGCACACGTCGTGGTTTGCACACGGCGTGCAATCGCCCTTTTCGGTTAGGGCGATCGTCGATTGTTAAATCGAACCGTTCTTAAGACGAGCACCGTGCCGTGCGTAGATCAGATCGTTGCGAGTTCACGTCGGAGAGTCTTGGCGAGTTGGTGCGAGAAGTCGCGTTGTTAAAATATAATAGATACACATATATATATGTATATACCAGCGGGTTACATTTTATTTAACCTCCCCGTTTCCAGAGAATCCTACAGTAATAAGAAAGTAGCCCGGGATTTATTTTGCATCTTCTGGATCTACGTAGACTTGTTTCCTGAAGCTTAGAATATGCGACAGGTCTGGGTCAACGATTCTTGCTTTTAATGAGGTTATTTTTGAGTATAATTTGATATTGTTTGTTCTGAAAACGTTTTCGATAGCTGTTGAGGCCCATTAAAAACGGTGCCGTGTGCAACCGATTCAGGCCGGGCGCAAGATCGATCGGCTGCGCGTGTCGCGGAATATTCGCGATCCTCGAAGGACCGAGAATGTTCCACGACATGCGCCGAGAACTTTTGCACCCGGCGCGAAGGAAAACCAAAGGACGATCGGGACCAGGGGTATATAAGCCAGGGCCCCGATCGCCTAGGGGGCTCTTTATCCGTATATCACGAAAGCAGTCGGTCAGTCGGTCAGTCAATCAGTCAATCAATCAACCAGCAGACAGACCACACGTAAAGACCACTCCGAACGCAGACATACCTGTAGCATCAGTGTGTCAATTAAACTAGTTAACTGTTAATCTACTGTGTCAAAAATCACATCCCTTCACACCTTTCGCACCTTAATTTGTACGGAGAATTAGCGACCGCAAACGATCGCGTTTCACCAAGACCGATCGTCATCCTGCGTCGCAACAATAGCTGTGTTGAGTATTATAGGTGCGATATTTGATAGTATGATTCTTACAGCTGGTAGTACCATTGGGCGGATTTCTATATTTACGTTATTTATTGCAATTGTTTTGTTTTTAGAGGTTAGGTTTGTAACCGTTTCTTTGCTATCTAGGTACATATAGATTCTTCCATTGGAGATCCTTGATAGATTTTTTATAGCTTTGGGTCCTGTTATGTTCCCGATTGCCCAGACATACTCCTTAATGATGATTCCATCGATTGATTGCAGAATAATAGCTTGATCTTGGGTTGGTGTGTATTGATGTTTTGTTATGTTGGCGTATGAGGTTTTGGTTTCGGTCATATTAAATTTTTTGGTTATTTGGCTATTTTCCGATTGGATATTTTGGTTCTCGTTAGTTTGGAAGGGATACACAGATTGGGATTTGTCACTGCAACGGTTTACTGTCGGTGACATGGTGATACGTACGGCGTACGAATACCTATGTCAGAGGTTTATGTAGTGGTGATTGTACCAACACTGAAACTACGGCACGCGTGACGGTACGAGCTAACATTAACACGTCCGATTGATTCCGCAGTCGGAGTGAGACTGTTGTGTCTTTTTATTTCTTACAGAACCTTGCGATTCTCTTCGTTAATCAGCTAACGTTTTTCGCGTTTTCGATCGCCTCGCTCGCTTCTCTGGAAAACAAAAACCGATTCCCTATTTCGGGGGAACGTCCATGCGTCGCGTCCAACCATTGTTGTCGTGGCGAAATCGACTTTTTTGTTTTTGCCTTCGAAAAAGATTAAGTAAAAGAGTTTCCTTCATTGAAAGAAGAAAAATTTTCCAATCTTTTATTTTCAGCAGGGACGGTGTTTCATTTTCATATGATTGATTTTAATGAGTCAGCGTTTTTTTAAATTATTAAACAAAGAGGAGAAATAGGACACTATTGTAGGGACAGGGTGCGGAAGGGTAAATAAAAGAGCCGTGTTGAATTGGAATAAAGTATAATTGCCACTTTCGTGGGTATTTCCGCAAGACTCTCAAAAGACGATTCCTTTCCTGACGTTCACACTTTTTCTATTCGTCGTCCGCGCTCATTCTCTCTTTCTTTTTCATTCACATACGCTTCCATCGTTTTTGTATTATTGCACACTCATATTGATACATTCGCACCTGTTTCGGAAGGCCGTGGCCTTCCGAGTTCGTTGCTCGGGTTTAGTCTAGGTCACGATTTTTAAACAACGCGATGTCGACCCGTTTCGGTCATTCCTCTCATACAGTATTCTCAAATTTTTTCAGACTTTTAAATTTTCCTCTGCTATTAAAAAATGGCTATATGGCAAAGGCTATACAATTTTCCGGTTCCTAGCATACATTTGGCTCTCTCCGTTGGTGGAATTAATCCACGAGCACACGTATATATTTTGTGATCGTTCGGTGTAGAGAGTTTATATATTTTTAACAATAACAATAACACAATGGATAACAATAAATAACAATAATAATCTTTTTATTTTAGTACGAGCAGTCGCAAGCGAATCTGAACGAGGACGGCAGTTGTTTTGTCTATCTTCTGTTTTTTTGCTTTCTTTCCATCAAGAGTGGAAACCTTTTTCCTGACGCTTGCAGCGCCGCCTGACGTTCCTAGGCGCCAACATTCCGAGTGGAATGTGAGCCGCCACATACATATGTATGTATGTATATGCTCCTTAAGAGTAAAATACCTCGTATATTTGAGTAGAACATTATCTACTAATTTCATACATATGTTATTTACTGCCATGAACGCTGATCTTAAAAGACGTTCGCTAACGGAAATGAACATGACCTTCTTAACGAGCCAATTTAAATAATTATGACACGTTAATCGTCGTGAGCGATTACAGATGAAGGTAGGTGAAGTATAGAGTCCTCTAAAGCCAAACGAGCATAAAAATTGTTTACAACTTTGATTGGTTAATTTCCTTTCTATTCTACAATCCCGATCATATATCACGATAATTTGTAATCTATTTCATAGACAAGTTGATTATTAATTATCTATTTTTCAATATAATGTACGATATTTAAACAATAATCGAAATGGTATCCAACACTTGTTCTAATTTCAATCACCTAATCAAAACTTAGATTTCCCTATAATTGCCAAATGAACATTTATTAAATTGATCATTTCATTTCTCTCTAAACAGAGAGTTGTACTTCTTTATGTCTGGTATTCTACTCTTTGCTATAATATAATCAATGTATGGTTCCAATCTTAGTTCATATATATGATCTAAGGTTCCAACTTCCAACCAACACGTTCCATACTCGAAATACTCAAATTGTGAACAAGCTACGCTAAAGTGGGATTCTTTTAATAGTACAACTTCAAGTAATTTCAAGTTCGATTATTGCTTAAGCAGCAGCGTTCGAAACAAACGAAAGTTTCTTTTTAAAGATACACAGCATACATGATGGCACGTATTGTGAGATTCGTAAAGCAGATTTATCACGACCCTTTTAAATGGTATATTCAACATTATATTAATATTAATATCACATTTGTGTTCCAGAACTAGCGTACCTTGTAAAGTGAAACATTTTTCTTTATATTAGATATGAATTAATAAAAATGAATTAAAACTATAAAAAATTACTTTTTTATTACAGGTCAATAGTTAAAAGTATCGGATTTTTTGTACTAGGCGTGAAGATTGCTCTTGAATGTGATGGAACAGTTATAATGCCGCCAATTTCCGCTTGAGATTGAAGATACATAATATTTATTAATGTATTTACATTTGCACATTATACATGTAGATGTATATTTTATTTTTTTGCAGTTATAAGTACTGTTAGAAGATAAAAAAAAATGTGGTTTTGTATGTATACCTTTTCAGGTTATTTAATTTTGTTCATCATATGTACATAAAACAAAAAACGTGGATAAAATAAATATTTTGAATAGGTAAACCATTATATACAGTATTCATATGTATATAAACATTTTACCTGTTTCTTAAAAGAAATAAATTGTATAAAATGAGTTCATAAATCATGACATTGTTACAGTTGTATTTAAAGTCTTCTAAATTACAGATTCATATCACATATTATAATCTTTAATGTAAAATCATCCAATCGGAGACAGAGTTTTTATACTACTTCAAGCTTCCAATACATTATATAATTATGTTTATTGGTAATTAATCTTTGTTACACAATTACAATATGTATAAAAGAAACATGTAATTGGATTTACATTTCTCTAGTTACAATTATTGTAAAACTACATGATTTTTACAGTTTCTTTATAAATGTGACTGTTATTGTTGATTGCACTATTTATATTAATATCGCTATTGTAGTATATAATTTTTTATTACAATTACATTGCTGCATTATTACATTGTACAAGTGTAATATATTCTTTTTCTACGAAAGTGTACATTGAGTTATATGGAAATACTTAGCGATTAAACAAATATTTATTTGAATTTTTTTTTGCTATATTGCTACAGTGACAATCAATTGTTACATTTGTAAAAAATATTTGTATATTATTTACATAATTGTACTTCCTCGTTGAAGAGTATCTATTATTCCGAGAGGATTATTAACGACGAATATATAAATTTCATATTGGAGAAATAAAAAAACTGAACTTTTGATGGAATTATTCTTTAAACAAAAGTTCTATATATCCTCTTTTAACGCTAAATCTCAATTCACTTTTTTTCTGATGAGTGATCAATACGATTTATAAAAGTGGATATAGTAAATCGATTAACTAACTTCGACGCGCAATACGAAGTTACATTAAAGAACATGTAATACATGATGTCAAAAATATTTGTATGCTACACTGACTGTTCAACTTCAGGTAAGTCTAAAATTTCTCCAACAAATTCTGCAACATTTGTATCTTTCTTGGCATGCTCAGTGATAAAATTAAGCTCCAACAATTGATTGTAATTTGGACGGCCAGTATAATCTTTCATTAAACTGAAATATTAACAATCAATGAAATTACGTGCACAGAGTACATAATTCCATTAGAAGTAATTCTGCTTACCATTTGTTGATGAATTCTTCAAAATTAGTAGAAAATGTACCAGCAGGTAACTTTGGCGCTTCGTCCTTTACAACTTGTTTAAGTTGCTCAAACGGCGTACCCCAAGATTCGTAAGGAAACTTTCCAGTTGCTAACTCAACAAGAGATATACCTAACGACCAAACATCGGATCTGATGTCGTACTGTGAAGGATTACCCGACGGGTCTATCCTTTCTGGCTGAAAAAAAGGTCAGGATGGAGAATTTATTGAATAGATAAAAATAGGTACTCTCTATGACATACATTTAAAAGTTACATACAGCCATATATGGTTTACAACCAGCATCAATTGTTTTAGCAACAGAATCTACAAGATAACCAGAAATACCAAAATCACAGATTTTAACTTCTCCTTTCCGGTTAATTAAAATATTACTAGGTTTTACATCCCTATGAATCACTCGTAACTGTGAATATAAGTAATGTAATGCACTTACTACCTATAAACATAACATAAAATCAAAATTGTAAGTGCTTTACACAATGAAGAATAAGATTTCTACAGCAATTATTCTGTTATTTCTTACTGCAAAAGCAATTTTTCCTAAGATATCCTCAGGAATGGCACGTTCATGCTTGTACACTTTTGTATAAAATTTGTCAAGACTCATGTCCATAACTTCCATACATATCCAAACATCTCCTTCTCTAAATAATGCTCCATAAAACTGTACCGTGTATTGGCATGCAGAACTACGCATGGAAATATCTAAATCCATAAGTAATCGTTTTTGTTCTTGTGTATTGACTGTAGCAGTTATTCTCTATGAAATAAATAATATATGCTAGAAATATGTAAAGAATGAATTAACATGATACATCCATATATACAGTTATACATAATACCTTAACTGCCATAATGGTACCACTTTGTTTGTGTCGCATTTTATCCACAATACCATATGCTCCACGTCCAAGGATACAGATAGTTTCTAAATCATCTGCTTCTACTACAAATGTCTTCTCACCTATTGTTATCGTAGTTCTTTTGTCCAAATTTCTTGGTGGTGTGCTATATATAATATACACCTTAATTTCTTATTTTACAAAACATTAAATTTATGAAAACAACAAATAATATTTAACAAATTGTTTCTCTTGCATGTAAAAATATCTTATATGTATTTCAATTAAAATATTGCAGACACTGTATTAATTCAACAATATTAAAAATAAATATCGTAATAGAGAAAACACACAACCATAAAATTACTTACACAGGCACAGGCGTCCCTTCTGTGACCTGCAGTTTCAAGTTTCTCTTCCCTCGACGCAGAGCCATGATTTGATATACAATTAATAAATGTTACTAAGTCTGCAAGCGTGGCAGTGGATACAATTGAATATAATACATGTTTAAATAAGTTGTAATGAATATTGTATACGTGTTCTGTAAAGAAATAAAAGTACATGTATCTTTAAGTGCTGAGACAATGTTTGGAAGAATGTCGAAAGTCGAAGGTTATGCTATAAATTTATTGTAAGCAAATACACGAAAACATACGAGTGAAATAAAATTGTACTGAAAATTATTCTTGTTATTGTATCATTGAAAATAATTCGTGCAATACCTTGTTAATAACATGATGATACTTTACGAAAATAATGATAAAACTTTAAAGTTCCGTTGCCCATATATGAAGTTTTCAGTAAACTCAAACAGTCGCTTGAAATTGCTCACAACAGCCACTACGTTTTTAAATTCAATCTGGTCTCTCTAGAAACTTAATCGTTCTAGGCGCATTATATAAATTTTCGGCAGAGAAACATACGAATAATTTGTTACGCTATCGCGTGAATTTGGGCTTAGTACATATAGCGCCGAGACGGGAATTAATGGAAACTCAATTAATGACCATCGAGTGCGCGATCATATAAATCCATTAAAATTTGGAGCGAGATTCAAACGAACCAGCGTCATATAATGTACATCGCTATTGTATAAGATCCAACGTGGGCGATCAAGCAGGGAAAGTCAAGGGTCAAGAGTGAAAAGAAGGTATTCCTTAGAAATATTTGGTTTATTTTCTAAAGGCGGACTTTTCGTCGTCTTCTGACGAATTTCTATTTCTGCTAAATCTCGCAAGGATTTTGAAACACAACGGGGCCCACACGGTACTTCATTTCGCGTTTTCGTTCATTTTCTCCAAGAAGGTCATAAATTTTCTTAAAGATTGCTTTAGCTCGCTGGCTAGCTTTGTTTTCTCTCTGGACTTTCATGCTTTCCTTTACCACATATGCCTGCTACGAGCATAGCCGCGTAGCTTCCACCTCCACGCGGCTCAGAGTTGAATCGCCGATCGATCCTGACGGACGGGGTAGGGCTCAACCCTCGATTTTATTAGGACAACCCGGAGAGAAGATTTAAAATCTTCCTGGAGAAGGGACAAACGCCGAGGACCACGAGAAGATTTTCGCGGAAGATCAGATCAATTCTCGAGAGAGTAGAGAGAACATTAAAATTATCGTACAGTCTGTCAAATTACCGAGTAGACTCCTAATAAATAAAATCGTTGAAGTTACACTGAAACTTTTCCAAGTTTTATTTTGCGCGTCTCATCGAGCAGAGTGGTCAGCGCTCCACGTGTACCAACCTACCTCCTTATCCCCCTAGACCGCAGATTGGGTCGCAACAAAAGTAATACAAATAAAAATAAAATTAAGAAATATAGATTTTATATACCTTTGAAGCGAGCTGGACGTGGGATATTAGCCGAGCGTGATTGCTAGTAAACAAATCAAAGAATGTTATCTCCATCCGGCGCAGGTGACCGGAGGAACATAAGAACGCTCCTGGGCGCGAAGTCTCAGCCGGTGATACTCGGGGATACCTGGTATTGCAAGGAGACTGGAGCACAGGGGAAGGTCTGCCACTCTTCTGATTACTCGGTTGTCTTATATCGCAGAGCCGTGCAAGGGCTTACATTTGAAAAATAAATCAAAGTAATCAAATTTTAGTGGTGATCAATTAATTCCTTTTCCTAATCCAATTCTCTGAACGGCAATACCATACGTGTCAAAATTAAAATAGAGTCTTCAACATTCTTTTAGACAGTGGGTTATTGATAGCGATCTTGATTTCACGTGTATCTAATATATACGTGTACACGTGTAATTAACATATTCGTATCTTAATCCGTGTACTTTTTAATACACGGGTACACGGGTATTGAAATACACGGATACACGTGTATTGAAATATATGGGTACACGGATCATAATATCTATACATGTATCCGTTTATTGAGGTTCACGGATACACGTATCGAAATGTACTGTTCCACATGTATTACCCGTACCCCAAGTTTTATTTTATAATTAAATATCAGAATATTTAGATGTGTAAATTGTTTATGAGACTTAATTTACTGGGTAGTAGGTGAAAATAAGAAACATTATGGTTTTGGTTAATAAAGTTCAATTTATTAAATTTTTGTTTTGAGATTAGAAAACTAAGGTGTTAACATTCTCTGGAAGCAAACGGTTTCTTTTTTTTGTTACAATATTTCCAGCGCATGAAAAGCATCGTTCCGACATCGCCGAGGTTGCTGGAATTGTTAAATATTTTTTGGCAACTTCGGAAATTGCTGGATATTTGTTTGCCCTAGCTTTCCACCATTCAAATGGATTTAAATCAAAGCGTAATTGTGGCTCGGTCATATATGTTTCAATTTGAATATAAACATCATTCTTATCGGTGATTTCGTTGTATAAAAAAAAAACCAAAACAAAAATTTTTCTTATCTCAAAACAAAAATTTAATAAATTGAACTTTATTAACCAAAACCATAATGTTTCTTATTTTCACCTACTACCCAGTAAATTAAGTCTCATAAACAATTTACACATCTAAATATTCTGATATTTAATTATAAAATAAAACTTGCGGTACGGGTAATACATGTGAAACAGTACATTTCGACACGTGTATCCGCGAACCTCAATAAACGGATACATGTATAGATATTATGATCCGTGTACCCATATACTTCAATACACGTGTATCCGTGTATTTCAATACCCGTGTACCCGTGTATTGAAAAGTACACGGATTAAGATACGCATATATTAACTACACGTGTATCTTCAATACACGTTCAAAATCAGAAACTCTAGTTATTGAGCGTCGAAGCCCGTCCCCAATGTCTAAAAGAATATATGTATACATATATATAAATCAAAGTAGAGTCTTTTAATATTTTTTTATCCAGTGGGTTATTCAGCGTCGAAACCCGTCCACGACATTTAAAAGAATATTCAAGGACCACAGAATATTCTACTATTCTACCGGGCTACTGAGCGTCGAAGCTCGCCTGGGAAAATAGTAGCGAATCGACGTACTCGTAAAATTTAAATGCCTAAGAGAACCCGTCGCCCCGGTCGTCGCCAACAAATTCGCCGTTTCGCGATCCTTTTACGTCGGCCGGCACCCGCAGACACACAATTACTTGGAGTTCGGGCTCTGCCAATCGAAATCGAGATTTCCGCTGTCTTGCCGCAAAAGAAGCAACGCCGCCCCCGTGGCTGCTGTGGCTCTCTTCGTTGGTGGAATTAATCTACGAGCACACGTATATATTTCGTGATCATTCGGTGTAGAGAGTTTATGTATTTTTAACAATAAACTTTATTCAACAATAAATAACAACAATGGATTATTAGAATGACACGTGGAATGGTACTAGGAATGAAGAAATACGCAGGGTATTCGTATCTGCGCTTTATTCGGGTTCTCCTTCCGGCGTCGGAAAAACGAATGTGCCCCGTCCTGGGCCTAGTCCCTCGCCTTTGTCGTCAGCCTTCTTCCCCATCGGTAGGGGTGGGAATGCTGACGAACGAAGACCAGACGTGGTCCCTTTTGAACGCCTCGGCTTGAGACCTCGCCTTTTCCCGACGTCTTAAAGGATAACAATAATCGAAAATCTCGGCTCGAGAATCCAAATCGTATGCCGTTGACAGGAGGTCGGATTTCAGTTGTTAAGAGCGAGAAGGCAAATGTGAGCCTTTCTCTCTCGACTCCCACGAGGTGATCCGAAATTACTTCCGGCAGCTTCGGAGAATCGAGAAAGAGGGCATGCGTCAGTTTGCCTTTGTCGACTTTCCGAAACTCCACGAGCTCACGTATGCGTATTTCTGGCATGTGTGAGTTTGCACCCGACGGTGCTTTTCTGGCATCACTGTCGCTCGCATCGCTACTCTGCCATGTTGCGTCCCGAATTTGCGGTTTAGGGGAAAAAGAGGTGGGTTGGTGCCCGTGAAGCGCTGAACAGCTCTGCCGGCGAGGCGCGCAAGAAATCAAACTACTCGATACGTTCAAAAATACTTTGGCAAAATTTATTCGTTGGAGTTAACTCGGTGTACGACTTTTAGGTACAACTCGGTTGAGATTGAAAATCGTTCTGCGCCCTCCGCGAAAATCCTCTCGTCGTCCTAGGCGTTCGTCCCTTTTCCGGAATATTCTCGATCCTTCCTCTGGGTTGTCCTGGTCCAATCGGGGTTTGTGCCCTGCCCCATTCGTCCGGATCGTTTTCGATCGGAGATCTACCCCCAGAGATGCCAGAAAAGCACCGCCGGGTGCACACGCGACATGCCAGATACGCGTACGTGAGCTCGTGGAGTTTCGGAAAGTCGACAAAGGCAAACTGACGCATGCCCTCTTTCTCGATTCTCCGAAGCTGCCCGAAGTAATTTCGGATCGCCTCGTGGGAGTCGAGAGAGAAAGGCTCACATTTGCCTTCTCGCTCTAAACAACTGAAATCCGACCTCCCGTCAACGGCATACGATTTGGATTCTCGAGCCGAGATTCTCGACTGCCCAGGCATTTTTACTTTCCGACCTATGTAGGCGCACATAAGCAAAGTACCCATAATGAAAAAAAAATTTTGTAAAATTTATTTTACGGAAATACACGTTTTAAGACCTCCTGATCATATTTTAATTATTGAAAAAAAAGAAATTTTTTTTATTCCCATGTATGAGCACACATATGTATATTATTAATACGATTTTTGAAAATCAAAATACTTTAAGATTGAAAATTAATAAATTAAAATGAGATTCCACTCTTTACCAGTATTGAGCACGCTGTGGTATTTTTCAATAAGAAGAGTACTTACTTTTATAACAAACAAAACAGTAGAATTAATAATTGCAGAAATTAATTAATAATGATTTTCCTCGATTGTTTTGAGATAACCGTATCAATTTGTTATGACGAACTAAATAGAACTAACTAGAAACAAAGGAAAAGTGATCCCGTTTGCCAGTTTAATACAAAGTATGGGTTGTATCTTAAATTTTAAAAGGACATAGTCGAATATTTTTAAAGGTACAAAACATAGCGTTTCATTGTAGAACAGTAACATAAGTTAGCAGGTAATGTCATAAAACTGTTTTTCCCAGCTATATCCCTTTTTACCTGAAGTATAAGGTAAAAAGTACGAGCTACAAGGTACGACTATCCGAAAATCGTTCACATTTTATCAATGTAAATGAAGCGGTCTTTCCATCAGAGTTAAATACAAAATTTTGTTATTTCTGTGAAAACAAAACTTTCAGTAAATGTACGTGGTGTTTGAAATTTTTATGTTTTGACTGTTTTTGTGAAAAGTACCATCCAGATTCATGTACTTCGTACATTGAAAATAACATATGTTAAATGTAATCGGTTAAATTTAACTTTAAAAAAAAATATTCGAAGGTCAGACAAAAATATAATGTCATATTTAGTGTACGATTAAAGTATGATTGAAAAAATAAAAAAAAAAAGTTCAAGCAGGATTCGAACCAGCAGAGCAGAACAAGTTCGGAACTTGCAGGCAAAGACCTCATCACTCACGCCACGCTGATTAGTGGTGAACATAGTTCTATTTCTGAAAATAAGTATCTGTAATAACTTTAATAATATCTCAAAGTAAAACCTAACTCAAAACCTGGTACCATTCCAACTTTTCCTTGTTAGAAACGAGTTTTCAATTTGTCTTAGCGAAAGTCGCAATCACATTTTGCACATTATTCTAAAACATTTGTGGTATTCGTTTTCAATGCGATTTAAGTAAGCATGTAATGTATAAGATTTCATTTAAAGTTTTCTTTTCTAGAGAAGATAGAGAAAAAGTTTATATAATTTTTTTTATATAAAATTTAATTCGTCCTAAGATTTATATGAAACATTTAAAAGATTTTTTATACATTATGCCTATATATCGGAACAACTATGAAACAAGAGGTATAATCTGTAAGGAGTGTATGTGTGTGGCTAGGAGAACCGTTATCGTTTGCGTCGATAGGAGTGTTTAGTCTAAGCTAGAGTAGGTATCGAGTGAGGTGTTTAGGTTTAAGCTGAAATACGTTTTAGAGACTGCGTCTCGAACGTGCGTTTTGTTTAGATCATTATTATAAGATAGGAATAAGGAAGGGTCGACTTTGACTGCAGGAACGTCACTCTGTATCGAACGTTAGTCGAGAGCAATCACAGTTTTACGTTTATGATCTTTTACGTTTACGTTTTATGTCTTTCTTTTATGTTCTTTATGTTAAATAGTTAGTAAATATTAAATAATATAATTACATCGTTACGTTTAGTGTTCACGTATTTGAATCCGTCCACACGCCTTTGAAATGAGAACATAAAACTTAAATGTAAAGTTTCATTTAAATTCATTCAGCTATTTATATTCAATCGTATTAATAATATACATATGTGTGCTCATACATGGGAATAAAAAAAATTTCTTTTTTTTCAATAATTAAAATATGATCAGGAGGTCTTAAAACGTGTATTTCCGTAAAATAAATTTTACAAAATTTTTTTTTCATTATGGGTACTTTGCTTATGTGCGCCTACATAGGTCGGAAAGTAAAAATGCCTGGGCAGTCGAGAATCTCCGCTCGAGAATCCAAATCGTATGCCGTTGACGGGAGGTCGGATTTCAGTTGTTTAGAGCGAGAAGGCAAATGTGAGCCTTTCTCTCTCGACTCCCACGAGGCGATCCGAAATTACTTCGGGCAGCTTCGGAGAATCGAGAAAGAGGGCATGCGTCAGTTTGCCTTTGTCGACTTTCCGAAACTCCACGAGCTCACGTACGCGTATCTGGCATGTTGCGTGTGCACCCGGCGGTGCTTTTCTGGCATCTCTGTCTACCCCCGAGCCGTGTGAAGGTGGAGGCTACGCGGCCATGTTCGGAATGGTCGCATGTGAGAGAAAGCGTGGGAGTCGAGAGAGAAAACGAATCTAGCGGCCTAAAGCAACCCTTAAGAAAACTTATGACCCTCATGGAAAGAACTGAATGAAACGCGAAGTGAAGTGTCGCGAGGGCCATGCTGTGTTTCAAGACCATCGCAACTTTTAACAGAAATAGCTAATTCGGCACGGTCCGTAATAAACTAAAAGAAGGAACGACGGAAACTCCGATTCTACACGGCCTTTAGAAATTAGCTAAGTATCGCTAAGACTTGCTTTCTCTCTACCTTCCCCAGCTTGATTGCCCACGTTGAAAAGCATACAATTGCATTGTTCATTATAATACGTTGATCCGTTTGAATTTCGCTCTTAATTAGAATGCAGTTACATGACTCTGCACTCGACGGTGAGTAATCGGGTTTCAATTAATTCACGTTGTGGCGCTATGTACATTAAACCTACGTTCACGTGTAGCGTAACAGGATATAACCATTCGTTATCCACCTTCTCGCGTATGAACAAGGTTCCAATATTCGGATTTCGAATATCAAAAGTTTCAACCAGTGATTCCACCTCTATGGATTTTTTATACCGTCTACGGACCTACGAAATTCAAAGCAAAATCTACGGCTATTTGGTTTGTTTTATCTTTAATATTTATTCTTAGTTAATTTTATAGTCGTCTTGTTCGTCGGTTGCAACAAATGAAGAATTTTATAAATATTTTGTCCCGCCACTCCCCCCTTCTGGCTTCCGGGTACGTTGTATATACGTTGGGGCCTAGTGCTTATCCCCACTACTGAGGGATGTTTCACTTTGACATACCAAAAAAGGGCCTACTTTTCTTTTACTCGCTGTCCTTTTGTACGTTCGGGAGTCGACTTGGGCTTTTTCTATAATTAGAATTGATACATCTATTCCATAAACGCCTAGGTTAGAGCCCGAATTTTCGGGCATATGTCGAACTTTTACTATACATATACTGTATATGGACCCCAATTTCGGGACATTGAATACAACGAATGCACGATAATTGTACTTTTCGTAAAATGTTTTTAAAATCAAGATGTCTGGAACAGATGTAGGCCTATCCAAACCAATTTAGTCTTTAATAAAATAAATTCATTTTTTACTTACGCATTTCGAAAAAAGCTTTAATTGCATTCTGTTCCAAAACCAAATAACGATTTGGTTTTCTAACAAAAGCACAGTAACTTATTCTCGTTTATACAGCTGCAATAAGAGTTCGCCCTCATTTATGTAAATAATGAGAATTTAATAATAACATAACATATACAATGTAAATTACATCTATTTTTTCATAGGACCTATTCTTCTTTCATGTTTCATGACTTTTCGTGCTTTCACTCCCTCTCATTCACTCGTTCTCACTCATGCTATCTTTCTCCCTTCCTCAGAATACAGTACATAATTGTTACAAAAAATCAATGTGTTTCTCTTCCTCTTATTTATTCACCTATTAAGTCCAAAACTGACTCATAACTCTTTTGCCACTGTTGTTTGACACAGTTTTACATGATTTATACACAGTTTTTTTTACATCCTGTTGATGTTGTTATTTCTTCTCTGAATTCCTATATCGACCAGGTATATATTGCACTATTGTGTTGGTGCATTCTGCTTTTCATTAACGAGTTACACTTGGATTTCAGTTTTATTCTTTTGATACTTTAAAGCACTGTTTTGCTAATTTCCATTACATTCCTTGTACATTAATAAAGTCCAGTAACAATCTAATTTGTTCACAGTACACGAATACTTATGAGTATTAACAGCTAATAAACTAAACAAGAAATCAAAATATGTAAAAGAAATTAAAAAGAAAAATATTTGTAGAAGAGTTAGCATTCTAATTAATGGCTTAGTTAATTCGTAAATAGTATAACTTATTTTGAAACAACTTAATATGGTAATTAGTACATGGATTTCATTTAGAGAATTATACGCATTTTACTACTATACATTACATAAAATACGTAAGAAATTTATATAAACAAATATATAATTTTAATTTACTCTAGCTATATAATCGTTCTGTTTTAATATCTTGTTCTTTAAATGTTATTAGCAAATAATTTACATAAAATCTTTGTTCATCATACATTCGATCTATACGCTGCAATTTCCTGAGCCAAGAACAAAATGATTTATCAGAATTACTGTTTCCCTTAATAAACCCTCATATTCGTAATTCAGTAAATCCTGAATCATATTATAACAATTACTTATTGAATCGATGCCAACATTTGTTATTTCGTTTCTTAATAATATTATCAACAAATAACATTATATTTCAATTTCTAGATATAAACTTCGATCGTAAATTCAAAATAAAGGCCGAGTAAAGAAACTCTTGAGAATCAACTTATTCTAATTTCGAGTTCTCTTGCTTTGTATCTCACTTCAAGATAATTTTAAAAGAATACAGTCGTTATCTCCTTTTGTTCTTCTTTTTTTAAGTTATAAACGCAACTATGCGAGTATTATGCATTAACAATTCATAGAATGTCCTCGTAGTTCACCTCATTAAACAATTAATAGGAAATAGATTTATTATACACAGTGGACAGACTAGATCAAGTTGAAACATCTTGTTGTGATAATAGTTTTACGTTTTAAGTCAACGATATTCAATTCGTGCAGCTTTTAAAGCTACGCGTATTTTATTTAAAGAAAAGATCCTCGTATGTTGCAACAATTGTATTTCAAGGCTCGTTTAGTTATTTGTTGAGAATGAATGACGGTAAAAAACTATAAAATACGGGCATGCTTTTGACACAGTCTTCAACGTTTGCCGTAGAGTTTTATGTTCTAATGTAATTATGTATATCGTAAATGATAGTATAACACTTATAACTTTATTACAAACGTACGACGAACTGTACACAATTTATTATAAACGAGTGACAAAAACTATCGCGCGACATTTTGCCACAAACTTAAGATTTACATGTTATAATAGTCATATTTCACTTCGTTTTTCATTTTAATTTTAAATTTTATAAGTTATAATAATATTCTTAAAATAAAATATTATACGCCGAATCAGGCCGAAAAAGCGTGTTGAGGTTGTTTTAAACAACGAGATATTAAACAACATATTAGTAGCAATTAATCTGAGATTAATAAAGTAAATCGTCATTCTCTAATGTACTTTAAATCTGACGTGTATGCGCCTACATAATCAGCTTAAAAAATAATCTTCGAATGCAAAATTTCCATCAAAAGCCCAGTATCTTTGGCTACTTCGGGTATGTTTATTTAAATAATTATAATATAGTAATATTGTACAGCTTGAATTAGAGTACAGGGTGAGTTTGAAACATGGCATCCCTCTACATCATATGTTGTCCATTCGGAGGAGCATACTGAGACTGCTGATTTACTGAAGGTCCTGTAGGCCCTGGTGGACCATAGGGTCCTGGCATAGAACCAGTTTGAGGTGGAAATCTGTTGCATAATATTATTCGTCAACTTCGTTTTATTAGGCATGAAACCATTGGATTATCTTCCCTCTATTAATAATTTTTCGTTCGAATAATACAAACTAAATATCAGAACATCCCATCGTTTTATCCAAACCGACACTTAATTGCATTTCATTAATTAATTGTTTCGTTTTTAAATTACAGACCCATTGTTCTTGATTTAAACCTATACTTATTCATAAACTAACATTCATGCAACTGGAATATTAAGAGTCGATAATAGTTCAGATAATAAAGATTCAGAAAAGTGAGTTCGATAATCCAAGCACAGGGCGAAACATTGTCCAAATAAATGGAGTCCTATTATTTATGGGATTAGAAAGTGTAATTTAGTTAGTATCAAAGCTAGGCGAATTTAATTCTAAAATTAGCTTTTACGTGTTGTTTCGTTTGCCTGGATATTGGTATCAAATTTTACAAATAAAACATAAAGGAAAATTAGTTCACGAACGAATCAGAAATTTGTATTCGTTATTCGTCTGGTTAGGTCTGCCATTAGATGATTGTGAATTATAACTTCATTTTTCAATAATAATTTATGAAGGGAGAGTTATATTAGTACGTACCCTTGATGAGAATAAGGAAGGCTATTATGCTCTAGTACTGGTGGACCCTGAGGATGTCCTGGTGGATGCTGATGTGGGCCTGATTGCACGTGGAAATGTTGGGGTAACGTCATGTTCGGTATGCTAGCAGGACCCATGTATTCACTGGTTGAATTATTGGTAACGTATGGTCCGGATGGACCACTCCCGACAGGAAAAGACTGATGAGGCGGAGGTACCCCATTGAACATCTATCAAGAGATCGAGTTTTAAACATCGAAAGTAGAATCGATCGCCTAACCCAGACTAACATCGCTTGCGATTAATTCTGATAATATGGGCAAGCTTCGTTACGTTGAGTGTACTAATACTTACATGCTGAGGTGGTGGTCCTTGAGCCGGGAATTGATATGGGTTTATGTGCAGTGGCATCTTAGGTAGGGTGTAATTAGATGATGTAGGGGGTGGAGGTTCTCGCATCAATGTATGATATAAATTAAGTGCATCTACCAAATCAGAACTTAATTGAGTCAGCTGCGCGTGCCTCCTATCGACTTTTTCTAACGCTGCGTCAATTAGCGGCCCCATCGCGGTAACTTGTTCTGAATAATTCATTACGAGTAAAAATATGATTAACGATTATAATCTGGTGTTGCGCAAATTACAAAGCCATTACCTTCCAAATCGAGCATCTCTTGTGGATCAGATGTGTCACACTGAGGATCTGCTTCGTGTAATAGATGTAAAAGTTTATCCATTTTTCTTTCATCTATTTCAACCTCGATCACTTCTGGTTCTCTCTTTACTGTTTTTACTTCAACTTCTTCGGCAAATTGAACCATTTTTTTGTTAGGGAAGTCTAACTCTGTATACAAATTCATTTATAACGTTTTGTCATCGATTACGAATAACTGAACATATATTGAATCTTACTTATGAACTGTTCAGGTTCTACGGATAAATCCGCGGTAACAAAATTAGAGGGAAAAAGTCCTTCCCCCCTATGATTACTGCCTTTCCACCAATTTGGATCAGAATCGTCCAAGATGTTAACTAAAATTTAATCGATAATAGTAATTTCGTTATTGTATCGTATATTACATAATTAAAATATAATTATTTCAAAAGAATTTATAATTCATACTTATTTCCCCTGCTAAGAATGTTAATTCGTTATCTTCCGCCGCCTCAAAATCGTACAAAGCGCAGACCTTCCTGCCTTCAGAATTGCTCGAAGTGCCAAGCGCTGAGCTTACACTGGGATATAAACTGGTACTCATTTTGGATGCCGGCGAACTATGCAAAGAAGATGCTTGACTCTGAGTTTTAGTCTCTTTCAGTGAAAGTTGAATGGCTAAAATAAACCGCAATTAATAGAATGTTATACCTTTGAGAAACAAAAGTACGCGATGTTTTTAAATATTCGAAATACCTTTTGCAAGATCTTCTTCTTCCTGCGAATTTGTTGCTACATTTGGATTTTTACGTAGTAGGCTTTTCTGTAGGTTTCGTACGAATTTAGTGACTGTAATATTTGTTTACAATTTAACACGTTCGCTGCCGTGCATTCACAATGGCTCCATTTGTTGTACCTTATACCATTTTGCAAATTTTTTAGTTTTTTACCCTTACGGTGACAAATTCAAACGGTAACAGAGTGGTGAGATGAGATTTAGACAGAAAACAAAATATCTTAAAACGGGATTTGGTAGCGAACGTGTTAATTTAATTCTAAATTGTAACTTAATAAAAAATAAGCAGTTTATGAAATATAATCTAACATTATACACAAAAATTTCCATTTAGCTCTGTAGAATAATTATTTGCTCAATGTATGAATACAGAAGAAAACAATAGGACATTAATAAGAGATAACATTATCTTAGTACTAACAATTTCAAAAAAGACTAAGCGGAATACATGTTTTCCTATAAACGCGAGTCTTATAAATTAGTTTAAAAATAAAAAGATCTTACCATATCTTGCAGAGTAGTGAATTTGTAGCCTTCGTTTCTCAATTTGTTGTACAAGCTTGGAATTAAATTTAATTGAGGATCGCTTTTAAAATCACCTTCCGCCCATTTTTTTAAAAGCCCTTTCATTTTTTCTGCAATTTTGGGCTGGGAATGATTAACTAGTTTTCTTAGATCGGTTTCAAAGTCTCTCGATGCAATTTCCAAGTGAAATGTTTTACCACAATTGCTGACACATGCATCCAACAGCTGCATATAAATTACTTATTAATTTTACATACAGAGGTCACATATTTTGGAAAAATTGTTTACGAAAGAAAATTACATATATTTAAAAGAATATACTAACTGTTAATGCTTGCATAACAATGTGGGGGTCCGGAGAATATAGTCTCTTGACAATTGATCGTAAACAATCCTTTGCACTTTGAGTCGAGGTTCCTACTTTGTCACAGATATCCATTATTTTTCCCCATTCTTCGGATATATTTTTCTCACTGGTTGCCTTTTCTATTACAACAAATCATAACAGTGAAAATAATAATATATCGCCCACAAAATATAAGTCACAAAATGATATTTTATTTTTCTAATAAACAAGTTATTCCTGTTTTTCTACTAATATGAATTAAGAAAAATAACAAAGTGTTTCATTAAGCATTAATATTATATTTTGATTTATTAACATCCATATTTCTGTTAACTGTAATTTCAAGATAATAAATTTGTTTAATGTCATTAAATAATTTTACATAAAAATACATGCGTACATAAATTTTGTCAAGATTAATCATTGTCTTATAAATATTTTATAAAACACATCGCTCGGGGAAAAGTACTGATTATTTGACAAATTAAGTACAAATCTGGTGTCTATTGTACACGAATCGAAAAAAATAAAATAATATCGTTGTGTTAAAAAATTATTACGTTTTACCATTTTGATTATTTCTTTTAATATGACGTAAATTATCGCTAACGAACAAGCATTTTCATAGAAACATTACGAACAATTCGTTAAAGCGAAACAAAAAGGATGATAAAGTAATTCGCAAAATCTGGTATATTAATTGGAGGTCAAATGTCAACAACCGCTTAATGCATCCATCAAACGTAGAATTTCGACATCTTGAGGAGCAAAAAAACCGAGCAAAGTCGTAGAAAACAACGGATGTCACGATGCGAAAGATTAATATTTTAATCAAGATGATAAGCAATTTAGAAGAACGATTCTAAGTGAATTAAGGCTAAGAAGAAGTAAACCACTCACCGACGTCAGCGTCGAAAGGCGAGGAGGTTTGGAAAAGGCCCATTTTACCTCGTAAACTTGACGAAGGAAAGCACGTTCGACAGTTATGTCTATTACGCGATGTCACGGTATCGCGTTATGTTTTTCTTTGCACATCCAGCTGATATTTACTTACAAACACAAGACCGAATGACTAATAACATTCTAATCTACCATCGAGGGACATCTTTCTTTCGACCTGCCAAAAAAGCTCGATACTATCGAATCGTCTCGAGCGTAATGTCAAATGCAAACGTTCAACGTCGTAAATTTACATTTAATTCATACAAATGATTGCACAAATACTGAAACTCGAAAGAAATTCTATGTACTTGAAGTTTCGAATGCCTGAAATGGACAAAACTACCAGAAATTTTAGCACTTTGTGTCTTTCAAAAGAAGACGTTGAAACGAATAACTACGTTCGATATATCGAACGATATTATTAGTCTATACTACCGCCATCCTACGACAGTACGTTCAATTAGTTTACGAACGATCTCTTTGCTACCGAGGTTAAAACAAATTACTATTATAAATTACATGTACTTATTGCATACGTATATTTATGGTTTCACCATAAACGAGATGTGGAATAGACGTGAACGTGATATAGGATAAATCGATTGTTTTATGGAGGTTGATGTTTTACCACAGATTAAGCATGGTATAGATACAGTTGGGCAGTGAGAGAGTTACAAGCTAAGCTTGTTTCTCTCGGCCAGAGATACCAGACGGAACCCCGAGTGCACCGGGGACACCTCATTCCACTTTCTCACACTATACCAGATCACGCGTACGTGAGTTCGTAGAGTCGACAAAGGCAAACTGATATATGCCCCCTTTCTCGATTCTCCGAAGCTGCCCGAAATAATTTCGAATCGTCTCGTGGGAGTCGAGAGAGAAAGGTCCACATTTGCCTTTTCGTAATGTTATGTATAGCAATCACATAGCAGTAGGAAAATTCCATGCACCCGTTTGGTTGTCCAGGCGGCAGGGGAGGTGAAAAGGCTGGTGACCGCATCCTCGCATGGCATCCCGGAGGTCGGAGCGAAAGCTTCCGCGGGCCAAACACCGCTATGAATGTGTGTGTGAGTGGGCTGAAGCATGGGATATTTGCCGTGAGTTTTACCTAAGGCTGCAGGTTGGCCAGTTGGTTACAACTTACAACCAACGTGGCCACGCGGCCGGCGGCTTAGTCCATGTCACGGAGTCGGGGGCGCTGGTGACCAGGTGCCTGCGGTTGAGTGAGAATGCGGTGGTAAGAGTGCCTCTCACCGGGTGGGGTCAGAAAAGGTACGGCGTGGCGGGAGACTCTGTTATGGCTTACTAGTAGAGTTCCCGGTCCCTCGCCAGGCGCCTAAGGATGGTCACCGTGGGGTTTTAGCCGGTAAGAATCTGGCACTACCTGCCGGCCCTTCCTTCGGGTGGGCCCGCGGGTGTCCATAAGGATTTTACCACGTACAAAAAAAAAACAGTGTGAAAATTCAAAAGTACATGATACTTTATGATGGACTATACAGCTATCGACGACCAGTTTGCCCAAGCTTGTCGAGAAGTTGTTCGTTCCGTACAACAATAGTTGACGTGCCAAATATAATAGATCGAAAAATTGTTAGTTTCATTTAACTTTTACATATTATTGTTATGTACATTAGGAGAAGGCAAATGTGAGTCTTTCTCTCTCGACTTCCACGAGACGGTCCGAAATTACTTCGGGCAGCTTCCTAAAATCGAGAAAAAGGGCATGTATAAATTTGCCTTTGTCGACTCCGTAAATCTACCAGCTCACGTCAAAGAGAAAGTGATCACTGTTCCGCCATTGTGATAAATCAAACCACTGCTTGATAATTTACTATTTATTTTCTTCCTGGGATTAATTTATGAACTTTTAGAGTTCAATACTATAGCTTAGTCACTGGAAAAAATTCAGGGATACCTTTTATAACTATTCTGTTCAGAATTATTACGTTGTTACGTCCCGAGATAGTGGTTTAGGGAAAAAGGACGGTGGGTTGGTGCCCGTGGAGCGCTGAACCGCTCTGCCCGGCGAGACGCGCAAAAATCAAACTACTAAGTATGTTCGAAAAAGGGTTGGTAAAAGTTTATTCGTCTTCGTCTCGATTGTTAGATACAACTTGGTTGACTTTTAAAATCGATCTAATCCTCCGCGGAAATCTTCTCGTCGTCCTCGGTGTTCATCCCTTCTCCGGAATATTCCTCGATCCTCCTTCTGGATTGTCCTGGTCCAATCGGGGTTTGTGCCTTGCCCCATCCATCCGGATCGTCTTCGATCGATGATCCACCCCCGAGCCGAGTGGAGGTGGAGGTTACGCGGCCATGTTGGAGCGGGCGCGCGTGAGAGAGAGCGTGGGAGTCGAGAGAGAAAACGAGGCTAGCGGCCTAAACAACCCTTAAGAGAATTTATGACCCTTGTGAAAGTAAACGAAACTCGAAGCGAAGTGTCGCGAGGCCCTGCTGTGTGTCAAGACCATTGAAACTCTTAACGGAAATAGCTAATTTGGCACGGTCCGTAATAAACAAAAAGAAGGAACGACGGAAACTCCGATGTGTCGTGGTCTTTAGAAAATAAACTAAGTATCTGAAAAGAAGTGCCTTCCTTTCTCTCTATCTTCCCCAGCTTAATCGCCCACGTTGAAAAACACACAATCGTATTGTTTATTACAATACGCCGGTCCGTTTGGATTTCGCTCCTAACTAAAACGCAGTTACATGACTCTGCACTCGACGGTGAATAATCGGGTTACAATTAATTCCCGTTGTGGCGCTATGTGCATTAAACCTACGTTCACGTGATAACGTAACACCTCCCTTCTTATACAAAAAGGTGTTTTGATAAAACAGCTTTTAGGTAAACGCCGATATTCATTATTATTATCCTGTGGTAGGTCGGTGTCCGTTACAATATTTACGCGTACAATATTCTCATGCTTATCATGCCTCCATGTTTTCGAAATTACTTACCTCTCGCAGAAAAAATAGTTAATATTTCCCGGTACAGATGCTTATCGAAATATAAAGTTAATAATAGTCAGTGAGGTGATTCGCAATAACTATACATCATTGACAACTACAAGCAGAGGTACATAAGGTTAGAGGTAAGTGTGATATAAATTATATATATGGAGAACATAATTAGAGCGCAGTCCTGAATTCGCAGACTATTACATTGAGTAACCTTTACATTGGATATTACAGGTTAACTAATTTATTTAGTCTTCTTTGGAAGGAGAGTTCGGTCTTATATGTGCCAGTTTAAGTTTATTTGTGTGTACTATCTTAAATCTATTTTTCCCTAGCGCTAATTTTGCCGTTAAATCGCTGAATAATCGATTTATTTTGTAGGGACCTAGCCAATTACAATCGAATTTGGAGGTTTTGGGCTCCTTAAGCAGGTATACTATATCGTTTAAATTAAATTTACATGGCCTTAAGGTTCGGTCATAATAATTCTTACTTTTCTGTTTCGCTTTTTCTAGATTCTGTGCCGCAGTCGTCTGAGTGGTGGTCATTTAGATAGAATATAGTAGGAGCGGTAGGAGAAGGTGTTGGTTCGTTTATATCGGTATTTGTAATCAAAATCCTTTTCCCAACATTGATTCTGTTTTTGTCATTAGCATATTGTGCATTTAAAAGATTTCCTATGGGGTCTACCGAATTTACTACCGAGGTCACACCACTGGATTTCCCTGTGCAGTCCTGATCATCTCCATTCACCCTTTCATCTGGCCTCACTGGCCAGGATATACGCAAACCTCGGTCCACCTGACCGAGTTGCGTACTTCCATCCGGTTCTCCTGTCCGGATGGGATACTCACATTCATTCCCTTCCGGCCTCTCCCGCCGGGATACACGCAAACCTCGGTCCACCTGACCGAGTTGCAAACATCCATCCGGGTCTCCTACCCGGATGGGATACCCAGGCATACAGGGCGCCCCTCTCCCTTGAGACGATACAGGTTGCACATCGAGTACAGATTCCCTCTCACGGCCTCCGAAGCGGGTTCCTGGGGTTCGGACTATACACCCGTTAGCCAACAAAAGACCGAGTTGAGGAGACTCTGGGGTACTCGATTGGGGTGTTCCTTCAGGAAGTTCTCGCGTGAAATTCATTACTGAGCATGATTTTCCCGAATCAAAAGTCTTTAATACGTTGTTGGTGACCTCGCTTAATTTGCTCGCTGTTTTCCTGCGCGCTAGGAACACAGAGGCTATGAATCTATCGTTTTCCGCGGATAACGCTTCATCCGTCCTGTCCACTTCGGAATCTATGATTGGTGGTTTGTCTGCGCAGACGTGCACCCTTCCTAGACACCTCGGATTAGAATTGGAGTCCGCGCAAGATCGTACAAGTTGCAGTTGAAGACTGGAATTTATGTCGGCGACGACGGAATTACGTCAGGCAAATCAGACAATATCAGGTTTCATTCCTCCGCGAGTAATCTTATGACTTAAATATGCACTTTTCTTTTGCAGGAAACGACCTTTTTCTGATTGAAGAGCCAGTCCGGCGTTTTGCTTCCTCGGAGGAAAAGATATCGATGATAGGTTTTTAGCACCTCGCCAAAGTGCCTCTCTCTTTTCATTTGTTCGATGCGAAACGCTCGCTAGGCGTAACCGGCTGATATCTTAACGTCCTACCGTCGCTTTTCAAAATTGAAGAACTGCGTTTATAATAGAACTACCCGATCCGATTTTCGTTAATTCTTGATAGTCTACTATTCTCGCAAATTCTACAAATAAATTCGAAAGAAAGGCATTCGTGGACCGGATGATCGGCTAAACGCGCGGTTTCGCAATCAATCTACACATATAACGGAGAGAGACATGGGGCGACCAACTTTTCAGAGTATATCTCTTCTTTCGGGTTCCGTTCCTATCGCGCCTCTCGTTCGTTTCGAGCCTCTTCATAGAGGATGATCGTCCGATTCCGTTGATAATTTATCATTTTTCCCTGGGGCCGTACGAACAGAGGAAGACGTCGATCGACGGTTACCGCAAATTTCACGTGGTAAGATATATTTTATAAATATTTATCAGAGTTTAGTCAACATTTTTTTCAGCGTCCCTTTTGGTATGTTCCAAAACTAGTTTACTTCCTTTTCCTCCTTTTGCATAAATTACTTTAATATTAGTCAGTGGGTCTGATTTTAATTCTTTCTGTTTAATTAGGTGAAGTTGGGAGCCGGTGTCGACCAGAAATTCAGCGGAGCCGCGGTGGAAGTGATTGTGGGTCAAGGAGATGGAAATATCGCGCCCGTTGACGGAGTCCCCTTGGAGTTTAAAGGGTTAGCCCCTAGGTTCGCGGAGAGTAAGGGAACCGGGGGACGCGTATCCTTAGGGACATGATCGAAGCTGTTCCGACGGCACTGTCTTTCCGTGTGCCCTATCTTCCCGCATTGATGGCATTTCGGTGCATAGGGTCGAGGCCCGTGAAATCGATTATCAGCCTCGTGCCGACAAGCTGCGATCGGATGCCCGGGTTTCCCGCAACGAAAACAAACTCGCTCGTCTGCTTGTGTCCTAAATATTCTGGGCCGGTCCCGGGGGGTGTTCGTAAGTTTTGGGGTTCGCGTAAAATTCGTTAGCCCGTCTATTCTGGAGGCTGCCTTAATAGCCGATCGTAGATCCCGCAAATCATCTTTGGATATTATACCCGCGATAATATCGTTTCGCAGGCCCTTCAAAAAGTTGTGTACCGCGTTTTTCGTAAGTAATGCCTTGACCCCCACGAATTCCTCCGGTTTGAAACCCTCGCGCGCCGCCTGAATCCCGCGATCTAACATTCCATGTACCCTGTAGCCGAACTCCTCGATCGTTTCGTGATCGCGTCGCTGTACGTCCCACAATTCGCTTCGCGTGTCGTTAAGGTTAAATGTCCGGGGGTACGCGGATTTTATTAAATTAACTAGTGCTTCTACGGTCCGGGGAGGGTCGTCGCCTACGATGCCGCGGTAGGTTAGATATGGCATCCGGCTCTGTATCAACGCGAGTAAATACATTTTATCCTCGGCCCTAATCAACGAGTCCGCGAGCCTGCACTGGGCAATGAATTGTTCAACTTGGGCTGAATTCCCGTCGAAATGGGGTATAAAACTGGAAATCAAGTCGTATGGCATGCGTGACGGATATTTTGAAATTTCAGGCGACGGTATCGGTTCGGAAGATCGAGTCGGGGTTACGATAGGGTCAATGGACAGGGTTTGGGAGGAGCACGACATAGGAGGTGACGCGAACATGCTATTAATCATATTTGAGGGACCGTTCGTCGAATTATACCCTTGAACTAAAGACTGTACAGGAACTAAACCTGTTTCATTTACTCGCGACACTACAGTTCCGGGAGTAGGGGGTTCTACGCGGGAAGATTCCAGTAATTCCTCCATGAATACTCCCTTATCACCACGCAGACGTTTACGGCTTCCCTTAGCACTCACGTATTTGTTTAAGAACGGCGGCATTTTATCGATTGATTAATCTACTTAGTTCGAATAAATCAGACCAGTACAACTAAATTTAACTACTAGTCTGCGCTGCGATTATTATTAGTTTACTAAACTTACTAAAAGTACGACGGAAACGCTCTAGAATTTATTCACCAGTTCTCCTGCAACAGGGGTTTTCCGCTCGTCGTCGATCTGCTGAGTCGGCGGCCTGCGTCCCGGAAGATGTTCGGAATCGGCGATGGACTGGTCCGTGATGTCCTTCAGATGTTCCGATCGGCGGTGATGCTCGACTCTCTGCCCTTCAGGAACCTCGTTCAGTGGCGATCGTCTCTCCGTGTTGAATTAAGGCGAAAGTTCAACCGTGATGGTGAACAGGGTGCATGTGATAACGGTGGTGGCTTGCACGGCCGCCGAAATCACCCGTCTCCGGTATTTACCCGTGCCCTTAGGGAAACCGTGCGAAAACCCAAGGGAGAGCGGATGCACTGATTCTAATGTCCACTTTATATTGTAAAAGTTCAATAAAATAGTTCGTCACAATTAAGTCTATTGAAGCGTGCACTCGCGAGCCGGCAAAGTTTGTCTTATCTATTTAAACTGTCTATATATTTATTTTAAACTATCCCACCGCTGTCACCAAAATATGTTACGTCCCGAGATAGCGGTTTAGGGAAAAAGGACGGTGGGTTGGTGCCCGTGGAGCGCTGAACCGCTCTGCTCGGCGAGACGCGCAAAAATCAAACTACTAAGTATGTTCGAAAAAGGGTTGGTAAAAGTTTATTCGTCTTCGTCTCGATTGTTAGATACAACTTGGTTGACTTTTAAAATCGATCTGATCCTCCGCGGAAATCTTCTCGTCGTCCTCGGTGTTCATCCCTTCTCCGGAATATTCCTCGATCCTCCCTCTGGATTGTCCTGGTCCAATCGGGGTTTGTGCCTTGCCCCATCCATCCGGATCGTCTTCGATCGATGATCCACCCCCGAGCCGAGTGGAGGTGGAGGTTACGCGGCCATGTTGGAGCGGGCGCGCGTGAGAGAGAGCGTGGGAGTCGAGAGAGAAAACGAGGCTAGCGGCCTAAACAACCCTTAAGAAAATTTATGACCCTTGTGAAAGTAAACGAAACTCGAAGCGAAGTGTCGCGAGGCCCTGCTGTGTGTCAAGACCATTGAAACTCTTAACGGAAATAGCTAATTTGGCACGGTCCGTAATAAACAAAAAGAAGGAACGACGGAAACTCCGATGTGTCGTGGTCTTTAGAAAATAAACTAAGTATCTGAAAAGAAGTGCCTTCCTTTCTCTCTATCTTCCCCAGCTTAATCGCCCACGTTGAAAAACATACAATCGTATTGTTTATTACAATACGCCGGTCCGTTTGGATTTCGTTCCTAACTAAAACGCAGTTACATGACTCTGCACTCGACGGTGAATAATCGGGTTACAATTAATTCCCGTTGTGGCGCTATGTGCATTAAACCTACGTTCACGTGATAACGTAACACTAGCAATCATGCTCGGCTAATGTCCCACGTCCAGCTCGCTTCAAAGGTATATAAAATCTATATTTTTTAGTCTTACGCGTGCTTAAACTCTATTACATTAATTAACTAACTTTCCGCAATCTAGTTACATACTATCCAGTAACTAACTATTCGTAGTATAGGGACGAGGGGCAAGAGTCGGGAATGGCTCAGATTTGTTTTTTCTCTCGACTCCGTTGAGGCGATTCGAAGTGCATCTGCGCTTACTTTGGGTAGCTTTGCAGAATTGAGGAAGAGAGCGGGTGTCAGTTTGTCTTTGTCGATTCTCCGAAACTGTACGAGCTCACGTACACGTGATCTGGCATTGGTGTGCAAAAGTGGAATGAGGAGTTTCCGGTGCACCCAGAGCCCGGTCTGGTAACATTGCTGGTGCAGTGGCACTGCATGGCCGTTCGTCGAGTGGTTCGTGAGAAATTAGTGTGCATTTAATTCGTTACTTTTGATTTTTCTGCATGAACACCGTTGAGGGTCAGTGATGACCTCGTACACGTTGTCGAAGAAGACGTTTACGCCCATACCACCGGAGAAGGGCAGCTTTCCACTCGATCATGAGGGTATCTGCAAATTGGCTATGATCAAGTATATGAAGTGTTTATACGAAAATCGTAACGAAAACACGATGTGCAGAAGCGCCGCGAAAGATTATCTTGCTTGCCGAATGGATAATCAATTGATGGCGCAGGAAGAATGGACCAATATGGGTTACGCTGATCAGGTCAAGGAGACATAACAGCAACGATTTATTGCCAATCGATTCACTTATCGAAGTCTTTTAACGATCGACCAGTATTTACGAACATTTATGCCTGGTTAATTTTATTTCGTCTTTGAAAATAAATTCTACGGTTTTTAAAAAACGTGTATAAATTTCTAATAATGCACACCGTATATACATATATATGTATATATATATATGTATGCGTGTATAGGTAAAAAGAATCGACGTCTTTAATAGTGAATTTCTCTTATTATATGAACAAATTAACGTGACACGTAATTTCAGTGCAGTGAATGGACTTCTAAACCAATTACTGTTCATTTTAAAACGATTCGTTACGTAGAGACGATCGCACACTCGTAGAAATTTAAGGAGGCTAAGATAAACAGCTGTTAAGCCTAGAAATCCTTTAGTTGTAATTTTTTCTGTTAACTGTTAAGGTATTTTGAGTCGACCGATCTATTCGTAGTAAAGCATTTATTGTTGTATTTAGGCGGACCAGGCCTATTTTGTCGATATTATAGACAGCACAGAGTTACATTTTATATAGTAAGAAGTAGTGAGTAACAAAACATTAAAAAGGAAAAACAAATACCGGTCTGTAAAAATGTCGAGCATGTCTAGAAAGAAGGTTTTGATCGGTTGTACAGGCAGCGTAGCCACGATTAAACTGCCACAATTGGTAGAGATATTATGGCAAAACAATTTGGAAGTAAGAATAGTGGTTACAGAGAAAGCCAAGCACTTTTTGAAAGAGGCAGAATTGCCTATAGGGATTCAAGTTTTATCGGACACCGTAGAATGGGCTGCCTGGCAAGATAGAGGTGACCCAGTGTTACATATCGATTTAGTTAAATGGGCCGATTTGTTCTTAATCGCTCCATTAGATGCTAACACACTGGGCAAGATAGCTAGCGGTATATGTGATAATATTTTGACGTGTGTTGCACGTGCTTGGAATCCTTCAAAACCTTTGGTCTTTTGCCCTGCTATGAACACAAAAATGTGGGAACATCCTGTCACTGCACCACAGGTATGAATTAATATCTAGCTCTAATACAATTTTCAATTACTTCAAATAATTTTTAGTTACGGAGTTATTAAATTTTATACAGCGCATGCAGGGTCATTTTCACTCAGATAATTGCGCTTAAGGAGCTTTAAGATTAACAATTTTGTCGTTGAATTAAAATTATTCAGATGAAAAAATTTTTAATATTTTTACGAGTTTTGTTAACGTTAGATTTACGGACATTCATTGTATATATTTTTATAGAAAGATATGGAAAATATGGTTTTTCTTTTAATTAGAATATAATACTAACAAATTAACATAAATTGCTGAGAAATAATGTTTGCAAGTTCTGTAACCATAAGTATGAAAAACGGATAAATGGATGGGTTCCGTAAATCTAGCGTTAAAGTTTGTTTAACGTGGATGTTATGGTATTGTGTAATTCATTTTGAATATTTTTACCCTATTCAGATAGCCCTGCTTAAGTCCTGGGGATACAAGGAGGTGACTTGCATTTCTAAAACACTTATGTGCGGTGATACTGGAATGGGCGGAATGGCGGAAGTAGACACTATTGTTCAAACTACGTTGAGATTGATCAATCCTTGGGATCCGTATCCGCCACCAGATCTACGTATCTAATATCGGGAAACGAAATATTCGACGGAAAGCTTTTATCATCGTACAGATTGAATGTGAAATATTTTATGAGGAAAAAAAAAATAAATAAATTTAAAGATAGAGAGTTCGTAATGCGTGCCACGGCGAAATTCAAATAATTTATGCTCACAGTTAAAATTCATGTCCAATAACAAGTTTCAACTTGTACGATTACGCTTTTCTGAATGCACCGTGGTCGCAATATTTTGTTGCTCAAGTAAAATGTTTGTAGAACGTCTGCGCCAAGGAATATATTCAAGATGGAGTTCACATACTACTGCAGAATGAAAAAAAAGAAAATTGTAAAGAAATTCTGTTCACATATCGTGTAAAAAATTGACCCATCAAATAAATGTGTACATGTTTTGTTAAATATATGAGTTAAATAATATTTCAAGGTTTTTTTATTGTAGAAGTAATGTAATTACAACCTATTTGTTATTTATCGATTGAAAGTAGTTTGGGACGGGCATTAGGTAGAATAAAGAATTGTCATTTATTATTAAAATTCTTTATTAAAATTATTTAAAAATTACTTTATTAAAATTACTTTAATTATACATTATTAGTATAAGGGAAGTGCGTTAAAATTTTAGTCGCTTGTAGACTTGAACGCGTACGCGCGTAAGCGTTCGTGTCCATACGCGACTTTACATAAATATCACAGTTTACAAATATTTGCTAAAATATGCTATAAAAAATAACCCGAGAGAAAGTGTTGGCAGTGCTGACGCGTCGCTCGAGTCCATGATCTTTGATTTTCTTGGATAACTTTCAACGTCATTCGTTTCCAATTCTCGAGGGCAGCCCATCCAGACTGGCGCCGAGAGTTTCTGTTTCTCGTGGGCGACTTTCATCCTTAAGTCATCGAATTCCCAAAAGCCCTTCCCTTTGAAGAAATACGTCTTGCCTAGAAAAGAAATATTTTACGTAATATTCATCTCTTTTTTTATTGAATAAGCTCGCGATTGGTTAACTGCTGTAACTTAGTAAAAAATAGTACAATTTTTATGGGGTTTAAAATTTCATTCAGAATTTTTAACATACAATGTTACTTTAACGCCATTTAACTTCACGACTTTTCTTACTTTGTTTTTTGTCAAAAATATGTAGTCTGTCTTGCCTACCACGGCAAACGATTGATATCTTTTTGTAAAAATACCGGACAAAATTTGGTATCAAATCCTGGTTAGCTTTCAATGTAAATGGGAAATATACATATAGCAAAGATGAAAGGAGAGAAATGGTTTTTGGTTTTTGTCGATCCGACTTTTCGTTTTGGATATATTGTAATTTATGTAAAGGGATAATTTTTTTAATTTGACTATTTCTGTATCTGTCTGACGCGCGCGTCGGGCCTCTCTCTCGCGCGTAAGTCGAGACAGTCTCGTGACCAGACAGTCGTAGTATTTCCAAGAATTTACTACGTACTGTTTACTATTTACACGCGCGGTCAATGACCTCGCATCGACGTCATCAATGAAAAGTAAACAAACGCTTCGGACCCCTATATCTCCGGAACTAGCCACCGAATCGACTTGAAACTAAAATCGTTGTATCTCAGGAATTAATTACGCTATCGACATGTACGAACGCTCATTTTAAAGGGCATTTCATCCCCCATCCGACGAACATAACGACTATTATAATTTTTGCTGTCTTCTATGTTTATTTTAAAATTTACTTTGATTCTATGCACCCAAAGAAGTTTCAGCAATTCCTATTGATTATAGGACTGATGTGCGATAAAACTGGATTATAAAAATTGTTTATTTAATCGAAAAAGAATGTTAATTTGTACACAGGATGTTTGCATAACTACTAGCCAGCATGTTTCCGTAAATAATTTATTTTTCGGGACTTAACTACGGTATCGCAACAAAATTCGTTTTCAAGGACGTTTTAGCGTAGTTTGTAAATTTTCTGTATGAAAAGGTAAGACTCACCGTTCTTCCACTGGAAAACAGCGTCGATATCGTTCCCAACATTAGCGAACATACTTATGTCTCTTGGATAATCCAGTTCTACTTGGTTGACAGATTCATCGAACCTGCATGAACAAATTGGTAATATTTGTCACGATATTTTGTGCATCCAATAACACTATACAAAATTAACCGTACCTCCAATACATGGATCCGCTGAAGAAATAAGTTTTTCCATTGTGCCCCCAAATCATCGCCCCATCAACCTTTTCCAACGAATCCGGAAGTCCCAGTACCGTTAATGGTTTCGGATAACCGGGCTCGAGATTGTTGGCGTTGAAAACGTAATACAGTTTCCCGATGAAAAATACTATCTTCTTGTCCGGCCTCTCGTAAACTGCATCCACGTGATCGATATCCTCGGAAAGATTAAACAAACGCGTAATTTCCGCCGGGTATCCCTCGTACAATCCTTGGTCGCCGATTCTCCACAGATACTGGAAAAATCAATGCAACTAACAATTATTTTAATTAATTCCCAAGGGACACTCAATTTTTCTTCGATCGATCATTGGAATAATTATCTTATTTTTAATTATGCCTAATTTAATTGTACTTGCCAGGATCAACTATTGGATGTACCCATAAGTTATTAAGTATTTGTAAGAGTTGTTTTGATACTCGTGCAAGGTATTCAATTAAGTATATTTCCGTGTTACGTTTAACGAGCATTGAAGTTTTCGATAAAACATATCTCTTGCATATCATTTTTATCGAATAAATTTTATATTTGTATCTATTGGACGGTCATTGAAAAAAATCGTTATTATAATAGAAAATAATTCGTTTTGTAACGTTAGAAATAGTATTGCAAATCGAAAGATATCGTTTGATTTTTTAGAAAAAATATATATTCAGGCAACAGTATATTCGAAGAAGAAAACTCTTTAGACGGAACAAGATAGTCCAACTTCCATGGCTTCGGGGGTTCTTACCGACGATGAGCTGAAACTTTTAGAGGATTTGAAAGTTCGTAGTTGGCTTCGTCAGGGATCTGCGGTCGTGTCTAAGTTCGCTTTCGGTTGTTGTCTATCTAAGTTCGTGTCATGGATTATCAATCAACTGCCACGGTATCTAATTGGTTACATGATCTAGCCTAGTCTCAATGGTGTAGAAACATTTCCTAAAAATTTGAATCTTTTCATTCTTACGGTGTTAAAACTTGACGTGCCACGACCAGAATGTTACAGAAACTTTTATTTATTTTAATCGGATACGAGTTACCCTATACGGGATGTTCGCGTTAAACTTGAGTATGAAAACGAAAGGAGGAAAAGTTTTAATATTTTTTATGTACAATAAGGTGAACGATACCGATTTTGTCGAAAAACGAAGGTGACCATTAATTTAAACATTTTTTAAAATTCTCCTTAAAAAATGCAAAATTGTCGAAGATACACGGCTCTGTGCACAAAAAAATTATTCTTGCAATAAATTTCTAATTTAATTATGCAATACAATGTCATTCGATTTTTTATCTCAGATCAAAGGAAAAAAATGCTAGACTGCACGTCGATCAACGCCGTCGACACAAGGAAGAACATTTATTATATCATCCAAAGTCGATAAAGCGTAACGGAAAAAAATATTTGTATCTTGAAATGTTAAAAAAATATACGTGAAAAGCGGAGAAAAGTTTCATCAAACCTTTATGCTATAAAAAAAATTGTCAAATATCATTTTACATGAGTCTCCCCCATTAAGAAGCGTTACCCTATACAGGGTGTTCGCGTTAAATTCGAATATGAAAAAAACGAAAGGTGGAAAAGTTTTAATATTTTTTATGTACAATAGGTGAACGATAACGATTTTATTAAATCGTTTCCCTCTTTCGTTTGTTTTCATATACTCAACGTTCGTGAGAAAACACGCTCGATTCTAGTATAAATTTTTCAGCTTCGAATAAATTCTTTAAAGGGTATAGCCGAATAAGTGGGTCAAATGTGCCCCCAAACCGAATGGAACGAGCCACGGGCCATTCGATAGCAAAAAAAAAATAACCCCTGTGTGCAAATTTTTAACTTGAAATCTCGACCGTGGGGGTAGTAATGGGGTGAAAACGAAAATCATGTTTTTGAATTATTTCTCTTGACCTATTGAGTAAAAAAATGTAAAAAAATTCAGAGACATTTCGGGTACCGGGGTACATACTTTGGGAGATTTTCAGATTTTTTGATTGAAGAACCAGTTAGTGAAAAATAAAAAACAGCAAAAAATGCCGAAAAATGCCGATTACGTATTGAAGGAGGCCCGGAACTACTTTTATACTTTTACAGTAAACAGGTATTACTATTACTATTACTCTCAATTTTTTTCAGATTTTTCATTTTGGTGCGCCGCAGTGAAAAAAAATAAAAACCGAGTTTTTCCTCGTTTTCTGCGTATTAGAGTAACTTACACGTTGAATTTTTATGCATCCTTCAATATATAAGTGTTTTGTAGACTGTTTAATGTTTCTACACTAAGCAGAATTACATAACAATTGAAACAAATAAAATAAAGCCAACCATTGGGTGTATATATCCTAAAAAATCAACGATATTTTCAACGGCGTCGATGGCGCAGCGTTAGAGTGTCCGATTGCTGAACCGCTGGAAGTTTTTTTACCGTAGGTTCGAGTCTCTCTTCTGGACTTAGTATTTTTTTTTCTTCATTATTTTTTTTTTCAAATTCTAACTATATAACAATGCTTTATATTTATTTATAAATGTTCTGATAGCATTTTACAAATATTTTAACCTGAAATATGTATAAATATAGTTTTGGAGTGTTTTTTGCATTTTTATTTTTTTTGTCAACCACGATTATTGTTTAACATCTCTTACACTGAAATTAATGTGAAATGTTAGTTTTCAAATCTCTTACCTTTGACTATTGTGAATGGATCGGAGCAGAAGATTGTATATTGGCTTACTATTACTTCTTCTCGCCCTTCGATCAAGCAGATCTTTCCTTCTCGTTCTCTTTCTTTGATAAATATGAATGTTTGCTACGGCTTCAGTATCTAACGTAGACATGTAAGGGCCATTCCACGCCAAATCTATTAACCCACTCTCTGCCAATGATACTTTTTTCTAATAAACCCATTTTTAAGTACCAGTTTGATCGTTTCATGCTTATTTTTGAATGAAGTATCATTGCTCGATGGAAACCACGGGGAAAAATGATTAATTGTCCTACCTGCGTTACGAAGGAAATAAAGGTTCGTTGGGTGAGGGCCCAGACCGTTCAGGTCAATGGGTGATTGTCGCGTTCGGGTTTCACAATGTATTTTTTAATTACTCAGTTCAAGCTACTGTATGCGATGGGATTTATACATAATTACTTGGCATGGTCCGTAGAGGTTGGTCCTACAAGTGTTTTCATTATCTTTAAAACCAGCAGTAAGGAAAAGATAATAACCCTTACATGTCTACGTTAGATACTAAAGCCGCAGCAAACATTCATATTTATCAAAGAAAGAGAACGAGAAGGAAAGATCTGCTTGATCGAAGGGCGAGAAGAAGCAATAGTAAGGCAATATACAATCTTCTGCTCCGATCCATTCACAGTAGTCAAAGGTAAGAGATTTGAAAACTAACATTTCACATTAATTTCAGTGTAACAGATGTTAAACAATAATCGTGGTTGACAAAAAAAATAAAAACGCAAAAACACTTCAAGACTATATTTATACATATTTCAGGTTAAAATATTTGTAAAATGCTATCAGAACATTTATAAATAAATATAAAGCATTGTTATATAGATAGAATTTGAAAAAAAAAATAATGAAGAAAAAAAAATACTAAGTCCAGAAGAGAGACTCGAACCTACGGTAAAAAAACTTCCAGCGGTTCAGCAGTCGGACACTCTAACGCTGCGCCATCGACACCGTTGAAAATATCGTTGATTTTTTAGGATATATACACCCAATGGTTGGCTTTATTTTATTTGTTTCAATTGTTATGTAATTCTGCTTAGTGTAGAAACATTAAACAGTCTACAAAACACTTATATATTGAAGGATGCATAAAAATTCAACGTGTAAGTTACTCTAATACGCAGAAAACGAGGAAAAACTCGGTTTTTATTTTTTTTCACTGCGGCGCACCAAAATGAAAAATCTGAAAAAAATTGAGAGTAATAGTAATAGTAATACCTGTTTACTGTAAAAGTATAAAAGTAGTTCCGGGCCTCCTTCAATACGTAATCGGCATTTTTCGGCATTTTTTGCTGTTTTTTATTTTTCACTACCTGGTTCTTCAATCAAAAAATCTGAAAATCTCCCAAAGTATGTGCCCCGGTACCCGAAATGTCTCTGAATTTTTTTACATTTTTTTACTCAATAGGTCAAGAGAAATAATTCAAAAACATGATTTTCGTTTTCACCCCATTACTACCCCCACGGTCGAGATTTCAAGTTAAAAATTTGCACACAGGGGTTATTTTTTTTTTGCTATCGAATGACCCGTGGCTCGTTCCATTCGGTTTGGGGGCACATTTGACCCCCTTATTCGGCTATACCCTTTGTTTCTATGTGGGTTCACTACTCACTCGTCCTTTGAACACGAAGATTTCCCTTCGAATAATGCTAATGGCGTCGTAGCTGGTGTCACATTTATCTGGCACGTCGGACCTGGGCGTCGGTGTCCATCGATGCCTCGGTCTTTGAGTGTTTGTTGTTCTCATAGTGGTGGTGGTCGATGTCGTGTGATGCCTGTGAGGCTTGTGAGGCCTCTGAGGTCGATCGTCCGGTCTCTCCGTCCTATAATCCGGCTTTTGAGGGTAACGATCAGGGCGTCGAGGTCGGTCGTCGTTTGGATAGTGATTCGGTCTGGTCGGTCGTGTTCTCCATGGCCTGTAGGTCGTTCCGACGCTTGTCGTTGTCCTCTGCGTTGTTGGATGTAACGGAGGCGACGGACCACCCGGTAGATCCGCCCAAAGTTTCTCCTCGGGATCGCCTGGAACATGATCACGCGCTCTTCATTAGTCCTTGTCAACTCAAACTTTTATCCCCTTGAAAATCTATTAAATTTTCATTCAACTCTCCCGTACAATTTCTAGTACTACTAGACACACGTGTATTTATTTGTACCAAAGAATTCATTCATTCTCGTTCAGAAAAGTAAGAGCTTGTGCAATTCTTATTAGGAATTACGAATCATTTTTACCACTTCTGTTTATAAATTATAAATTAACAAAATCTTTCACGTTGAATTTTTCTCAGAAATGATTCTATTTCTTCCTAATAATAATCGACACATCCTTGTCAGATAATATTTTTTTAACCTAGTACACAACGTGTTAAATTTCTTTAAAAGGGAACCGACGAAAAAGTAAACTCTTGGATCGTATTATTAATTATAATAACGAAACGAAAACGACAGATACTCGAAGAAATGTATAATGCAAAGAAAATAAATGTTCGTTCATTCTCTTATAGAAAAGTAGAGTAAATTTTCAAAAATCCAATCGACTAAATTTATTACAATTTTTATTAGGAATTACGAATCATTTTGACCACTTCTGTTTATAAATTAACGAAATCTTTGACAATGAATTTTTCTCAGAATTGACTTTATTTTTTCTCCAATAATCGACGCATCTTTGTCAGATAACATTTTTTTAGCCTAGTGAACGACGTGTTAAATTTCTTTAAAAGGGAACCGACGAAAAAGAAAAGCTCTTGGATCGTATTATTAATTATAATAATGAAACGAAAACAATAAATACTCGAAGAAATGTATAATGCAATGAATCATTCATTTTCTTCTAGAAAAGTAGAGTAAATTTTCAAAAATCCAGTCGAGTAAATTTGTTACAATTCTTATTAGGAATTACGAATCATTTTTACACCACTTTCAGTAGTTCTAGCATTAATTAGAGACGTTTATAAATCAACGAAAACTTTTTTTTCGAATAACTGACGCAGCTTTGTCAGACAATATTTTTTTAGCCTAATGCACGTAGTGTTAAATTTCTTTAAAAGGGAATCAACGAAAAGGGAAAGCTACTGGATCGTGTTATTAATTATAATGAGAATACGTGCGAATCGACTCGCATAAAAAGGTACGGGAACGAAAGGAACGAGACGGGAAACTTATTTAAAAATCCGGTCTATTATCCGTCGAAGATGATTCGGTCCTGAATTCATTTCCAATACGCCCGGAGGAACGGGAGAAAAATTTATTCCAGACTTCGCGATGAAATCAATTTATCATGTCGCCGTTCGTCGGATCCGCCCCCTTAAAAAGGGACATTCTTATTTGCGTATCCACCGCACTGGATACAATTTCTGCAAACCCAGACACAGTCTTACTTTCTGATTTATTAGAGTCAGGGATTCTTGGAAAATGCGAGTACAATATTTTTTAAAAACAACCTTTCAAACTTCGAACATACGCGTTTTTCTAATTCTCGTCTAGGCTCAATTTTAAATTCATTTTAGTTTTCTTTACATTTTTCCTCCGAGGAAAGAAGTTAATTTTTCCATCAAACGTTACGAAGCTTTCCAATTTTCCATTCCTTTAATTTAAAACCATGGTCGATACCAGAGTAAATTATCTAACTTAGAAGATTTATTCCGTTTCTTTAATTTTATGTTAATTAGCAAACAATAGAAGGAATCTGGGTAAATAAATTATTTATTAAAGATGCCTCCCTGTATATTCAAAAAGGGTTTTATATCAGACAAAATTTGTAAATATCAATTAACGAAAATCCTCGAGATTTCTGGATTAAGTAGAAATATCAACGCATGGTCAGACACGATTAAAATTAATTTTCTCGAGAACGAGACGCCCTATTAAAAAATGTTACTCTATATTATATTCGATTCACTTTTAAAGTTGTTGAAAATCCCTTCTTAAAGGCTGGAATTGGCGTAGCTAAGAATGTTGTAGTTTCTGCTATCGGTTTGTTTATCCGTTCCTCTGGGTCCTCTCTTCTACCGGGTGCAGATTTCGCTAATTAGTAGCTCCCCAGCGAATATTAATTATCATTCGATTCTGGGACACACGCTGTTCCTGAATAATGCAATAATGCAGATAGCGGGGTTGCGCGTGATGTATACTTTACCCGACGCGATGTATTATGCATACGGTTTATTGCTGGTGACTTCTTACCGTCGTAATTAGGGGATAGTTTTCGGAGAAACTTAACCATTCTATTTCCTCTGTCTTGGCTTTCCTTCCTTGGGAAACGGATTACACTTTTATCTTAAATAATTTCATTTGTTTCGAATCAAATGTCTCTCGTTTAATTAGTTTCAAGAGTTTTATTTTATTTAATTTTTATTTTTTTTTACAAATTATTGTGTGTAATGTTTTTTCAATTTTTGTTCAAAATTAGTATTTGGTCCATTTCACATCAATTGGTTTTTTTTTTACAGATAATCGTCAGACGTTGAATTTTCAAAAGCCACTATACTGACTCGAGATGTCGATTTCGATAAAAATGATCAATTCTTGGGTGTGTTTTAAGTTGTTGACGACGAATATGGAGATACAAACTCAGAAATTTCTTTTTAAATTAGTGTTTGGTTCGTTCCTAATCAATTACGATCCTAATTTTAATCTGGAATTAAAAGGCTCGTATCTCGAAATCTCTTTACGTCGGCTATTCTGCTTCGCGGTTTTCATCTCGACTTCAGGTTTCTCCTTTAACTCAAGGACGGCATACTGCCTTGCGATTAAGTGACACTCTTTCTGATGCTAATGAATTTTTAACGCCGTTGCTACGTCGGCAGATCCAAGACGGAAGACCGAATTGTTCGATAGACGTTACTCGAGGACTACTTTCTAAAGTACCTTAGCAAATTCTTTAACAATTACTATTAAAACGTAAGAACAAATCGAACATTGAAGATAATTATAATCTTAATGAAAGTAGCAAAGAAAAATAATAACCTTCGAAAGTAAATGTACGTTCATAGGGCCAAATTTGCAAAAATCTAATTTCATTCATACTTTTACAACAAAATTGTTATTCTTCTAGACTGAAGACTTTTATTACCATACAGAAATTCATTTTAAAGTGTACTGCACAATCTAAAAATCATTTCTATCTTGGTGATTTAAATTGGATGCTAAGAAAATCTAGTCTCATTCATACTTTTACAGCAAAATAACTATTCTTCCAGACTGAAGTCTTCTATTATCATATAGAAATTCATTTTAAGATTTACTACACATTCTAAAAATCATTTCTATCTTGGAAATTTTAAATGGATGCTAAGAAAATCTAGTCTCATTCATACTTTTACAGCAAAATTACTATTCTTCCAGACTGATGGCTTCTATTACCACGCAAAAATTCATTTTAAAATTTACTGCACAATCTAAAAATGATTTATATCCTGGAAATTTGAAATGAATGTCAAGAAAATCTAGTTTAATTTACTACACAATATAAATCAAATAATTTACTACATAATCTAAATTAAATTTAATTTACTAAAAATCATTTTTATCCTGGAAATGTAAAATGAATGCTGAGAAAATCTAGTTTAATTTACTGCACAATTTAAAAATCATTTCTGTCCTGGAAATGTAAAATGAATGCTGAGTAGTCTCATTCATACTCTTACTATAAAATAGTTATTCTTCCAGACTGAAGACTTCAATAACCATACAGAAATTCATTTTAAAATTTACTACACAATCTAAAAATTATTTCTATTCTGGAAATTTAATATGAATGCTGAGGAAATCTAGTCTCATTCATACTCTTACTACAAAATAGTTATTCTTCTAGACTGAAGGCTTCCATTACCATACAGAAATTCATTTTAAAATTTACTTCACAATGTAAAAATGATTTATATCATGGAAATTTAAAATGAATGTCAAGAAAATCTAGTTTAATTTGCTGCACAATCTAAAAATTATTTCTATCCTGGAAATTTAATATGAATGCTGAGGAAATCTAGTCTCATTCATACTCTTACTACAAAATAGTTAATCTTCTAGACTGAAGGCTTCCATTACCATACAGAAATTCATTTTAAAATTTATTGTACAATCTAAAAATCATTTCTATCCTGGAAATTTAAGTATTTTCTCGTTTCTAGTTGAAAATAAAGTATCAAAATCAGATTGCACGCCTAAAAAACCCCCGAAAGTCGTTTCGTTTATCCTTCACAATGTGTAAATAGCAACACTGTTGATTTAGTTTGCGATTCCAGAGAGCCACTGTGCGTCTTGTTCGAAGAGCGAGGAAGTCTTAAGAAGGAAACACACTCCGGCGAGCCGGTAATGAACGTATTTTGAAATGGCTGGGCTCTCCGGAGGGGAAATGCACACGGCACAGTGTTTCCGTATTCCAAGAGAGCAGCATTAAACCCGGACGAACATTGTTTTCATTTTTATTCTTTATTTTCTCCACCGAAATATTTCTGATTCTGAGGCAGGAAATATTCCCTGGTCGAACACTCGCTGGGAAATTTTCCCTTATATTTTCGAGCGATCGAAAACACAGTGGGCTCGTATTTTTGCAAGCCACTATAACGAATTAATCAAAATTAATTATTTTCCCGTAAAATATACGGTTCTGTATTCTCTTTATTTATTTCTAGTCAGGAACAAAACTGAACACACGTACGACATTGTAATAAAAATAATATTTACTCAATATTTGCAAGTAAAATACAACTAATAACAGATGATACTAATTGTAAGTATTTTGTTTCTTTCGTATTCCACGTGTAAATTCCGAAAAAAAGATTATTTTCGTTAAAATATAGTATGTGTATATCATACAAACTATATTATACAACTATTTCTCTGTAAGGTCTCAAAGGAAACGTAAACTTTGATGAGTATCGTATTTAAAAAATCTAAGAACTTTAAAATTGTACAGTCTAGGAACGTATTCGCGACCAGTTGAATTGTTAAACCCATTTGTATCGCGCAGGGGTGGAATAAAAAATATTCACGCGCGTCTGTGCACCCGTAGAAGCAGA